ATAATTATTTAATAGAAAAATTGTAACAATGTTAACACTACTTATAATTAATATTATTTTGATTTTTTTTTTTTACTTTAAATATAAATTGTTTTCTTAATAAATCTTATATACTTACATAGTTGAAAATAGCATTCATTATCAAGAACCAAGATTCAACATAAAATAAATGTAGGTATAGAAAGTATTATATATTACATTTCATTATATAGGTATAGCTAAAGAATATATATATTTCAATATATATTAAGTGTAGTTAGTCATTTGATTGTAATCATATATGGATACCAGAGGTATTTCCTTTGTCTTCTATTTTTATTTATGCATGAAATTCTTATAAATATGCCCAATGTGATGGGCATTTACAATTATTAGAATATGCTTTCATTTTACTTCAATCCTTACTTGTGCAATAGTACCATATTAACTATCGAACATGTAATTAAAATAAAAATACTTCCAATAGGAAATCGACGAATACCTTGAATCTTTAATTATTCCAAAAACAAATACCTATTTTTCACAAAAAATTAGTTTGATTTATGTAATAAAATACAATTTTAGAACTGGTACTTTAAAGTTTTTGTTATCAATACTGTCAACATACTTCCAGACTAGTATATTACATTTTTTACATAGTTCATACATTCTAATTTGGTATTAGCACCTAATAATAAAAAAGGCACATTCACATGTCACAATGTTGATATCGTCCGCTAGATGGCACTGGTCTTCTTGGTGACCATAAAGTTTAATAAGTAAAGGACTCGAATAAGCGTGAAAAAGTTTATCATTATACAAATGGGTTATTTGTCGTGATAATATTATTTATGGGCGATAGGAAAAAAAATGTAATACAAAAAATTTGATCTACATAAACGGCGAAAAATTCCTACATGCCTAAATTATTTTTTATTTTGATAAGTGCTGGCATTTCAAGCTCGATGTAGAATCTGTGATCAGGGGCCTAATTATATAACGATGTTATTAACAAAACTTAGACCGTACATACCTGAATAAACATATATCTGCTGTACGTTAAAATAGTTGAAAATTAACTCACGAGCTTTAAACTTTAAGTGCAATATTCGGAAAACTCTCTTTTCTTATTACAAAATGGGTGATTGATTTGCTACATTCTAGGAACAATTTCAGAGATGCAGATTCTAAGTTATACGGTTCGCAATTGCATCTGATAAGTATTCTGTACATAATTACATAACTATATTTCAACTGGTTACATTTGAGAATTGTTAATAATATATTTTTTTTATATTATAATTAAGACCCAGGACGTTTGTAACAGCATAGAAATATCGAGAGCTGGTAACTAATATTTGTCATTATAAATATCCCGTTTACATTATGTATAACTTTTTATACTTATCAATTATGACGCAGATGTGCCCACCTGTGCTGTAATATCAATAGCTTATCTCGAAAAACAACTTTCGTTATCAGCAGCAATATTACACTTAATATGATCTACTATTGTAATCCAGTTACGTGGCTGATAACATATTAGCTGTCTTTATGATCTTTTACGCGGGAAAGAGTCCATATAAACGTCTCTGTCAGGCCATCCGCACCCCCCTAGGGAGGTGAGAAATAAATAAACTTGACGTGTCTTCAAGTGTCTGTTTGAAATACTAAATTAACAGCTTTTCTCTAAATGCGCATGAAAGGTAGGTAGGTATTTACATCAAATATATTTTTTGGTGTAAGTACTTTCACCCGCAGGTGTAATATGGAGTAAAGAATAAGTTTAAGCAATTATTATTTCATATTCTTTTTAATAAAAAAAAATAAATTTCACTCGACGTAGTCAGTCGCGGGTAACAAGCTGTTTAAAACAGATATCACTGATAAAATCACATTTAGGCAATGAGTCATTATAGCCATATTTTTTAAATAAAATACGGTATGGATGAAATCAATTTCGAACTATTAATACCACTGGGCGATTCTTATCAAAAATCATGCTACATGATTGAACAAAAAACATATGAATCACATGACAAATTATATAAATCATAATATATGTAGATGTGAAGGAAATCAAAATAAATAACTCAGGGCATTACTCACAGCGCCATCTAGTCCTAAAGTAACCAGAGTACTACGAGTACTAAACAAATAATAGAAATACTTAAATATAATTTATTACACATACATAATAAACATGGAAAACGACTGGCCGATACAAACAATCCTAATAATATGAATGTATAAAACATGCGAGAATAGAATCCGCGACCATCGAAATTAAGCCTGTGTGATTAACCCTGTCTTATCACAAAAAGATAAACTTGGTTTAGCACTAATAATAAACAATAGACCAAAGTATTCCTTATTACAAAACGAAACTTATGTTGTCTAAACCGTGATTCGTCTATGGTCTAAAGATAGACCTTTAGCGATTTAGCACACGTCAACATTATTACTAAATTACTGTGATGAATAACAATTTTCATAATTTGTGTTAAAGCTATTATAATAATAAATTACTTCATTGTTTTATTACATAAATTATCTACTGACAATTACAAGATTACGAATACTAACAAAGATTAACACCAGACAGACTGAAATTACTTGGTGTTTCGATATACTTTCTTGTCTCCAGTGCGTGCGTCTAAAACATAACGCTGGCATAAATGGTCGTAAAAATAACGACCGATTGCCACAGAAGAAATGAAGACGAACAAAGATTATATATGACAATATACGTTTTAATGTATACAACAATCACAATGATTACATTTTCAAGAATATATACTTGAGGAAAATATGCAACTACTACTGGGATCTTAGGAAGTCGTTTAAAAACAAAACTTATTATAATGTTTTAAGACTCCATTTCAGGTACATTTTGCACTTTACAAACAAAAAATAAGACTTCCCGTATATTTTTGATTTAACACATATCAATTGATCTTTACTTATTCTAAAATGCTTGTTATGTAATAATAACGGTTATATCATGATTGCGCGCGGATTTTGGCGACAAAACTTTTATTTATTATGGAAAATTTGTGATCTTTTCATACCGTATAGGATTCCAATTAATTATTATTATAATATATATTGAATTTTGTTATACCTGTTATATAATCTTACATTGATACATGCAAAAACTACTGAACGGATTTTGTTGAAATTAATATAGCTTATATACCAAAATAACACATAGGTTATAATTTAATAAGATATTATGTAAATTGGCCGATATGTAGATATATATATATAATGATAAATGTCAAGTAAGTGTGATGAAGCCGAAGTTGAGCGGGACAGCGAAACATATTATCTATATATATATAGTAGTAGTATATACATAGATAATATGTTCATAATAAATAAAACTAATAAGCTATTCTTGAGCCTCAGAATAAAGCAATGATTATAGTCATCACATGCTTATTACTAAAATGCATTAACTCAAAAATTGCAAATTTAAATAATTCAATTATTTCTATTTGTTCTAGGTTATTTATATTTTATTCTAGTATTGTGAATTGTAATGATATAATAAATTAGAAATATTTTTCAAAACTTACTATATAAGCTATGGAAGAGTGGAGCCACATGCACGTTTGTTTTTTCACAAGTATCTTAAATTTTTGAATTGGAATAACGTTTTTCAGAACTAGAATACTGGGAAGGTGCAGAATAGATATATGTATACGATTAAGATATTGTATTATTACTAATGTGACTGTTATCGTTACATTACCCTACTTTGTACAATATAATTTTTTAATTCCATTAAAGATTATTATTATTACTAAGTATAATAAACATAGTAATATCTTTTCAAAGTTGTACGTAATCTTCAGAGTTTCAGCTTCCCAAAGACAGCTTCTTATAGAGCCTCAAACTTGTATGAAAGAAAAAAGTTTTGATTTAAGAATATAATTACATAATATAAAGTACCTATACATAAACTAATTGTGATCTACTCCAATACCAAACAGATATAAACATGATAATGATATATTCATTATCATGTTTATATCTGTTATAACTAATTTAATTTAAATTTTTTATTATGTATATCATAATATCATTACATATTTATTCAAATACATAAGAGGCCATCCATATATCTCGTTATGACGTTTGGAAACCATTCCCTTGTCACAGTTTGTCACATTCATGTCACATAATTTACATTTACAAATTATTACTTTAACAAATACACAACAGTACGGGGAATTGCTAGTGATGGGGACTATTGACCATATAGCTAGCAATGTACCATGTCAGGTCGGCCTCCACGTGGTACCTCACGGAACCATCATGATAAATGACTGGTTAATTTGCCATGGTGGGCTAACTGACCTGACATCATGCTCATGTTATCATCCTCCACCGGTGCACCGCCAGTATAAACCGTTAGCGCGGGCGGGTGTACCATTTCATTAACATTCATTAAAAAAACACAACATTTGGCATATTTGTTTTATTTCTATTCAGGTAAATTCATCGACCCCCTTTACCTCAAACTGTGACGTCATTTATGGATAACCCCTTACAGTTACAATTCTAGTGGACTACCACTTTCCTTAGAACATAAATTTATTCGATTTCTCTTCAAACACTAAAATACCAGGTAATCTGTAGTACAAAGGGCAAATAAACTATTTTAGGCACATCTTATGCGAGATATGACTCGCGATTCAGTTTTTTATCATAAAACTTTATCACGCTACTAATATCATATCTACAAGTTTTTGGACGAATTCGACTTGTAACACAGGGGGCTGATTCAACGGAATCGAATCACGACTCGAATCGAATCGAATTTACATTTACATGATACAATGTTATCAATGGTTTTTCAATTCTTTGAAATTATCAATAATTATTATGTATGTATGTTAGGTATATATTAATAATACCCCTGGACAAATTACACAACGCCGTGTAGTTTCAAAAAAGCTAGTGTTATGGGTACTAGACAACTGATATAAATATATAGAAGACACCTAGACCGATACAAACTATCATACTCATGAATACAAACTTTTGTACCGTGCGAGGATGCGAATCCGCGATATAATTTATATTTACATTTCTATATACTTAAGTTTGTATCGACCATTATCATGGATACAACTCGATATTCGATTCGTTCGCGTTCAAAAGTCGACCCTCTGTTTTACATTTAAACACAATTTGATTAGTATCATATCTCGGTGTAATATGTTGGCCTATTAATTTGCAACAAATCAAATACATTTGGCAGAACATATGTCGTGTTGAACCCGATCATGCCATATGTAAAATATTTATAACAGAGCTCCACAATTATCTTATTCTTATTGTCCAAACTATTTTCTGAGTTTCTGAGTTCATTTTTGTCTTTCCCTAGTAGGGCACAAACGAATGCGTAAGATACCGACTTGCCGGCTGCTCTAGTGGCTAAAACACCGCAGAAGCCTAGTATGGTCCTGAGTATAGTGCATCCCAACATCTCTATGGACGGCCAGATGATCTTGTATGGCGGGCGGTCGGTGCTGGCCGTCATGTTCCCGAGCTGGTAGTTGGTCCAGGAGCCAACCAGGATTCCCGCGCATACGCTTACTATCATTGTAGTGTCGCCTCTGTCGATTAAAAATATAAAACTCGTTAAAAAATATAGCTGTGCGAATATTGGGTCTTAACATGTTTTTATTTTTAAATTTTACATTCATAAATAGTCCAGCAGCCTGATTAAAGTTTTATATATTATTATTATTTATTTACTTCATGCAAGTAGGCCCATATTATAAATATGTACCTTATAGACTAACATACATACGAAATAATATTTTAAAACTAATATATTGATATTGTCTGTGTGGTCACAGCACTGATGACGGCAATCTGCCATGCATATAGTGAAAATATTTGATTTTTTTTTTTGTAATGGGTCAATAGTTTACGAACTCGTCACAAAAGTGTTACAGATCTTTAACATAGCTAGTCACATTTGTGAGACCCCACCACCTTAATGTGACGTCACAAAATTTTGCAAAGATTGTTTTTTATTTTTGCCATACAATGCACAGTTTGTCCCTATAACAGCTAGAAGACTACATTACCAGGGATCCCAAGGGATGTATTTTACTAAAAAAGAGAGCTCCAATAATAATTGTACCCTTAGGTGGCCTCCCAAAGAGTAGAATGCTCGCACTTGCAATACATTTTTTAAGTATGATATATTACAATTCATATATTACATAATAAACAATATAGAGATAATAAGATAATCAAAAATTCACAAATACCAGTATACAGTCAAATACAAATATTTAATATGATGATAAAGTTGTATATGTATATCAATTGATAATGTATGTAGGTAATGTCAGCATCGTACGATATATGGCACACTAGTACAACAGTGGATTAACTCAAAATTACATACTTTGGAAATACCACTCTAAAGCTTTAGATTTTAAGTCTATTTTTAACAATTTTAAATTTATACAATACTGGAATAACTCAAAACTACAAACTTTGGAAACACCACTCTATAGATTTAGGTTTTAAGTCTAATTTCAACAATTTGAAGTCTATGAGTTAATTCAGTATTGTACTAAGTGAGCGATATGTAATAGTAGACAGGGAGATGATTGTTAATAATGGAGAATAGTAGCCCCTTGATAATAATGTAAATCCCCTTTAGAATCCATTTATATATGTCGTCTTTATTACAGCAAATTCAGAAAGGAATTAAAATAGTAAATACACATTAACTGATACAAAAAGCGATCTTATCGCTACGAAATTTCTTACAGACTACCTTTGGATGGATAAAGAAATAAAAGATAAGAGTACTGATGAATTTGTCACGATGCTCTAAACATTACTAAAGTTTACCCTATCATTCTCCATGTGCCGCACCAGCATATACCGGATGCTACTATTTCGTAGGAATGAATGAATGAATTATTTCTTTGCAGCCAAACACCGTAAATATTATTAAAAAATATAGGTTCAACAATCTTACTCATATTATAGGAATAATATGAGTAAGATTGTTGAAATTTGTTACTCTTGCTGAGTTTGTAGGAACAAACTCAGCAAGAGTAACAAATTTCATAAAAAATACTATAGCGTTTATAAAGTTAAAAGTTTATAAAGTTGAATGGATAGCTAGAGGATTGGATGTTTGTTACTCTTTCTCGCAATTCTAGTTGGATTAGTTTACAGGTAAACAAAGAATACAGAAAGTGATCACATATAGATATTTAGTCATTAGTCAATTTCTTCTATAACGTCTACGTGGAGTCACACCTATATCGATCGTCAAATAGCTAACTTTGTAAACTATGTTTGGTGTGTAGGTCAGTTTGTTAAATTTATTAATTTACATTAACATTAATTTAAATTTGCATACTCTAAATGTAGCTGAACATGGAACTATATACTATTTCTAAGAAGAATGTAAACTATTCAAAACGAATAATTATATAAATAGGCAGTGAATTTACAGGATAAGAGGCATGAGTTAATTAAATTAAAATTTGCATACTCTAAATGTAGCTGAACATGGAACTTTATATTTATTTCTAAGAAGAATGTAATCCCTTAAAAACAAATAAATAAGCAGTGAAATTACAGGTTACGAGGCATGACATCTTAGTCCTCCAGAAAGACCGCGCACGAGTGTTATCACGAATGTCACATGATAACATGATGTCCTTAGCAGTTCATGTAATTATGCGACATTACTGTTGTTCTATGAGGTAGGCCGTTAAGTTGTTTACCATTCCCATTACAAAAAAATAAATTCATTCATTATGTTCATTCTCATATATTTATATATATATATTAGATGACCCGGCAAACGTTGTTTTGCCATATAAATTAAAATCGCTATTAATTTTAAAGTCAAAATCTATGTCAAGTCGTTTTGGAGGAGTATAAACACGAAATTTTATATACCAGATATGTACATCATAGACTTCATGACAACGAATCACTGTCTACTGCTTAAAAAGAGCCTTGACTTGCCTCTACATTTTGGGTTCTTTGTAAGAAACGTTATCATTCATTAATCCTTCGCGGAAGGTCGTTAATTGGCGCCGATGAATTCAAATGACGTAATCGATCACATCATCTGAATCCTCGATCATGTGGTCACGACGCTACGCGAAGATTGATAAGGCAATCTAAGACTTATACTACTTAATGTACCTTTTTTTTTATTGGTGGTTTGGGCTATTGTCAGGTGCTTGGATCTGTAGCACTGCGATCTACATAGACCTATTATGCTCGCCCTTTTAAAAATTCGCTGCCTACGCCAGTCAGGGACTAGAATTGAAAGATATTCTTAGGAGCGATGGTTTTTATCTTCTCAGTAAATAGTGTATATTTTCCAAAGGAGATATTACGTTTATGCATTAGTGGGCTACGTCCACATAGGATGTGTAGTGTATAGTGTGTATAACTAAGCTTATTCATTATTTGCTATTCTTAAGAACCAAGGTCAGCGAAGACAAATGCTTTATAGTTTTTATTTAAATTTTTTGTTGAATTTTTATGTTTGACTGACTTGTCGGCCGTGTGATATTTATAGCAAATGTGTGATCCTGGTGATTTATATTATTGTAAAGTTTCATTAAAATCTATTCAGTAGTTTTTCCGTGAAAGAGTAATAAACATCCATCCATCCATACATCTACACTCATAAACTTCCGCGTTTATAATATTAGTAAGATTGTCAGTAGAGGACGGTTTCGAACTTAAATGCTGTCGTTATTGTTATTTTTTTTTATTGTAATAATTTACTGATAAAGACTATTACAGAATAGAAGTGAGGGTGGACTTACTGTCCCCTTTGAGTTATACAGCGTTTTGTCTCGAATACCTTTGGATTTTAAGCAGAAGTTGTAACAGTTCAATATTTATGACAAATAAAGATGGTTATTATTATGGTTGTTTTTAAATGCATTATTTCATAATCTATACATATAAATAAAATTGCAGTGTCTGTTTGTAATATTGAAATAACCGTTTTTTATTACATGCATATGAATATAAATACGGTACATACACCAAAATAACATTTTTTACAATTTTTGTCTGTCTGTCTGTCTGTTTGTTCCGTCTAATCTCTGAAATGGCTGGACCAATTTTGACGGGACTTTTTTTAGCAGGTAGCTGATGTAATAAGGAGTAACTTAGACTACTTTTATTTTAGAAAAATGAAGTTAAATTCCACGCGGACGAAGTCGCGGGACGAACTGCTAGTATTAAATAAAATAAAATGACTTACCTTGTTGGAGTCCACTTGTCAGCGTTTGGATAGAAGACAATTGCCAGTATTGAAATAGCTATGACCAGGAAGGGGGCATAGTGTGATGTGAGTATGACCCCATCGAGCCAGTCTACAACTGGTATCAATACTACCAACAGAGCACTTGACAGTAGCAGACCTGCTGCTATATCCTGTAACATCATATTTAATGTTATGGCATAGTGGTATACTAAGTAACATAACTTATAGACCTGAAGGTTGTGAATACAAATCAGGCTGACATCAAAATCTTTGTATTTAAATTTACCAACTGATTCTGCAGTAATAAATGCACTGGATAGATAAAAACACTGGTACTAAATTTAAATAATCTGAAAGATAGTCAGCCTCTGTGGTCTAATGGTTTAGCACAACGCCTTATATCCAGTTGTCACTGGTTTGATTTCTCGCCCAGTACAAACATTTGCATTCTTGAGTATGATTGTTTGTATCTGTCTGGGTGTTTTCTTTATATATTATGTACGTATAAAAAAACGTAAGTATTTCAATCAGTTGTCTAATACTCATAACAGAAACTCTGTTTAGTTTGGGACTAGAAGGCGCTGTGTGAATTGTCTTGACATATTATTACAATCTCGCATATCTGCGGTAGATTTACACTAAACTATGTTGTATTGGAAAATATCTACAAATAGGAACATAAAATCGAAGGCTGTGACAACACCAAGACTATAACAGGACATTTTTGCACTTATGCAATAATTGCAATATGTATATCATTAATAGCAAGGATGTTATGGATATAAAATTTCGGATAGGGATAGGTTACGGATATAGGAATGATTATTATACCGGATACGGATACGGATGCGGATATGAAATTATTTTGGATTATCCGTTAGTTTTGGATATTTTCGGTTACGGATATTAATATTTTAAGGTTTTTCAGAAATAAAATACAAACAGCTAATAAAATGGTTACATAACGTGTCTCAATTAGGCTCCGCCCCTATCCGATATTGTCCGAAACTTTTATTTCGGATTCGGTTAAGGGTACGGATATTTTTTTATATCGGCTATCCGATAATTTCAGTTACGGTTACGAAGCTCCTTAACATGATTAATAGTATAAATATCATGCACATCAATAATATTTATATTATTAATAACATAAATATTGAAATTTATATTATTAATAATATAAATATTATTGCATAAGCCAATCAATTAAATTATTTAATCATAATATGCATCATGTTATGATTTAATAACAACTATACTAGATGATTAATACTAATATTAGAAAGAGGAAAGATTGGACTTCTAAGTATAGTTTATAATTAACTGAAAAAATACTTGATGTATTAAACATTATTTGTTTTTTTGTTCATCCAATAGTATAGACAGTAATAAAAAGAAATAAACTTACCAAAACACTATGCATTCCTAGGTAAATCCTACTGACACATATGAGGGTGCACCAAGAGACAGCAAGCAGTGTTCCCCAGTGGGCTGGATATTCATACCTGTCCATGGTATAGAGTAAAACAGAAAATGGTATTGAGACACCAACCATGGCATGAGTTGATGGCATACCATATTCAATCGCCCATTTTGTTTGTAACTTCTTAACTGGATAACCTGGTCGTGGCCAGCGTATTATGTCTTTGAAACCTTGTCCTGAAAATCATTTAAATATTTTTATAGACCAATCAAAATAGTCATTACTTATCATAATAGAATCTCTATTCTTTTGTGTTTCTAACAATTTTAAGTTAAAAAGAGATCAGTATGTACTTCTTCATTACATTATGATATAGTGTGACATGGTTTTTATGCTGGAAGGACATCAGTGCAAGATAAAATCAGGACAGTTAATCCATCATGGTGATAACACCAGGTATTAGCCGGTAATGCTTTCCAGGGGGAATCATGTTGTATGGAGTACTGTGGAGGTCGAGCTGATTATATATAAGGTATTTAAAGCATTTCTCAAAACTTTTGATCACATTAATGAGGACTTATTAATAAATGCAAAACTTAATCAGCAAGAAAAAATAATAACATGATATTAGGAATCCAGATATCATGTACAGTGGGTTGCCAAATTAATAGGGACAGTCACATTTTTTATAATTTTTGTTCTTCAAGTGGTCTTGACTACGTTTTTAAGTGGTAAAAGTTTTTTGCTGATATGTTTTTATGTTCACCTTGTCTCTATAACTCAAATTCAAAGTGAATTTCAAGTGCTGAGAGATTTGTTTATTTTGGAAATATATTTTAATGATGGGAGAGACACACAGTCGTTCACACGTGTAAAAGTGAAACACGTAAATTATTCTTTTAAACAGTTCTTTAGTGGTTTTGTGAAATAATCAATACCTGCAAGTAAGTAATATTTTACTATAATTAAAATTAAAGTATTTTGAAGCGGATTTTAGAACAATTTTAATTTATTTTTATATTTTCAGCTTTGGCTATGGGTCGAGGGGTAGATTTGACTCCGAGAAAAAAATCCGAGGTTAAAACCCTTCTCCTACACACAAATCACTCTCAGAGGATGATAGCACAACTGGCCGGGATATCGAAATCTGCCGTCAATAAAATAAAAATAAATTTAGATCAAAATCAGCCACTTTCGCCCAAAAGAAAAGGCAAATGTGACAGAAAACGTATCACAACAACACGTTCCGATAGGAAAATTCGAGATATCTGCTTGCAAAACAGAAAGAAAAGTGCTGGATTTTTAACTCAGATAGTACAGGAATCTGGAATACGTGTTTCAAAAAGAACTGTACAGCGAAGGTTGGCAGAGGAAGGCCTGACAGGTCATCGTCCAGTTAAGAAACCCCGATTAACAGAGGCGATGAAAAAGAAAAGGCTTGCTTGGGCTCGTGAGCACCGCCTGAAAACTGTTGAAGACTGGAATAAGGTCAGTTATATGGTTAATTTTATTTTTGTTATATAAAATCATATTTACAAAAATTATAAATAGTTTCTATATTTTTTTAGGTATGTTTCTCAGACGAGTCAACCTTTGAAATTTTGGCCAACAAAAGTAACTTCGTGAGGCGGCGCCCAGGCGAGAAATTTCATCCTGATTGCATAGTGGAATGAATTAAACACCCTGTAAAAATAATGGTATGGTCTGTCATCAGCGCAAAAGGTGTTGGGCGCCTCTATATCGTCCAGGGAACCATGAGACAGGACCAATACAAGCAAGTATTAGAAACTCGTCTGTTGCCGCAACTTCAGGAATGGTTCCCGAATGGGGAGGAATTCGTGTTTATGCACGATTCAGCTCCATGTCATAAAGTGAGGAGTGTAACCAAATTTTTGGAAGACCACAACATTCCAGTTTTACCTTGGCCTGGCAATTCTCCTGGTATGAATCCCATAGAAAACTTGTGGGAAATTACCAAGGCGGAAATTGCTAAGGAAATCATAACTACCAAAGTAAAACTAATTGAAAAATTAATAAATGTATGGTTTCACAATCCCAAAATAAAAGAAAGTGCTAAACAGTGTATTGAAAGTATGCCGAGGTGGATTCAAGCACTGATAGAAGAAAAAGGAAATGTGACAAAATACTAATAATTTCCCATCATCATTTTTATTATACTTGTTTATATTTTCTAGTTGTTCAAATATTAAATTATTATAGTCTAAATTCATTATAAGATATGTGTCTGATATTATTAAATATAATTATAGCCTAAAGTGACGTTTTTAATTAATTATAGACCAATGTTTTACAAAAAACGAATATTTCGTGACTGTCCCTATTAATTTGGCAACCCACTGTATACAAGGAAGTGTTTAAATACAATATCAAACTTTGAATATTTGCTTCCAGACAGACATGTTAATATGCTAAAAATATTTGCTAATACAATTTACTTGTTTACTTAGAATGTCAAATTAAATTAGACATACCTATGTACATAACAACAGTCCAGACTAAGACGACTCTTCTACCAACAGCGCCATCAATATTCCAGAACCAAAATGGTATGAAGGTCGCATAGAAGATCTCGTCACCTAGTGCGGTGCCCAACACAAACACATAATACCAGAATTTATTGTTTATCAAACACTCGACTTCGTCCTTGGTACTGTCCGATGAGGCATCGGTTTCGTAGGAGGACCCCGAACTACTTGATATATTACTCGGTATTCTCTTATGCTGCTTGATATCAAACTCCTCGCTCTCACGTTCCAATCTTTCGGAATGTACAATCTCGGAGGTTTCGTTCTTACGAACACTTCTATATATAACACCAAAAAAGTTTTGAACTTTAACTACGAGTAAAGGATCTTTCAAATATTCGACAGCGTTATTCCACATTTTGCAGTAAAAATAATTACTTGTATTCTAATTTTCAAGTAACTCACTAGTAAAATAATTAATTTTATAAATTTTACAAAACTCGTAATTTAAAGGTTTTCATAATTTAATTTATTTAATTTTTTATACATCGAGCCGATCACAGATCATGAGATTATAATGACGTCTAAGGGATGTTAAAATATGCGATTAGAGTATAATCGATTATAGTATAGTATAATTATGAAATAATCGATTAAACATTAATATTTTTTGTATTAATTGTTAATCGTTTTCTTTTAATGGTTTTTAGTCCCCGCAAACTGTATAGTTTTGAATTCAATTAGTTATTTTTTTCATTGTTCATACCATAGTGTGTCACGTTTATAAGGGGGCATAGATTACGTTGGGACAAAGTGTCATTTTGTTTGTTATAAAAAATAAAATATAATATTTACTGGCTGTTGATTTATATCTCTAACTCGCTTTTGACACTGGTATTATAATAAAACCTTAATCCAAGAGATCCATCTGCTATGCTGTATTTAAGTACATCTAGCGATGTGTACCTAGGTATATCGAGTATTGCATTCATCATGATGTTAAAAATCAACAATGCCATCTCGTTTAATAGCCGTGGCAGCAACAGTACATGTGCGATTTTTTTCAGAACTGTATTTTTTAACAGACCTGTTGAGAGAAAAACAAAGCTAGAGTCTAAAAACACGCTTGTTGTGTAAAAAGAGCAAATTCAAGTAGTGACTTAAACAAACGAGATGGCTTCGTTTTATTGTTGATAATTTTTTAATTGAAAATTATAATATCTAAATATATTTTTTAGAATAACCGATTGTATGTGTAGAATGTCCACCCCTATTGTATTCACCACAGAGTACTAAACACATCCACTTATATGTAACCACGGATACTTACAAAAAGATTGCTTGCACCGTTTCAGACAGAAGCTGTATTGTTTTAAGTAAAATAAACCGTTTCAAATTGAATGGAAGTATTCAATTACTTGATTTATACTCAAGATTGCTGAAACTAGGCAGTATGGATCATGCTCTTCGTCTAGCCAAATTTTAAAACAACAATTACATATGATCGTTTTGTCATGTATCTGACAATAACTGTTAATGTCAAATACATAACATTTATTCTCTATTCGAAATATTCTGAAAATAAATAATCATCGAATATTCTCAAATAAACTTTGCTTATTCGTGTATATTAAATTGAGTTCCAAAAAGATCGAAACTTAAACAAAAAAATTCGTCTAAAAGTTACAGTCTTTAAATATTCGTAATAATTTGTTTATTTGGGTTACATTCGCAACTTCCGAATTTAATCAACCAGTGTATATAATTTCTTTTTAAAGTGAATACCTACATACTTAATTTTCGGGCGGAAAATTAAATCATGTTTTATTTTGTAAATTCTAACTAGTCGCTTGCGCCTTAAAAGTTTCAAGATACAAATTTACATGTAAGTAGAAATCAGTTTTTGTTTATGTAAATAAACAAGTCAATTCGGTAGTTAGATGTGTAATCCTTACAATACGCATCAATTTCTTTTAATAAATTTGGCTTGCTTCTTTTTTATTTGTATATAATGAAATTATTAAAAGGGGAGAAATAATATCTAACTTACATTTATTATATTAGAAAAATATATCAATTAGAATATTTTAAATATTAAATGTTAGTATAAACTTGTCTAATTGTTTATTTCCTATCAACTATCCGTTGAGTTGTCAAATCTGTAACTATCAAATTCTATATGAAGCTAATTATTATTATATATTATAGAATTAAATTATTCATGTTTAAAACTTGTTTATTAATTTATTGTCTATATTTATAACTCAATGAAAATTGAAATTTAGAATTAATTATTGTAACAAGGATTATGATTTTTTATTGATAATGGTAAGAGGCAGTTTTGGGTTAAAATGTATATCAAAAGTACATATCAAAATACATGCTACATAATGTTTTTATCATTCGGAGAATATTAATAAGTAATCACTGTGTGTATTATTAAATATTATTTATTTAGGCATGGAATTTACATTATCTGATACTCTCCCAATCCACTTTTTTGTAATCAATCCTTTAAAATAGTTTTTAGAATTTACATATATATTAATTGACATTGATGATGTCCTAAATGATGAATAAATTTACTCTGGATTTGATGTATGCTATATATGTAAAAAAACCGTCGAAATAGAGCTGTATACCAGAGACATTGGCAAATTCATGAAATGCATCATATTATTTAGGAAAATAAAAATTTTATCATAGTTATAAATGAAAGGTAGTACAGTATTTCCCTAAACATGATGAGTCAATATTATTTAGACCATTGAAGTTAGTATCGCACCTGATCCTATACATCTACAGCTGTACAACTGATTTGTTACCACCTATATAAATGACTCAATCACTTATTTATTACATAGTGGTGCTGCATAGTATGTTTTTAAATTTGAAACAAAGTTACTGCTTCTGTATACTTATTACAGAAAAGATGAGAAATTAAAAAAAAATGTACTCATGCGAGACTGGGTTGCTAGTTATATTAATCACGGATATTTTATACTACCCACATAATATACTTTTTATAATTTAAAATATTCATTTTAGTGATAATATTAGACTATGTTCAAATAAATATTCGAAAGTTCTCTTTCAAGTTGAAATAGTGTTTTAAGAACATATATGTATGTAATAATAACATTTAGTAAAAGATAAATATAGTAACCCTATGGTTATGTTTGAAAACAAAGTTTTACCATTTTTATTTTCAAACCAATAAACTTTTTTATAAACACAAGTTATTTTAGTTATAAAATTGATTGTGTTGATTATATATCATGTATGCTAAAAGTAAATGTGGTTGTGGGTTCCCTACTAACTATTTAAAAAGCATTATAAGAAATACTGATAATTGGACAAATCAGTATTCCGTATATTGCTTTTTATGAAGAAAGGAATACAAGGGGTAGGTCCTTGTATTCATTTCTTCATAAACTACTACTACTACTACTACTACTACTACAGTATAATATTATTATATACTAGCTGTACCCGCGACTTCGTCTGCGTGGACTTTACCCTTATTTTTCTAAAATAAAAGTAGCCTAAGTTACTCCTTATTACATCAGCTACCAGCCAAAAAAGTCCCGTCAAAATCGGTCCAGCCATTTCAGAGAATAGCCGGAACAAACAGACCGACAGACTGACAGACAAACATTTTAAAAAATGCCATTTTGGTGTATGTACCGTATTTATATTCATATGCATCTAGTAAAAAACGGTTATTTCAATATTACAAACAGACACTCCAATTTTATTTATATGTATAGATTTATTATTTGTTTACAAAAATATATTATCTATGTATCAGTTGTCTAGTACCCATAACACAAGCGCAGCTCGGGACTAGATAGCGATGTGTGAATTGTCCAAACTTATTATTATTATTTATTTTAGTGGTAATACTTGAGATATTTCCATGCACAGAATACATGTAAAATACAGAATGTTTTATGGTGGAAATTTATTGTAATGTTACATGAAAGTCTGAGAGGTGGCAAATAATAATATACAAATACAATTATCTACGTTTCTTACTATCCTATAAGTAATGACCGACATGATAAGGTTTCCTCCACAGTCGTCGCCCCGCCGTCCGGTCGATCGGCCATACATGTTGCGAAGAATTTTCCCGCCAAATTCAAACTCCTTCGTTTCGTGTTAGAATCATTGCGTACACGTTACGTCTACAAAAAAATATAATGTAATAACTGGATCATTGGATATAATGACTCTTTAAAAACACAGTGATTACTTGCTTAGTTGGTTTTAATAGGTATGCATTTAATATATGTATTGTTAGACAAGTATACAAAATAATTAGTCATATTTTGTGACACCTGGCTCGATCACGTTTTTGTCTCATCTCCTGAATCCGTACTCAAACATGGCCAATTTCCTGCACCGGGTTTCTCCAGACATGATCTCATATATGTTACATACAATATTAAAACTTTTAAGCCTAAACCGCCCGTAATTCGTCTACGTAATTTCTCTAGAGTAGATTTAACAGTATTAAGCCAGGAGTGACAGCCGTTGATTGGTCATGCGTATTGTCTGCCTCCTGTATTAACGACAAGGTAGCTGCGTTTAATCATTCAGTTCTTAAAATCATGAACAAACATGCTCCTGCCCACTTTGTCAGGGTTAAGAGACAGCCAGCTCCTTGGATAACGGAGGTAGTTCGTATTGCCATGAGAAAACGTGATCGTGCTTTTAGAATATTCAAAAGGGATCGCTGCGAAGAGAACAGGAGGTACTTCAAAATTGCGCGCAACCGCTGCAACTATATGGTAAGAGCTGCTAAACGCCGTTACATCCACTCGAATATTCAAAATTCTTCTTCGGCCAATATCTGGAAGTTTCTCAAATCACTTGGGCTGTGCAATCAGCCCAATGATTTCTCCTCTCACTTTTCAGTAAATGAACTAAACAGACACTTTTCGACTGTTCCTGCTCTGAATAATTCTCAGAAATCTACTACATTAGCTGAGATAACATCCTGGCCTAGACTATCCGTAGAATTTTTATTTTCACCAGTTACTGATGATGAAGTCTACAAGATAATATCCTCCATTAAAACTAATAGTATTGGTAATGATGATGTGAGTAGGATTATGGTTATTCTCCTACTTGAACATTTGCTTCCAATCATTACTCACATCATCAATTTTTCTCTTTTTTCCTCTGAATTCCCTGAAGCATGGCGCAACGCTTTTGTTATTTCACTTCCAAAAGTGTCATCCCCACAGAATCTTAAGGACTTTCGACCCATTTCAATCCTGCCAGTTTATCCACCGTCAGTTATCAGACTTTGTCTTTAATAATAAACTGGTTAGCCCCTACCAATCTGGCTTTCGTCCGGGACACTGCTCTGCTGAAAATTACCGAGGACGTGAGGGAAGGCATGGAACAATCAAAATTAACCGTTCTAGTTCTAATCGATTTCTCCAACGCGTTCAACACCGTGGACCATGATGTTTTACTAGCTATCCTTTCACATCTTGGGATTTCATCATCAGTTGTTAAATGGTTTGGCTCCTATCTTCGTGGACGTCAGCAGGCAGTTCGTGCCAATCAGACATTATCGGATTGGTGCGATCTTGTTGCTGGGGTTCCTCAAGGCGGTATTTTGTCTCCATTACTTTTCTCTATCTTTATCGATTTTATCACAAAAAATCTCAAATGCTCTTACCATTTGTATGCGGACGATCTCCAAATTTACTCTCAAGCTGTTGTATCTGAGGTCAATGAAGCTATTGACCAATTGAATAGCGATCTTGATCATATATTCAATTGGTCCAATAAATTTGGTGTATCTGTCAATCCCTCCAAATGTCAAGCAATAGTTCTCGGGAGTAATCAGCAACTCAGTAAAATTAATTTCGACACTCTACCTCCAGTTCTTTTCAATAAACAACATATCGCGTACAGTTCCTGTGTTAAAAATCTCGGCTTATTAATAGACAGTACACTCAGTTGGAATAAGCATATTAATGAGGTCAGCCGTAAAATTACACTCACTTTACGGAACTTATATAGGTTGAAAAATTTCCTCCCTTTGAGTACAAAAATTCTCCTCGTCCAATCTTTAGTGCTCCCCACGCTGGATTATGCTGATGTGTGCTGTTCTGACATGAACGTAGACCTTTTAAACAAATTGGATCGTCTTCTCAACAATTCCATTCGCTTTATTTTCAATTTGCGCAAGTTTGATCATATTTCCTCTTTCCGTTCTCAGCTTAAATGGCTTCCTCTCCGCTATCGCAGAAATGTACGTATGCTATGTACCCTCTATTCTATTCTATACGATCCTAATTTTCCTGAATATATTAGTAGTAAATTTCACTTCCATGGGGACAACACCAATCGCTCCCTTCGCACAACTAGAAGATTTTTACTTCATGTCCCGGCACATTTGTCCGGTTTTGTCCATCATTCTTTCGCCGTTCAGGCTATCAAACTTTGGAACGACTTACCCCTTGACATCAGGACTGCCACGAGTAAAATTTCTTTCAAGCGAAGATTGCGGAAACATTATCTTAAAATATAATTTTGTATACTATTATTTATTATCTTTTATATATTTTTCTCTTTAGCATTAAGTTTCTTCATTTCTACTACAAGGCGAATCATATTGTATCTATTGTATTATGCTTACACTGTCGGCTGTAATCACTATTTCATTGTCAGATTATTGGTCATATATTTATGTGTGTATGGTATATTTTTGTATATGTATATGTATTTTTGTGTATATTTGTAGGAATATTTATGTAGTTACATGTGTATATATATATATTTATTCATGTATATTCTATAAAATAATATATTATTGTTTGCACCGCCAACAACTTATCTCTGCACAACTCATGGTTGACTGGTAGAAAATGCCATTAGGTGTTAAGTCCGCCATATGTACTTTTTACCTATGTATGACGTGCATTAAAGTTATTTAAATTAAATAAAATAAATAAAATATTTTTACTGGAACAGGCATTTGAATAGATTATAAAGTTTTTATCAGACTATCAAATTAAGTACCTACCTGTATAAATACTGAATTTAAACTTAATAAATATATACACTAGCTACACCCGCGACTTCATGTGCAAGTTTGTACATTTGTACACACATATATATTGGTATTATTATTAATAATAATAACAACCCAGGAGAATCCACACAGCGGGGGGGAAGGGGATTGTTAGTAATGGGAACTAGTAATCCCCATTGCTAGCAATGTACCATGTTAGGTTGACCTACACGCGGTTCCTCCTGGAAACCATCGTGATAAATTCCTAATGAATTTGTCACGATGGGTTAACTGACCTGACATCATATTCATCTTATCATCTCCCACTGGTGCCCCGCCAGTGTAAACCGTTAGCGCAGGGGGGTGCACCATTTCATTATCTTCCAAAAAAAAATCCACACAGCGCCATCTAGTCCCAAACTATGCAGAGTTTGTGCTATGGGTACAAGGCAACTGATAGATATACTTACATTTTTTTATAAATACATACATAGATGTCATCCAGAATACAAACAAACATATTCATAACTATAAATGTTTGTACAGAGCGAGGATTCAAACCCGCGATCATTGGAAGTACAACTCTAAACTGCTAAACTTATGTTCTCTCGCACTTATTTTTATGTGAACCTTGAGAGTCGTAATAATAGTACGTACTGTAATTTTTATCCGACAATTGTAGAAACGTTTAATTGTTTACTCTATGATAATGTATCGCCAAGTAGCCGACAACAAACAGTATACGATGCGAACACTGATAGAGGGCTGCCGCGGGGCAGACTGATAACACTTGTGTGGCGCTCCAATATACCACTCTGTATCTCTATGTATTGTAGATGACCCAAGTTTCTCTACACTCTTAGACCTATCCTATATCGTAGACTAACGGAGACCAAAATGTTTACCAAAGTTTTGACTTTATATAAAGTCACCTCGCCAACGGCCTCGGTGAGGGGGATGGGGATTGTTAGTAATGTGGATTGATAACCCCATTGCTAGAAATGTACCATGTCAGGTCGACCTCCACGCGGTTCCCCCTGGAAACCATCGTGTTAAATTCCTGGTGAATTTGTCACGATGGGCTAACTGACCTGACCTCATGCTCATCTTATCATCCTCCACTGGTGCCCCGCCAGCGTAAACCGTTAGCGCAGGCGGGTTCACTCCATTCCATTATCATCCACAAAAAAAACGGCCTCGGTGATCTAGTGGTTTAACAAGCTGCTTTTCTTCCGGTGGTCACGCGTTCGATTGCTCGCGCCGTATAAACATTTGCATTCATGAGTATGATTGTATCAGTCTGGGTGTTTTCTACGTATAATATGTATGTATTTACAAAAATCTGTATCTAAGTATTTATATCAGTTGTCTAGTATTCATAACATAACCTTTGCTTAGCTTGTATTTGGCGCTGTGTGAATTGTTCTGTAATATTATTATTATCTGCGTATATATCACATATATCACCCAGCTATGCGTTTTTGTATACTGTGCTTCGGTTGGACTTGTCCTTTGGTTGACTCCCTGCCGTATCTCAACAACACGGGACAATGAAGTTACGCAGGGAGCATAGATATAACATCTTAGTCTTCCGAAATAGCAACACACGAGCATGAGGGCTACTGCGGATATCACATGATGACGTGATGCCTGTGAAGCTCTTCATGTGTAGGCAACGTTTGTCACTGGGAGAACGGGGTTTTTAGTAATGTAGACTAATAACTCCATTGCCAGCAATGTACCATGTCAGGTTGACATCCACGTGGTTCCACTGGATATTATCGTGGTAAGTTGCCATTTGCCAAGATGGGCTAACTGAGCTGAATTCATGTTCATTTTATCAGCCTTCACTGGTGTTCCGCCAGCGTAAACCGTTAGTGTAGGTGGGTGCATCATTCCATTATCATCCATACATTTTCACGCGTTTGTCACTAACAACAGGTGGACATTTCAATTACTTAATAAAATACTAACGACTTGCCTTATAAACTTGCCTCGAAGTTTATAATCCCTAGCAATATCTTCAGACTAAAGTCGTATCCGCTAAGAAGTTGTACTTCCGCCGCTTCTAAATACGTTCAGGATATATATTTTGGATGCGGTTTTTATTAATGAATGTATAAGTGTGTAATAATTAGAAATCATTTTTAACCTAATTGATTTACAAACAAAAATAATACTGATAAGATGTCGCGGGCTCAGCTAGTCAATAAATATAATTCCTAATGTCACTACAAACAGATACCTAATACTCATGCACTCAGAAATATTACAATAATGTTTAACGTAGATAACCGTTCTTATCTCACGTTATGTATTACGTTATGAATATGAACTCTTGGTGCAGGTCGGCACGCGGTGAACATGACGACGAACCAGGATGGGGAACCAGACACTCTCAAGACGTATTGGGATCATTTCTTCAAAGCAGAGACCGGCACTTATGAGGTATGACACTTGAGCGCAACTTCGTCATGCTCTCAACTGGCAGCAACCATTCAATTCAAATTTAAAATCATTTATTCTTGTAGGAAATTTCAGCCGCTTATGAACGTAAAATTTTTTATATTATAATTTTTTCCCTACCGTCCAGTTTAGTATATAGATCCATTGAAAAGAACTGGCAATAAACTCAATTGAATAACTCTTTTTTTTTAAAGCCAGTTTATTTATATAAGTGTCTATGTCTAACATTAAATGAAAATCCTGTGTATGAACAAGTATTGCCATTCACGCTCGTCATTCAAGTACTCGTTTAGTGAGTGAGTGGCTTTGCTCTTGTATTTGTGTTTTATATTTCCATCATCATCATCTGCTTCTTCCTTATCCCATTTATTTGGGGTCGGCGTAATATGTTTTTCTCTTCCATTCATTCGCAGTCATCCCGTTATTTACTCCCTTTCTCTCCATATCATCTTTTAAACAGTCCATCCATCTCTTTTTCGGTCTTCCTCTACCCTTATAACCATCCATATTCATATGTAACACCGATTGTTTTATATTTCCATTCATTCATAATTTAAGAGCGTGTCGCTCTTAATTTTTGTCGGTGGAGCTTTCCACGATCTTCTGTCATACTTATTAAACATTGATGCGACACGACTTCAATTTTGTCTTTAATTTGCGATGTAGCTGTGCCTGGTATTCCTCTCCCCCTCTTTTCTTCTATCTTTCCCGTAATACCGACCATTTTCTATTTAACGTGGGGAAATCATAAACGGGTGCCACTTATAGGGACTGGTCTGCTCTGATAACAATAACGGATTGTTTTGTTACTCAAGTAACTATTTATTATCTACGTCACTTTGCTATTTAGTAGACTGTATTTACAAAATTCTCATAAATGTAATTCTGAACATTTATTTAAAAGAGCAAGTTTCTTTCTCATACTTCTTGTGACGAGCCTGAGTTCCAAATGGGTGGTAGAATAAAAAAAAAGCCTATAAAAAGTGCTTATATTCAATTTGTTTGAATAAAGATTATTTCTATTTCTATACCTTACCTTGGCCTTCGGCGCGCAAGAACTCTAGGTAAAAAACCTAGGGCGAAAGGAGGATGTCAAATATAGTGTTATAATTAAGTCGTAATGTAAAAGTTTACTTACATATACAAGCAACTTTTTCTTTTTGTCTCAGTAGGTCTAAATTAGAAATGATAGTTAAATTATATTATTTAGGTTACTCCTAACTGGGCTGCATATTATTTAAAAAAATATTATAAAATTGTACAATAATTTCAGCCGTGTGTACCAGGGCATGATGCTAATCATTTAACTATAACTATATATACTTTGAATACGGCCTATACTACATGATCCATTGACTTCCAATCCAATGCGCGGAAGTGAACTATCGCATTAGATTGGCTAAGTATATTTGTTAACTGATACTATATGCCGACATTAAACTGGACCATAATTTGTTGCAGAAATCCACATGGCTCGATTTGTTCTTAGCAGAATTCCTGATAAGATACAATGAAGGAGCGAACCCTAAAGAACTAATAAAATTTTGGTAAGTAACTATAATAATTGTCGCCGTCCGGATCGAATTTGGCTCAAAATCCTTTGAGCTTTGAGATTCTCTAGCAATTCAGTGCGATAATGCTGCCAGCGTTATGGCAACTTTACAATACAATTTTATGCCATGTACAGTACAATTTTAGTTGATAAATACAAGACATTTATCATAGTAATATTTAAATTAGTAATTTCATTGTATATTTCGAAGTATACTTATTATATGAAAATGTATTATAAAAAAAAATATATTAAACAGTAACTAACGTATAATTTATTCTTAGGAACCTATATTGGTGTTTATAATATATCGATATTGTTTTCATTCATATGGCTGAATCGTATGGGGCAAGTTCCCTGATTTGACTACAATACTCAAATATTTTTTATCATAATTATGTATTTACTTACTTGTTTAACTAATAAAAGAAAAAAAAAATTGATCAATGCTTTTTAGTTCAATACAAACAAAAAACAATAAATAATATATAATGTGTATATATAATTAAGTACTATACTACATGTTCAGCCCTGTCAGTGGAGTGGTGACGCTGGTCGGCTGCGAGCTGCTATGTGGCATCCACCGTGTGACGTCATCCATCAACACGCATTATACTGTGCCACTGCCGTATCTGGATACTGTTTGCTCAGGGAAGGAAACTCCTATCTTCCAACAGTCGCCTACTCCTACTCCACCAGGTAAGTTCTGTGTCTGAATCAAATAGATTTTATGTAATTCGAATGGCAAACAAGGTGTCAGCCCACATAATAGTAAGCACCAACCGTCATATAGCCATATACATGAACAGCTCTACATACATAGGGTATGCCTCTTATCCTGTAATTTCACTGCCATTTTTTCACCCTTGCAACCGAAACACATCTTACAAAGTAACCTCTTATGATATTATTTACTTTAGTATTTTGATAGTATTGCATAAAATACGTTTAAAATTATATAAAAAAGTGACATGCATTGTGGCCAAGAAATTATTAAAAAAAAATTACTTTGAACTCAGAGTCCAGAACGGAAGAGTCGAGGGTGCAACCGACCAGTCTTTTCACGATAGCCAATTCACAATCTTCCACCGAGATCCTTAGAAAGTATCTGCTTGGAGGAATTGCTTGGCGATGTCTTATTCTGCTTCGGGCCTTAGGGGTTGAGGTAAGTTTTTAATCCTATATTTTTATGAATTTGGAAAAAGCAAACAAGCAATGATCATGTCTAAATCACGTCGTCATGTGGCGTCATCCCAGAGAATTTTTGGCCTCGGTAGTCTAGTGGTTTAGCCCACCGCTATATATTCGATGGTCGTGGGTTCGATTCCATGCACGATACTAATATTTGTATTTATGAGTATGACTTATATTGTGTTTTGGTCTGTGGTTTTTCTATGTATATTTACAATAAATACATAATCCCATAACACAATTTCTGTTTTATCTTGAGACTAGATGGTGCTGTGTGAATTATCCTAAGATATTATTATTATTAAGGTATCCTGTAAAATCACTTTTTAAAACGAAATACCGCTTACAAAGCAAGCTGCTTGGCGGTTGAAATGTTGTACATAAGACAACAATGCGTAGAGTTAAGTCTACTGCGTAGACACTAGACGAGACTAGAATGTTTCTTTATCTAGTTAAGTATAATAGTTTTAAGATATAAACATATTGACAGTAGTCTGTAAGTTTATATTGTATTCATTTAATAAATAAATAACCGGCAAAAACGAGATAAAATCTTAGTGTTTTATTGGATCCAGTGGGTAGTACAACTTTGGTAGTTGTTTAGAGTATTTGTAAAGGTGCCCTACATTTTGTGTATATTGTCAGTAATCGCATACGACATACCGAATCGGTGGTGACCCGGGACCTCGGCCACTATACTATTACAGATAAATAATGGCTGATAACACTGGATTTAGTATTTCAGTTATTTCATTCACATTAATATTTATATTATAACTAGCAACGTTCACTATGACTATTGATATAACTATAACTAGCAAACCGCAAACGTTGTTTTGTTTATAAATTAAAATCGCTTAAAAAATAAGGGTTGATGGTAAAGATGTGTAAAAATTTAGGGTTATATGTAATTTTTAATGCCACATTATAAAAAAATAAAATTGTACAAAAATAAAAGTAAAATGTTAGACAAGCTTAGACTTATCACTTAGGGGTATAAAAAATAGATTACTATCTATTAGCTAGTAGCCAAATCTCAGACCTTATGAATATGCATATAAAAATCATAAAAATCGGTCAGACCCGTTCCGGAGGAGTATGATAACTAACATTGTTAAACGAAAATTGTATATATAAAATTTAAGTGTATGCATTTAAGTTATACAATATATATTAGTTACTTCCAGCTGACCCGCGCAATTCAATTGATTGGGGAATGGGATTGTTAGTAATGTGGATTAATAACTCCATTCCTAGCAATGTACTGTGCCTATGTGGTCCAGGTTCCCCCTGCAAAGCATTGTGATTGAACAAACTGACCTGACCTAATGCTCATCTTGTCATCCTCCACTGGTCTCCACCAGTATTGCAGACTAAGATATCATGCTTCTTATCACGCACAACAAAGCTTAAAAATAAGCTGCTTACTGGCTGTAATAAGTAATGTATTATGTAATATATAAAATGTAATATGTAATAATGTAATGTAATCTAAATGTAATATGTAATAATGTAATGTAATGTAAATGTAATATGTAAAATGTATTATGCTAAAAGTGTTCTTCATATTCAGGGCCTGTCCTGCTGCAGGCAGTTGAGCTCAGTGCTGATATGGCTGTATGGAGAGCTGAGTGGCGCACCGTCACCTGCGCAGCACCGCTGCTTGTCACCGGCCTCCACACGGACCCCCATACACCAACTGTTCTCGCACAGGTGTGTAGTACACATAAACACTATAATGAGGCTGCTCTGAAAACAATGACTAAATTACATTGCTAGTCCAGTAACTGTTATCATTATATGAATACGTATATAAAAACTTTGTATCCCTTTTTACGTAATTTACGCGGTGTATAAATTTCGCACACTTATAGTATATGTAGATAATGAGTGTAAAATGTAAATATATTTTTATTTATTCATAAATAATAGATTAAATCAATAAAATAAAACATTACATATCTACATTACTATGTATTTGATGCATATTCGCAAATATACTCTTTTGTTTATTGTTAAAATATATATAATATTTGTTATTGCTTGTTCAAAGTTTTTTTTATTTTTATTGGTCAAGCTATCATTTATTATGGTGGAATGTATGAAGTACAGGGCGACCACCAGTATTTATTTAGTTTTGTCATTCTTGCTATTTGGCAGTTTGTATTCACACAAAATCTCAAATGTGTACTTAGTATTCTCGTTCTTCTTGTGATGAGTTTGTTTTCCGCATTTGCTGTAGAATAAAAAAATATGACTTTTTTTTATCATAATGCGACTTTTGGAGTCTGCTTTATGAGTTACCGATATCCCATGGCTTTTCTCGTGATACCAGCTATCTTCACATCAAATTTCAGTAATATTTGTACAGCCACTTAGTTGTGAAAAAGTAACAAAAAATTTAAACTACGTTCACATAACATTAGCTATATATCAAGATATTTGATTTCAAACGTAAATATACACCTAAATGTGATAGTCGAAACATGTGTGGCCTTCGTAATATTTGCTAATTGATAATGTAGTAATGTTTATTGGGATAGTCAAAATATAACTTTTAAATCAGCGTGATTGATATCATCTCGTTATTTACTTTGTTAATTATCGTACAATTGTACTAATCCAATGTATGATCCGGATGAGTAGAGATAATGAGCTGCTCCTTTGTGCGTGTAAAACAAATAGATATGTATGTATATCTATTTGTGTAAAACAAAAACATATGTATATATTATCTATTATCTATATATATTATTATCTATTTGTTTTACATCTAGCAGTTACCTATTTTTATATACCGATAATTTTTATATAAGTACTGTACATACTTTCATATTTTGACGGCCTCGGTGTTTCAGTGGTTTAGCACAACGCCTTTCTTTTCGATAGCCGCGGATTCAATTTCTCGCACACTACAAACATTTTGATTCATGAGTATGATTGTTTGTATTGGTCTGGGTGTTTACTATGTATATTATGTATGGTATTTACAAAAAAAATGTATCTAAGTATTTATTTATATCAGTTGTCAAGTACCCTTAACACAGGCATTGCCTAGCTTGGGACTAGATGGCGTTGTGTGAGTTGTCCAGGGTTATTATTATTATATTATATGCATTTAGTGGAAAGCTGTCAATTTGAAATGTAATTTAAATTTAACAGCCACTTCAATTTTATTTATTTGTATAGCTGAAAGTAACTCATCGTAATGTTTAGGTCTTTCTAAAAGCCCTTGCAATGAACACAAGTATTTCGTTATAGTATAAACAAATCATTTCATAACAGTTTTTTTTTCAGGATATGGTCACAACAGAAACCTGTCGGTAGTCAAGGCTCTAAAGTGGATTCTGCAGCATCGTCAGAGAAAGGTTCCGTTGTTGGAAGGTAGATATATATTTATAATATCAATATAAAGCGTTGAGGCCTCGTTTTTTACACTAACTTACCTACCTAGCCAATGTTACGTTTTCCCCATACTTTGTCTTGATTCGATATCAAGACAAAGTATGTAAAGACGATATATTAGACAATAAATATATTATATATAAAGTATGAAAAGTATACACCTATCTGAGGAACAATTATGTCAATGTGTGAACGACCATTATAGTGTGGGTATATATATATATATATATATATATATATATATATATACATATATACGAAGATAATATATATATATATACGAAGATAAAAATCTAATAACATATTACAATAATAATAAATCGTCTTCTAATGGCATACTCTGAGATATTTGTAAGTGATATACATAATAATATAATAAAAGTAACTCGATTTCCAAATTATTCATGTCAGTTTTATCCCGTTTCAATACATACCATATATCAATATTTACAGTTGAAACAAAAATGTCCATAATCATAAAATAAAGACTATTGCATTTCAGCAGTTAATTGGTTGAATTATTTTCAGCAGATCCCGGCATGGCGCATTGATAAGGGCAGACGTGGCAGAAAGTAAGAGCAAAAGAAAATTACCTAAAAACACTGACCCATCAACTGAAGAGAGTGATTCCAATGGCGATCTTCAAATATTGAATCGTTCTATTACTATTAAAGTTTGTACTCCTGACGATGGCTTCGATTATTTCAACACACCAGTACGCTCCTCCACCGAGTATCCAATTGAAACTCTATACAGCGATCCTTATAGTACACCGCTGAAAGCTAAGCCGAAAGTAGATGACTATATGACAGACAAACATAAAGAAATACTCAACACAGAAATAACAACCTTAGAATTTGTATTAATCATCATCGATTTGCTCCAAGAACTGTGCAAAGCTGAAAGTAGTTTATCCGGCGCGGAAGGATCACAAATATCGGTGCAATGTATAAATTTCTCATTGAGAAACCTTTGCTCTCTTCAGTTTGGTTCAGCACCAGCGCAGTCCTCGGAAGGCGTCGAGGAAGCGTCGGAAACCAAAGTGGCTTTAACTGAATTACTCATAGTTTCACTGGACAAGGTCCTCGTCCATTCAGATTTATGTGTCAAATTAATAAACAACGGCATACTACCAATGTTGTTGCGAATTCTAGAAGACGTAGTCTGCAAATCTAGCAGTAAATATAGGAAAAACGACAACCATAACCGTGCCAAACCTATCCAAACACAAAATAAGACTGAATCAGAAAATTTGCTCAAATTTGTATTTGGTATATCTTATTCGATAACAGCGTTCTTCCATTGCCTGCTGATGCAGTGTCGGTCCGTGGACAAACTTAGAGAATTTACAGAACAGTTTAAATTGTACGCTGAGTGCCTTAAAGGTGGTTTATTGAAAGACTGCATAGAATTAATGATAAGAATACCTGATGTTAACCAAGAGGAGACGGTGACGTTAATCAAGAAGTTAGTCGAGACGATAGGCAAGTTAGTATGCGGTATGAAAAGAGTGAGGAGCGAAGTGATACACTCTGCCGCTTGTCCGAGAACGAGACACAAAATGTGCCGAAAGCGGCTGGCGGCCGGCATGCACCATCACCACGACATCCTGGGTGAGGCCAGCATCGATCTGCCCATGGCATCTGCATGCTGTATATCTGTTTTGTACGGAACACTGACGGCTGTCGTGATAGATGATGAGGTATCCGCAGAACCGACGTTGAGAAACAAGATTCTGAAAGTCATGTTGAACTGTGGGGTCTGTTGTTGCTTCTCCCCAGGTACTCTCATGGAAAGTATTGTGAGACTTATGTTAACGCATAACAATATAGCCTCCTTGTGCCTTCAATTGCTAGAACACACAGTTTATGGTGAGTTAGGAGCTAGCGTACTCATACCGAAAGTTACCGATCAGCTGCCGTGCTCAATTTGCGAACCATGCGATAACAAAAGAGACTTGGCTAGAAAGTGCTCTCATGGAATTAGTCCAATGGAGAGGAAAAGCGGATGGTCATTTCTTATTCACTATAATTCGTTACTGCAGCTGGACAACCATAATAACGTATTGCACGCCACGGTCAGTCATTTATTGCGAGTGACGCCCAAATGTCGGACGGAAATGAAGTACGAACTGCTGTTTAGCGTCATATATCCGAGCTTCATCGTCGCTAAACATAGATACATATTAAGATTAGAAGAGTCCGCTTACTTCCTGACCGTATCTTGTTTGAACATATTTGCGAGTCTTCTTAACTCTATATCTTTTGCTGAACAGTTCATACAAAAGGGAGGACTCAGTTACGTTCTCGAGTTAGTGTCGCTATCCGAATTTTCAAACCAATGTTGTTCGATCCTGGAAATTGCTATTATAGTGGAAATATTCAAACTTATGAGAGAAAACTCAGATGTGATGTATTTCAGAGAGATAAGCACTCTAGCGTCTGTGCAGATGCTTTTCAAATCATTATCTGATATGACGGAGAGGTGTTACAAAATATTTAGATTAAAGTTAACCGATGAACTATATGAGGAATTAAGCGATTTGACCAAGGAAAATGAGATGTTAGAGTTCACACATGCGAGTACAGAGAATGTTCAAACAAGAAATATATCTGTGCCACAATTGAATAAAAGCGATTTTTCATCAAGCGATAACATTGAAGAATCAATTGAAGATTATATTGAAGTTTTGAAAAACATATGGACCTTTTGGAAGACATGCGCGGATTTGTGTCTGTACAGTCCCATGTTTAGAGAGTACGTAGTTTGTGAAAGTGTGTTTGTTGATAGTTATGGACTGTTGAAGCTACTGCTCCATTACTTGTGCCACTGTGAGTGCGGGCCAGCCGAGACCCGAATACTTATCAAAATCATGGAAGCGCTATTGACTGTGCAGTTTGCTGTATCTGGTGAGTCACTTTTCTATAATAACATTTTTTTTTTCTTTTTAATGTGGCTGGAATACCAAACAAACTAATAGCCCTACAGATGATAAGTGGCAACCGTAGGTAGATATATATATATAACAGCACCACAGATGTCATATCCTCATATACCCGTTACGCCCGTAATAACTTATATGTTTTATGATTTTGAAGGACTAAGATCAAGAATGTCATGCCTACATTATCTGTAATTTTATCATCATCATTAATGTATATGTATTTAGTATTCATATAATATCTAACTTTTTATAGTGCGCCACTTACCTTTCCCTTACCCAATACTTCTATCTCCCTGGTTGTCTGTAAGATATTGCTTTGAGCGATAAGGACGCCTTTTGTTTGCATATCTTTCTTCTTTTATTTCTTTTTGTAATTATTTGTTTCTTTTATGCACAATAAAGAGTTTTATTATTAGTATTATAATCATGAGGATCATTCATTTAAGTTTTTCACACAAAATTGTTTATATAGGCATTCTCTACTAGTCAACCGTCGCACTGGACAGAGAAAATAAGGTGGTATAATTTAATCATAAAGATAAATACTTGACGGCGTCGGTGGTCTAACGGTTAACAACACTGCATTACTTCGCAGGTTCGATTCCTTGCATGATACAAACGCTATTTGTATCAGTTGTGACACAAACTCTAGCTGCCTTAACCAGGGTCTAGATAGCGCTGTGTGAATTTTCCTGATATTATAGAGTATTATTATTACAATCTTTAAAAAATATATGAGGTTTATGTACACGTCAATTACGTACTTTTTAGTATTATTAGTTCCTGTGTATAATTTCCAATTGGTATCCTCGCAGATCTCGCTATTATTTCTCTTAATAGACATCCTCTGAACTTTGACATGTGATAAATTGAAGCTGGATGCAAATTAATCAAAACGGTATAAAGACAGGAACCAGTTTGTTATCTAATACCTTAGGACATTCATGTCGCCTATTCAGTTTTCAGACGAGTAGCATCCTTATTCCAATGTTTATAGGTTTAAATTTCAATAAAATATCTTGAGATAGTAGTGGTTATATCTATTTGTTTGTAATGTAGGTACTTGTATAACACTAGATTGGGTTTCTCATCAATGTTCATTCAAACGGCAAACAAAATGAATTGCCGAAGAATCTTCGGAATCAGTTTAAATTTAATTAACACTTACTACTTTCAAATCAGCCGTTTAGTGATAAAAAGTAACAAACAGATGGTAAGACAGACATTTTCATTTAAAATATTAGTGCCACGTATATTCAGTACTGACCATTATGCCTATATATCCCGGATATTAAGTCTCATCAGGTAAAAAGTTTCTTAAGTTGTTAACATCTCGTGCAGATGTAACATCGGGCCGGTCTAAGGAGACCAGCTGCGGACTCATTCGGTTGGCACTCAGCGGCGTGGAGGAGGCGGAGGGTGTGCGGGGCGAGGGTGATGGGTGCGCGGGGGGCGGGGGCGGGGGCGGGCTGCAGGCGGTGTGCGAGGCGCTGCTGCGGGTGTCCGCCGCCCGGCCCAGCCTGCGACACACTATGCCCGCCCTCACTCACGCAAAGGTAAGGCAGTCTCCGTTAACTATTGACTCTTGGTTTTCCTCGATAGACAAAAGATATGGGTATGAAACGCGTGTTTGCGAGATATCTCTTTAGTGCAGTTTTTAAACTGGTGGGCGTGGAAGAATATTAAAAATAGCCCGTAAAACTATTAATGAAATTGTAATATACAAAAAAAATAAATTATGCAGACATTCGCATCGTTTATTAATTGGTTATCTAGACAACAATGAATCTCTATAACAGAGGTCAAACGAGTGCAGGAACAGCCTTAGTGGTCTAGCGGTTTAGTACCTACACCGCTTTACTTTCGATAGTCACGGGTTCGGTTACTCGCACGATGCGAACATTTATATATATATTTCTTTGTATTGATCTGGATATTACCTGTCTATATTATGTATGTATTTACAAAAAATGTGCCTAAGTATTTATAACAGTTGTCTAGGACTCATAACACAAGCTCCACTTGACTTGGGACTAGATGGTTATCCTATAGTTATTATTATTATTATAATTAGGTACTGCATTAAAATTATCCAGTAAAATTGAGTGACTAATCATCAAAAAAAAAAATCATTACTTCAAACTGTGCTCATATGAAAGGTTAAAAACCCCTGCTCTAAGATTTTAATAGAACTAAACTTCATTATAAGTTGTGCTCTATGTATTTGGTATTTAATTATCTTTGACATAAAGTCTCTAATTGTGTATATATCGAATTAATAAAATAGAAAAACATCCAATCAACGAAATGTTTACGCGACTACCTAATCAAACGAGACGAAATAAGGTATCATAGGTATAAGCGTCACATTGTGGAATTATACGGTGACCGGTTTGTTAACTGCACTTGTATGTCTTGATACGATAGATGAGTAGGGTTCCGTAGGCTTCTTATCCAATAAAAATCGCCTATACTGTATCACTTTTTTTATTAATATAATTGAAGAATTTTTGAATTTTATTTTATTGTATGTATCTTTAGTTTTTTTCGATATTTTTTATTTTTAAAATAATAGTAACTTGATTTTCTTAATTGACGGAGCTTTTAGTCCTTTATGCCTATAAATATTCAGACAAAATTATATTGGTGTATTTCTACTTTAAAACTTTAATAAATAGGTAAATGTATTCAATAATAATTTAAAAAGTATATATGAACCCAAATACTATTCTATATAAATAGAATAGTATATTTTATATATATGGAGTAAGTCAATGTATTCAATAACGTACTGAACCCAAATACTTTGCGGTCAGCTCACGGCCGCACATTCCAGCATTGGGTCGCATGCACCGGAGCGTAGGGCCGGCCTCAACACACACTTGATGCTTAATTAACAAAACTTATACGTAAATGACATACGCATTTTTAGTTATTTATCTGTGGTATTTAATTTCCCGATTATACGCAAGAATATAAGTGTGGCAAAAATGTAGTGTTAAAAATTTTCCTGTTACTTGTAGTGAGATGGATCACCAAGAAGTTAGTAAAATTGACATTGTTACAGGAAGTGGACTAAATGAAATTTGTGATTAATTAAAAAAGACATACTAACGCTAACCTTGTTATAAATCTATTTTAGCTATGCTATCTATTTTAGCTATATGGTATCTTTTGTCCTTATGACTAATATTTATTTAAAAATAAGTGACAAATTAAAACATTTTTATTCTGGTAGATTTGTTACAGACATGTTAAATAAATGTTTTTGTCATTTCACTTATAAAATCTTAATTTTTATCCTATTGATTGTATTTTACAAAGTCACGTTTAAGATTGATAAATTATCAATAACTCTACAATTATGTCTTTGCTCTATATCTGCATTATTTTGCAAAAATAATTAATTATTTTAAAACGGAGCTAAAGAATGCACGATTAGAGTACGCGGTATGCGCGAGCGAGTTTTTTTTCGTTCTCTTTGTTAACATTTACATGAATATTCTTTCTAAAGTAATTATATTCTTTCGTGAAAGCTTTTTTATTCATGAAAAAGCGTATACTTTATCATCATCAACAAAGGCAGCTGATGGTATTATTTATTTAAGCTTTGTTATTCATATAATTACAATTTTAATTTTTATTTCAAGTTTGACTAATTTGGTTTCTTTATATACATGGTCCTATGTGGGTAAAAGTCTACTCTAACTTGTTCCATTGTCCTCTATTCGCGTTCATCCTGTTTTCCCCCGCCACTTCTTCGATGACATAGGGCCACCTTTTCTTTGTCGTCCTACTCGCCTTTTTCCAGTCGGTCCTAGCCATTTTGTTAACTGGTCTGTCCACCTTTAGTCTTCGTAGCTAGCTACGTGACGTAGTAAGGTAATGGTATAACCGGGTGCAGGTGCCGCCGCTGTCGTGCGCGTCGGGCGGCAGCTCCGCGTGCGGCGGCGGCTCGTCCAGCGAGGAGTCCGCGCCCGCGCCCGCGCCCGCGCCCTACGCCAGCGACGAGCACGCGCGCCCGCACGCGCCCGACGACGGATACGAGGTCTCTTTATTTATTTTTTGTTTAGTTACAATCGTACTCATATCTATCTTTGCCATTCCGGGGGAGTATGCGTACATATCCTGTAGTTTTAATACTCTATCTTGTCCTCTAACGAAAACATTACAAGCTATATCTCTTATTCTATAAAGAACTGTACGACACTTGGAAATAAGACGTTATACTATACTACATGACATGATGACATTATTATTATTATTTCTTATGTGTGCTAAATAATATGGGCCATATAGCCTGAATTAAATAAATACATAGGTGATGACAGAAGAAGTTCATTCTAACTGTACTTGACATCTTTAGTGCTTATTAAGTATGGCGACACAAGAATCCTTACCCTTTATGATAAAGTCAACTAATTATAATTTTAATTCTAATTATAACTTGACTTTATTAAAACTATTATTAAGTAGAAATCCTAATTTATTGTATATTGTCGTATGTTACAGGCGGACGTTGAAATAAGTAAACTGGATATGACCTCATACAAACTGAAGAAACTTTCTGAATCTCTCTCCTCGATAGGAAGTAATTATGGTAAGTTGTATTGAAAATTGAGAATTTAAAAACCTTTCATCTGATAATCAATATGGAAATAGTATTTCATACAACCTAACTCAGTTTGGATACACACCACTAGATAAATGTCAACTGTGTTGTCTTGAATACTACTGAAGTATTATGGTGTGAAGCTGGCCACACTACAGTGTAGTTATAAAAGAAGAGAAATAACTATTAATTTGTTGGCAGCTGGTGTTCAAAACACGTTGGAGTCGACTGTGGACTGCTGCGAATATACGAAGAACGGCGAGCTCGCCCATCCAGAGCTGTGTATGATCGTCGTCGACATACTTATCCAACTCATACAGAAGTAAGTTACAGAGGAACTTACCCCCTCAGATCTATCTCGCTCCCAATTCAAACGGGAATCGAAATTACGACGGCCCGAGTCGAGGTTCGATAGCCTAGCGGTGCTCTCAGACTTAAGTCGTATCCGTCAGGTGAAAGTTGGCCTTTAGTTGCTCATAAGTCCTTCCGCGGGTTTGGAGTGCCATCTACATTCACACCCTATCATCCAGTGAAGCTGGCCAACAGCATTAGAGTAGTCCGAAAAAAAAAGATCTTTATATGCTGGACTCCGGAAGATAATGGTGTTAATTTTATAAGTAACAGTTTTTTTAATTATCTACTTCAACTACTACAAAGAAAACATCAACTTTAGTCATTAACAAAATTATAACCAATTTTTTGTTAAGATTCCAAATAATGATGAGGTTAGTCATCGTGTGATTGTTAAAACGGAAGGTAGGCAACTAATTGATTGGGATTATTACATAATGACATACTTTTACAATTGATTAAACATTATACGATTGAATAAATTTTGATGAAAATTCGATGCGAGTAATATGGAAGAGTCAAAATTAATTTTATAAATAGGTTTTTAAATACCGGAGCACTGAAGGAACTATTATAAAAAAAACCGAATAGAACTAGCCGATTGAAAATGATGGGATGATGAATGGCAGGCATAAAAGCAAACTATGACAATAAGTTTTTGCGGTCTCCTTGACAGAATTGCTTGCTGGCCGTTTATAAGACAAGGACAGACATGACAATTGACAGCATAACAATAACTAGGATAGACAGAACTATTCACTACGACTGATACGACGGACGATCGGGACGATATTAGAAAATATATCTTTGTTATCAGACTCGATCGCGCTTTTATTTAAGTGACGTCCTGGGGTAAAGCGTTTATAGGGTTGATATGTGTGTGCGCAGACTGGCGGGCGAGGCTGGCGGCGGGGACGCTGGCGGCGCGGGCGATGCGGGCGCGGCGGGCGCTCGGCGGGCGGCCCGCGCGGTGTGCGGGCGACTGTGCGGGCGGTTGGCCCGCGCGCGCCGACCGCCCGCCGGTCTGCTTCGCCGCCTGCTGGCGCCGCCGGTACGCGCCCTGCTCGTGCGTACGCATCCCGCCCTCGAAGGTCACTCTCCTGCTTTTTTATTTTTTAATACATGACATTGGAAATTTGCCCATGTGCGCGGGCGGGACAACAATTGGAGAGAATAAGATCAGCATGAGGTCAGGTCTGTTAACCCATCGTGGCACATTTTATAGAGCTGCTTTTCCACATCATCAAGGTGTCCACGATAATACTAGCATTGCTCCTTCATTGTTTTCGGTCAATGTCGTCTCGGTGCGGTCTCTCTATAATAAGAACAAACGAGTCAACCTACCTATCAGATCCCAAAATCGTATAGTCTATAGACACGTTTACTGTTATCATTGCAGAACTACATCTAACGCTAAGAGTGGAGTGAAAGCCGCTGTTTTATTTTATAGGTTTATACTTTTATACACAATTTAAATTATCATGGAATAAATTATTTATAGCATAATAATCCTAGACAATTCACACAACCATCTAGTTTCAAAATAAGCTGAGCTTAATTTATGGATACTAGGCAACTCATGTAAATACTTAGATATTTTTTTTGTAAATACATACTTAATATACATAGAAAACACTCAAATAGATACTATTTGTATCAGTGTAGGTGTTTTCTCGTAATTACTTATAAGAAAATATTTTCTTGAATTTAGTAAAATTCACGGTAGTTATTTTGTTCAGATTTGCAGCGGAGCATTCTAGAGCTGATCCACTCAGCGGCTTCTCAAAGCATAAGCCCGGTAGAACTGGGCGAGCTACTGAAATTACTAGCAGCGGAAAATCCACCGCTGGATTTGTTGTTACCAGCGCTGCAGCGGCTGGCGGCCGCAGCCACGCCCAACTCGCCCGACTGTTTCCTCACCTTCCCAGTGGAAGTTCATCCAGGTTAGTTCACGTTATATTTAGATGTAAGCTAGTTGATCCAGCCTTACTTTCTTATAGTTATAAGAAAGCAAGGCAGTAATTTTGATTAACCTCAAAAATTTTGACATATTTTTGGTTGATTAAATTGTACACATGAACTCGAAGGGTTTTGTATTTTTTATATATTGTATCATATATATATTTTTATGTTATTAAGGAGCTTATGGTCATCCATGTACAATTTAAATTTCATAAAAATATCTTTTCAGGGCTACGAGAAATTTATGATAACATTTGTCATGTTATCATAAATTTCTATCTACCTTGTCTATATATCTACGTATCTAATAAATTAATAATACATCATAGACACTAACATTTAAGTCATATTTTTTTATTAAAGTTGGTCATAGAAGAATATATTTTTCGCTTTATTTTGTTGTAGATAATGTACAAATGGCGGAAGACGATATGAACTTATCGGCGAATTGTCAAGTAGAAGCACACACGAGAAAACTGCGTGAAAGTCACATTGCGGCGGGTGAGTTTATTTCTACTCAATTATAAATAGATTTCTACAAAGTCAATTTTGTATTAGGTACTTTCATAATCCGAAACAATATAAATACTTCGCTATATTCCTCTACAATTAGCATATGTGAGATCACAAATATTCAGTGCGGAAACATGACTATCATTATGACCTTCTCGAATGATGATAAAATTCAGATCATTATTGAGTCTTCGGATGACTGAGTTACGGTTTGGCCCCAACAGTAAACACTAGGCTTCCAAGCTACATCCGAACTCTATTCAATGCCTGATGATGCCTCGTTCAGAGGCGAAACACGTATTCAATAGGGGTGTAGACACTGTTTCCGCATTTAATTTCTCACGAAGCATATAGAGCCGAGTATTGCAAAGCTTTGCAAAGCGCAGAAGGGTTTTAGTAAATTGTTATGTATAAATGTAATGATTGATGCATGTGTGTGCGCGTAGGGGTGACGTCGGCGTGGTCTCGGCACGCGGCGCGAGGCAGCGCAGCGGGCGCGGGCTGGGCGGCGTGGCAGGCGGGGTTCGCCGCGCTGCTGTGGCTGCGGCTGCAGCGCCCCGCGCCCGCGCCGCAGCCCCCGCGCTCCCCCCACACGCACACCTCCGCATGGGGTGAGTGTGCACGCAGGGTGACGTCGGCGTGGTCGCGGGCTGGGCGGCGTGGCAGGCGGGGTTCGCCGCGCTGCTGTGGCTGCGGCTGCAGCGCCCCGCGCCCGCGCCGCAGCCCCCGCGCACCCCCACACGCACACCTCCGCATGGGGTGAGTGTGCACGCAGGGTGACGTCGGCGTGGTCGCGGGCTGGGCGGCGTGGCAGGCGGGGTTCGCCGCGCTGCTGTGGCTGCGGCTGCAGCGCCCCGCGCCCGCGCCGCAGCCCCCGCGCTCCCCCCACACACACCTCCGCATGGGGTGAGTGTGCACGCAGGGTGACGTCGGCGTGGTCGCGGGCTGGGCGGCGTGGCAGGCGGGGTTCGCCGCGCTGCTGTGGCTGCGGCTGCAGCGCCCCGCGCCCGCGCCGCAGCCCCCGCGCTCCCCCCACACGCACACCTCCGCATGGGGTGAGTGTGCACGCAGGGTGACGTCGGCGTGGTCGCGGGCTGGGCGGCGTGGCAGGCGGGGTTCGCCGCGCTGCTGTGGCTGCGGCTGCAGCGCCCCGCGCCCGCGCCGCAGCCCCCGCGCTCCCCCACACGCACACCTCCGCATGGGGTGAGTGTGCACGCAGGGTGACGTCGGCGTGGTCGCGGGCTGGGCGGCGTGGCAGGCGGGGTTCGCCGCGCTGCTGTGGCTGCGGCTGCAGCGCCCCGCGCCCGCGCCGCAGCCCCCGCGCTCCCCCCACACGCACACCTCCGCATGGGGTGAGTGTGCACGCAGGGTGACGTCGGCGTGGTCGCGGGCTGGGCGGCGTGGCAGGCGGGGTTCGCCGCGCTGCTGTGGCTGCGGCTGCAGCGCCCCGCGCCCGCGCCGCAGCCCCCGCGCTCCCCCCACACGCACACCTCCGCATGGGGTGAGTGTGCACGCAGGGTGACGTCGGCGTGGTCGCGGGCTGGGCGGCGTGGCAGGCGGGGTTCGCCGCGCTGCTGTGGCTGCGGCTGCAGCGCCCCGCGCCCGCGCCGCAGCCCCCGCGCTCCCCCACACGCACACCTCCGCATGGGGTGAGTGTGCACGCAGGGTGACGTCGGCGTGGTCGCGGGCTGGGCGGCGTGGCAGGCGGGGTTCGCCGCGCTGCTGTGGCTGCGGCTGCAGCGCCCCGCGCCCGCGCCGCAGCCCCCGCGCTCCCCCCACACGCACACCTCCGCATGGGGTGAGTGTGCACGCAGGGTGACGTCGGCGTGGTCGCGGGCTGGGCGGCGTGGCAGGCGGGGTTCGCCGCGCTGCTGTGGCTGCGGCTGCAGCGCCCCGCGCCCGCGCCGCAGCCCCCGCGCTCCCCCCACACGCACACCTCCGCATGGGGTGAGTGTGCACGCAGGGTGACGTCGGCGTGGTCGCGAAGCAGTGAAACGGGCGCGGGTGATCAAGAGGCTCATTCAAGATCTTTTCTGTCTTTGTTTACACTTATACCCGGTATACACTTACCTATTTTCATAATCGAGTTATCCGTAAGTTACTGGCCCCGAGGGTTCATTATTCACATAATTAGAAGGTACGGATAGCCAGTGTCAGTCAGCCGCCAACAGTCACACAACTCATCAGCCAGGAATCCACCACGCTCATATGCAACGTTCGAAATCATATCAAATTATTAAGACAGTTTTTATTTTTTATTCCTAGGTTACATCATTTAATTACAGTATTGTATGTATTAAAACAGCCTAAAAATTGATATTAACCAGCAACTTGTATCGCCAGATGACGTGGACGAGTGGCAAGAAGAGTGGAGCGAGTCGGAGTCGCCGGTAGCGAGCGTGCGCGCCGGCGAGCCGCTCCACGTGCTGTCCGTCGGACACGACTCGCTCATGTTCGAGATGTGGCTCGAGCCCGCTACAGGTATATATAATCTTACTAGTATTATAAACGCGAAAGTCTATATATTTTGGTGTAGTCGTATATGAGGACTTAGTTGACATACAGATTAATATATATATATATATATATATATATATAAATATAATTCTATACTAGCTACTCACCCCGGCTTCGCACGTGTGCACATGTTTTATACATATAAATCTTCCCCTAATCCGTTACGTAGTTGAAAAAATCTAAACGATCAGACAAGGGAAGCTATTTCATTTTAAACATTTTCATGTAAAGATCATACACACACTAATGTCATCAATGAAAATATGTTAGTGTCAATATTATTTGGTACCGAGTCCCTAATGACAGAGCATATTTTCGTATACAGGCATGGTGGTGTTCCGCGTGTCACGGGCGGAGGGAGGGCGCGGGGGCGGCGCCGTGGCGGAGGGGCGCGCGGGCCCGGTGACGTCACACCGTTGGCACTGCATCGCACTCAACGTCACCGATCGTTTAATTAAGCGCCGCCTGCATGTGCAGGTACGTACACGTACACGTATTGCATGGAGTTATTAAAAAAAAAGACATATGTTTAATAATATCGCTAGAGAAGTTTTTTTTTTTAACATTTATATTATAGTTGTGTTCATACTCTCATGTTGGTTAAAAACCTAGGCTCGAAGGACCAAAACTATATTGATTCTTCCTATATCGAGGACAAGTAATTGATTTGATTTTACTACTTCCTTTTTTAGTGAATCAATTAAAAAAAATCCAACATAGTGCGGTTTCATTGTTATTATACCGCTTAACGACCATACAATGTTTCAGGTGACAATGTATGTCGACGGTTATGAACATGAGACCGTGTCACTGCCAATACAAGGTAACTGAATATTATATATCATTAAATCACTAATCTATGCTAGCATTTTAAAATGTTACAACAACTGTTTACTAAAAGAATAAAGTAGAATACATATTTACAATTATAAAAGTGGCTCATACTTTTGTCTGACTATTTACTACGTGACAAAAGACACATAATTGTAATAGGTATCTACAATTACAATTATGTGTCTTTTGTCATCTATCTAGGTGTACCCGCAGATGTACGATACTCATCATAATTTTCTTTTCCTTATCTCGTTATCATTGGAATGATGTCCTTTTCTCTAATGTTAATCTCTGTACCCATTTTATCTTTTGCTATGCTTCGGTTTTTAAACCTTCTGTATGGGTACTAAACAATCGATATAAATACTTTTTTTAGAAATTACATATGCAGTATAGATAGAAATCACCCAGACCGATACAAATGTTTATACTGTACGATGAATCGATCTCGCGATCATCGGAAGTAGAGGAGAAAATGGTAGAGGCCATCAAATAAATTATGTAATATATTGTGAATGATTTGTAGGTATCCTAGTTCGCAAGGCGACCCCGAGCCACGTGCTGCTGGGTCACGCAGGCGGAGCCACGGGCGGCGCCACCTACCAGGTGTCGGGCGTGCACGTGTACCGCGGCCCGCTCCTCACGCGGGCCCGGGCGCTGCACCTCGCCGCGCACGGCCCGCACCACGCCTGCCAGGTGCACCACTCACCACACCTCACACGCACCACCCGCTCTACTCACTGCACTGACTCCCAACTCGCGGGCGCTGCACCTCGCCGCGCACGGCCCGCACCACGCCTGCCAGGTGCACCACTCACCACACCTCACACGCACCACCCGCTCTACTCACTGCACTGACTCCCAACTCGCGGGCGCTGCACCTCGCCGCGCACGGCCCGCACCACGCCTGCCAGGTGCACCACTCACCACACTTCACACGCACCACCCGCTCTACTCACTGCACTGACTCCCAACTCGCGGGCGCTGCACCTCGCCGCGCACGGCCCGCACCACGCCTGCCAGGTGCACCACTCACCACACTTCACACGCACCACCCGCTCTACTCACTGCACTGACTCCCAACTCGCGGGCGCTGCACCTCGCCGCGCACGGCCCGCACCACGCCTGCCAGGTGCACCACTCACCACACCTCACACGCACCACCCGCTCTACCAGCATAACATATTTTGAAATCAATCCATAACTTTTAGTAACGACAATGAAAAAGACCATACTAAATTTATTTTATTTTTTCAGATCCGATGTGAAACGCCTAATTATTCATTACTCTTGACACCGGAACTTCTTGATTCAGATATGGATTGGGATCAGGTAACATGATATTTTATTGCATTTTACTATTGTGACAAGTCATAAAAGTTATAAAATCAATTTTGTAGTCATATCCGAGCCCGGAAGCTCGAAGGACCAATAATAATGATCGACTAATGACTACATTCGACAATTATAAACTTAATATACAACGTCTAAACGAATGAAGGCATTTATTAGAAAGATTATCCATAATAAATATATAAATACATTGCGCTGGTGATTCTACTAGTTTAAATATTTAATATGATATTAATCTTTTATAATCTGATCAAACTTAATATAATTACCATACGTAGATGTACGAGATAACCCATTCATCACTGCGCGAGTTGCATGATGGTCTGCTGCTAACATTCTCCGCTCAAACGCCCTCCGTGCTTAATGTGTATCAGCAAATCGTCACGCTGCCCACAGGTAGCTATGATTTGTTTACAAAACTATTAATATTAGTGTCGTAAATTAAAAAAATCTTTCTATTGTCTTTATTTATGTGATTGGTATGAGAACTATCAAACTTACAGCCTATGTGATGGAAACTGAGCAGCGTTACAAATGTATTCAAACGTGCCTCTGGTACTGATGTTAGAAATGAGATTCGAGGAATATGTTTTTGGACATTTTTATTTTTCAAATTACATTACAGCTTTCAAAACAGGCGGCATGTGGCAAATAACGTATCCTGTAGGTATATAATTGTACCAATTCTTAGTTTATTTGCATTTTTTTAGCAAATTGTTTGTTTATACAATATGTATGTATTTGTAAATGGTACAAGATATATGTAAATGGTATATGTTAATTATTATTTATAGCTACTTAATATGCCTTTTTTATTCTTTAATCCTTTCTTACATCCCTTACCATTTATTGCCTCTTGCTATTGCTATTGCTTATGCGATAACATCCCCTTCTGTACCTTGTAATCCCTATTTATGTTCTTTAATAACTCACACAAGTTTCTTGCTCATTCTTCTTGTGATGAATCTGCATTCCGAATGAGCGGTAGAATCAAAATATGACTATTCAAAAATGCTTGTAATGAGTTTATTTGAATAAAGATTATTTCTATTTCTTACTTCTAGTGCAATCAAATCAAAAATCATTTATTCATGTAGGTTATTTTAGTCGTATATGGACGTAAAATGTTTTGTATGAATATTTTTTAAGAGTAAATAATAAAATAATAATGTTGTGTCAGTGTTCGGGAGCCGCGTGGGCGCGTGCGGCGCGCCGCCCGCGGCCGTGCGCGTGGTGTGGGCGGGCGCGGCGCCGGGCTCCGCGCGCGGCGGCCTGGCGCCCGCGCTGCTGCTGCTCGGCGGCCCGCAGCACCTGCTCTACTTGTTCGCTAGGGCACGTATACCTCTATCTATATATTATTTTCGTTGGTACCGGTTGATAGAAACAGAAGACTATAGTTTCATGCGTCTCGAGTATAGGTCGGAAACAATAATCGAAGCGGAATGAATTTCGCCATTTTCTTTTTACTACTCTCATGCTGTTGCCCGCAGTTAGCCTTTACAGCTTCGCCGGACGATAGGGAGCGCGTGTAAATGGCACTCCCACACGCCCAAACCTACTGAAGGACTTATGGACCAACTTTCGCCTGACGGATACGACTTTATTTTGAGGGCACCACTAGGGATTCGAACCTCGGTTCGGGTCGTCGTAATTTCGATCCTCGTTTAAATTGGACAGGGGATCGATCGGAGAGGTGTCGCACTAGGCGCTTATATTTATACCACCCGCCTTGCTGACTAGTACTAGGTAAAGACAGTGTGATAAGATGCGAGCGGAACGAATTGCGCAAAGGAAATCGTCTCCACTCGCTATTTATTTATTATTTCTATTATTATAATTGTGAAACATAAAGATATCTACCTATACCTTACCTTAAGATCTAAAGGTTCTTATAGTTTATTTGGGACTGGTAAAATTACTGTAGCCAACTCCTTAATACTTTTAATTTTATAATAATATTTTTTTGACATAGTCTTTTTGTAACATTCTATTATATATCGCTGTCGTATTAGTCGCTTTTATCACCGTACTATTCTTTATAAAATCCTCAATCCCTGCAACTCATCAGGCAAATCAGACACCTCCGCTTCAATAACAATAACATTAAAATTAATTACACCATATTACAATATGTAATTAATCGCGAACACTGCAGGTGGTGGAGCTGCAGGGCTCGGCGGAGCAGCAGGCGGCGGCGCTGTCGGTGGCGGTGCGGGCGGGCGGCGCGGACGGGCGGCTGGTGTCGGCGCTGCTGGCGCCGCCCGCCCTCGACATGCTGCTGGCCGTGCTCGCCGCGCCCGCCTGCCGCCCCTCACATCACATGCTCAAGGTACCACACCAGCTCCTTCCTGACTAAACCCTCATGTGGGAACCTTGGTCACCACACCACTTCTCTTCCGACGATCGCATAAATATATCGTACGGTGCAAACATTTGTATCGGTGTGGGTGTTTTTCTTCGTATTTACGAAAAAAATGTATCTGAGTATTTATATAAATTGTCTAGTACCATAACATAAGCTCTGCTTAGCTTAGGCCTAGATGGCGCTGTATAAATTGTCCAGGGTTATTACTATATCATCTATATTATGTATCAATATTATTTTATCGCTAACAATCAAGTGTAAGGATCAAGAAAGTTTGGACAAGCGTTTGCACTTTGTCACTCATGTCGATTTTTGACCGCACATTAGAGCGTTGAAAGATTATGTCACTAGCTTGTGCGTGCTAACTTTCGTTTCGATATATGTGAGTATCTGTTACGATACATACCATCAACATGAAAGTACAACAACATACACGTTGTATGTACAGGTTATCTTAGATGCGGCGTGCAGCGCACCGCTGCTGATTATAAGCGGGGGCGTGAGTATATCCCGCGGGGACGCCGCCCTCATCGAGCCGAGACTTCTGGTGCTGCTGCTTCGCGCCTGGAAACATCTCGACGGACCGCCTGATCAGGTACCACGGGCTACGTCTAATTTTACTAAATAACAATAATAAAACTAAGGTGGGATGACATGGCTTGTATAGTACAGTGCTTAGTAGATAATATTTGGTTTGTCTTAATTAATTAATTGCAAGTATTACATAGGAATATCTAGGTAACTGTGTCCCATAGAAAGGCATTTGCCATCACATTTTTTTTTCAGACTACTTTATTGCTATTGCTTGTAGCTGACTTTTGCAGCTTCGCCCGACTTATGGAGCCACTGAAGTACTTTCTGACGAAAACCACTTTAAACCGAAGGAACCGCTAGGGGTTTGAACCTGGACTCGGGCCGTCAATATTTTCGATCCCCGTTTTAATTGGACTCGAGATCGATCGGAGGGGTGCCATCAGGTGCGCCGTCGGCTGGTTTGCGAGTCGTACTACCTAGAACGTGTTCGTCAGGAGGTGCAGTGGGAGGAGGAAGGGCGCGGTCCGCAGCGCGGCTCGGTGTGGGCGCTGACGCTGCGCTGCGTGTGCGCGCTGCTGCGGGACGACCACCCGCGGCGGGAGTTCAACCTCTACCAGATGCAGCGGCTCGGACTACTCGCGCACCTGCTGCTCGTCTGCAAGGTACGCCTCCAACACTCCTTATATAATTATATTTTAATAAACAGAATATTAAATAAACTATACGCTATATTACAGCAAAGCGATACAATTTTTAACTTAACTGTATGATACTGGGTACAAGTATAAGATATAGAAAACATAGCCCTTACAATATCTGCTTATATTAGAGTAATATTTAAGTTTTAAGCTATATAATATTATTAAGAATTAATATATAATTGTGCAGTATGTGTAACGAATCCTTACACGTCTACATTATGGTACATTATACGTTATTACTTTAGGAACGCTACCTGAACTCTGCGTGCGGGGCGATGTGTGCGGGTGCCAGTGCGAGCGTGGTGCAGGCGGTGCGAGCCCTGCTGGGGGCGCCGCCCGCGCCCACGCACCTCGCGCACCTCGCAGACTTCCTGCTGCTCATGCACCAGGTGAGCGCCCGTCGCGTACACACACACAACTCACTACACTCCCACACGCACAGGCTAGCCACCAAGAAATTATAATTTGATACAACTAACTCTAAGTCTTAACTAAATATAGAAAAAATAGCCACAGTTTCCTCGAAAACTTTGGAACTTTACTTGTAAAGTAACGATTTTCTTTCTTGCTATAACTTGTCAACCAAAGGCTTTAGTTTTACAATCGGATTATAGGCGAGCGACACGTTTGTGACCCACTCGAGAGCCAACTTCTACTTCCTCCTCACACCAGAGACGCCAGAAATGAGCGACTTTATGAACAGTGCCGCCATTAAGAAACATAGACGCAGTAGAAGATCAGAAAATACGCCCAGCAATTTGATGACGTCACTCGATGACTTAACGAGCGATAACAGTGAAAGTGTGTTCAGGGACATAGAAAATGTGGATAAGTTAATGGAAAAGGAATCTATCGGTAGAAAGGAAACCACCAAACAATTGAAAGGAATTATTAATAAACAGATCAAAGAGCGCAGGTATGTGTATTATATAGGTTTGTTATATATATAACATTTAATAAACGTAACCTTAAAGTATATGAACTACCAATTCCAGTACAGACCAGTAATGTTTTGTTCCATATAAAACCGACTACGTATATTGGTTCAGATTTATTTGGGATAAATTCCAAAGTAAATCCTGTCGATTCCAATTAATTATTTTTCGCTCACATGTAAAAAAAAAGATTTCTTCCCATTTCATCGAAAAACAGTTTACAAAGACATGTATATGCATCGTAACCTTGTACTGTACATGTAAATACTTGAACATATAGCTATATTATTGTATTATATTGACCTGTATTTAGAGTGTTGTTATTTACTGATTTTTTTTTATTATTTTCAGTAAACGCAAAGCATCGTCTGCTTCTGAAAATTCGGACACAACTGTCGGTAAGTTACATTTATATACTCATTCAATTTCATTCGTTCAAAACTGTTCCATTTAACGCGACTATTAAATTCACAAGAGAAGTCATGTAATTCAATGGTCAATTCAAGTCTTTAAGAAGTTTATAGTCTATAAATATTGTACACAGTATATTTCCATGACATTTTAATTTTAATTTCATCTAATGAATTTGTTACATATTCTATTCTTGCTCTATTACCACACTAAGTTCTGCTAAATTTAATATGCGTTCTTATACAGAAAGGTCGGACGAAGGGGGTGGTAGGCCAGAAGTGGACGCCGAAGATGAAAACAAGACAACCGAGGCTGTATCGCAGGACGGGGATGAAAAGATCATAGAACAGGCTGTATCGCAAAGAGACCCGGATATTGATGAAAAGACGTCAGTCGAGACTTCGCCGAGATCAGGTGGGAACGATGATGAAAAATCGGCAACCCATACTGTACCGAGCTCGCAGAACGAAAAGGTGGAAATGCAGAATACGCCGGTAAAGACTGTGGAAAGTGATGATAAAATGGCAGGCGAAGCGGTACCCGGGATAGGCGAAGAGGATGGAAAGATAGCTGACAGTCATGCCGATGATAAAGCGTCGGGCCAAGGTGTGGGGAAGGGCGCAGAAGACGAGCTCAACGAGTATATTGTTGTAGACGTTGATGAGATACAACACACCACCGTCGAGATGTACACAAGCGGCATCTATCAGCAGGTACGTGATCACATTTTTTCATTGCTGTACTTTATTAAACCATACCGTGTCTTAGAATTGCCCTATAATGGATGGTTAGTTAATCGTTACATAGTATAAAACAAAGTCGCTGTCGCTGTCTGTCCGTCCCTATGCATGCATAAATATTTAAAACTACGCAACGGGTTTTGGAAGCATTTTTTTTTAATTGATAGAGTTATTCAAGATGAAGGTTTATATGTATAAAAAAGCATAAAAACCAATATTATATTTATTAGAAGTCCTTTGTAAAATCTATGTATAAAATTTTGGGTTTCGGTCGTGTAGACTGCTGAACGCTAAGCATTTGTATATTATTTATTCGGAAGCCAATATGCGTCCACTCTCTAACAGTGCATACAGCAAAGTAACAGTTATAAAGAAATCCAGCTTAAACTGTACATATATATTTACTTAGATGTCATTATATTATGTCACTCAATCATTTCAACAGAAATAAAATAAAAAATTACATTGATATAACTGGGTCCCACATCTGTTATGGTATAATTGAATACAAAGTGTATGTACAGCGTCGGGTTCGCGCGGGCGCGGGCCCGGGCTGGGCGGCCTGCGAGGGGCTGCTGCTGGTGCTGCGGGACGCGCTGCTCGCGCTCACTGACCACGACTTCGCGCAGGTAACCACCGCGGCCGACGCTAACCACATTCCTTATTTCATATTTTTATTTACTTACTTTATATAGGTCTCGCTTATATGAGCTTCGCAAGCCAAGTTTTGCATAGACGGTACTAAGTTTCTGTCACGTAGGTACTTGTGAGGTTGCCATATGATTGGCGGCTGAAATAACTAGATGAACGCTAATTTTATCAAATGTACCCGAGTATGAGTTAAGGTGTGTCGTGGTGGTGTGCAGACGGCGGGCGGCGCAGTGTCGGCGGAGAGCCTGGCGGTGCTCGCCAACCACCGCGCGGCCGCCGTGCGCGCCGCCGTCGTGCGCGCGCTCGCAGCGCTGCAGCGCCGCGCGCCGCCCGCGCTGCAGCGCGCGCTGCTCGCCAGGCACTACTACGTGCACCTCGCCAACCAGGTGACGACCCACGACGACCATCACTGCCAACATTACATACGCCGTGCGCGCCGCCGTCGTGCGCGCGCTCGCAGCGCTGCAGCGCCGCGCGCCGCCCGCGCTGCAGCGCGCGCTGCTCGCCAGGCACTACTACGTGCACCTCGCCAACCAGGTGACGACCCACGACGACCATCACTGCCAACATTACATACGCCGTGCGCGCGCGCCGTCGTGCGCGCGCTCGCCACGACGACCATCACTGCCAACATTACATACGCCGAGCGCGCCGCCGTCGTGCGCGCGCTCGCAGCGCTGCAGCGCGGCGCGCCGCCCGCGCTGCCGCGCGCGCTGCTCGCCAGGCACTACTACGTGCACCTCGCCAACCAGGTGACGACCCACGACGACCATCACTGCCAACATTACATACGCCGTGCGCGCCGCCGTCGTGCGCGCGCTCGCAGCGCTGCAGCGCCGCGCGCCGCCCGCGCTGCAGCGCGCGCTGCTCGCCAGGCACTACTACGTGCACCTCGCCAACCAGGTGACGACCCACGACGACCATCACTGCCAACATTACATACGCCGTGCGCGCCGCCGTCGTGCGCGCGCTCGCAGCGCTGCAGCGCCGCGCGCCGCCCGCGCTGCAGCGCGCGCTGCTCGCCAGGCACTACTACGTGCACCTCGCCAACCAGGTGACGACCCACGACGACCATCACTGCCAACATTACATACGCCGTGCGCGCCGCCGTCGTGCGCGCGCTCGCAGCGCTGCAACGCCGCGCGCCGCCCGCGCTGCAGCGCGCGCTGCTCGCCAGGCACTACTACGTGCACCTCGCCAACCAGGTGACGACCCACGACGACCATCACTGCCAACATTACATACGCCGTGCGCGCCGCCGTCGTGCGCGCGCTCGCAGCGCTGCAGCGCCGCGCGCCGCCCGCGCTGCAGCGCGCGCTGCTCGCCAGGCACTACTACGTGCACCTCGCCAACCAGGTGACGACCCACGACGACCATCACTGCCAACATTACATACGCCGTGCGCGCCGCCGTCGTGCGCGCGCTCGCAGCGCTGCAGCGCCGCGCGCCGCCCGCGCTGCAGCGCGCGCTGCTCGCCAGGCACTACTACGTGCACCTCGCCAACCAGGTGACGACCCACGACGACCATCACTGCCAACATTACATACGCCGTGCGCGCCGCCGTCGTGCGCGCGCTCGCAGCGCTGCAGCGCCGCGCGCCGCCCGCGCTGCAGCGCGCGCTGCTCGCCAGGCACTACTACGTGCACCTCGCCAACCAGGTGACGACCCACGACGACCATCACTGCCAACATTACATACGCCGTGCGCGCCGCCGTCGTGCGCGCGCTGCTCGCCAGGCACTACTACGTGCACCTCGCCAACCAGGTGACGACCCACGACGACCATCACTGCCAACATTACCGCACGCGCGCGCCGCCGTGCGCGCGCTCGCAGCGCTGCAGCGCGCGCGCCGCCCGCTGCTCGCCGCTGGCACTACTACGTGCACCTCGCCAACCAGGTGACGACCCACGACGACCATCACTGCCAACATTACATACGCCGTGCGCGCCGCCGTCGTGCGCGCGCTCGCAGCGCTGCAGCGCCGCGCGCCGCCCGCGCTGCGCGCGCTGCTCGCCAGGCACTACTACGTGCACCTCGCCAACCAGGTGACGACCCACGACGACCATCACTGCCAACATTACATACGCCGTGCGCGCCGCCGTCGTGCGCGCGCTCGCAGCGCTGCAGCGCCGCGCGCCGCCCGCGCTGCAGCGCGCGCTGCTCGCCAGGCACTACTACGTGCACCTCGCCAACCAGGTGACGACCCACGACGACCATCACTGCCAACATTACATACGCCGTGCGCGCCGCCGTCGTGCGCGCGCTCGCAGCGCTGCAGCGCCGCGCGCCGCCCGCGCTGCAGCGCGCGCTGCTCGCCAGGCACTACTACGTGCACCTCGCCAACCAGGTGACGACCCACGACGACCATCACTGCCAACATTACATACGCCGTGCGCGCCGCCGTCGTGCGCGCGCTCGCAGCGCTGCAGCGCCGCGCGCCGCCCGCGCTGCAGCGCGCGCTGCTCGCCAGGCACTACTACGTGCACCTCGCCAACCAGGTGACGACCCACGACGACCATCACTGCCAACATTACATACGCCGTGCGCGCCGCCGTCGTGCGCGCGCTCGCAGCGCTGCAGCGCCGCGCGCCGCCCGCGCTGCAGCGCGCGCTGCTCGCCAGGCACTACTACGTGCACCTCGCCAACCAGGTGACGACCCACGACGACCATCACTGCCAACATTACATACGCCGTGCGCGCCGCCGTCGTGCGCGCGCTCGCAGCGCTGCAGCGCCGCGCGCCGCCCGCGCTGCAGCGCGCGCTGCTCGCCAGGCACTACTACGTGCACCTCGCCAACCAGGTGACGACCCACGACGACCATCACTGCCAACATTACATACGCCGTGCGCGCCGCCGTCGTGCGCGCGCTCGCAGCGCTGCAGCGCCGCGCGCCGCCCGCGCTGCAGCGCGCGCTGCTCGCCAGGCACTACTACGTGCACCTCGCCAACCAGGTGACGACCCACGACGACCATCACTGCCAACATTACATACGCCGTGCGCGCCGCCGTCGTGCGCGCGCTCGCAGCGCTGCAGCGCCGCGCGCCGCCCTCGCGGGGCAATGAGACGGGAGAGGCTTGTACGGACATACCATCAAAATGTGATGTGTAAACGGCTTACTCGGTCAAAGTATTCAGAGATAGCACTACAATTATCTATGTTACATTTGTACTGCTATCACTCATTGCTTCTTGGAATGTTTATACGCTTATGGTTCGTCTTCAATTCTCATAAATCTGCCACGATTGGCTTTCTGGCCATTAGTGTTACCGATGTCCATTAGGTAAACAAGCGAATGTTTCTTTACAGATAAAATTAATATTCTATAATAATTGCTTTTATATGTAATGGCGACGAATTCCACACTATGCTATTGCTATTTGTAAAAATGTAGTTTTTGTTCTGTTAGATATCGCTGTATGAGAGTTCATGGGAGCTGGCGGCGGCGTGCGCGTCTCTCATCACCAAGTGTGACGTGCCTCTTGAGGACCAACTTCATGTAATATTTATATTTATTCACAGCCTAGTATTTGACAATGTCTCTTATTACTCTAGTTGAGTCCTAAAACATAACTGTGCGATTATGCAGGAGGATATCTGGGCGGACGTGGGTGAGGGAGCGGTGCAGTACAGTCCGCCGCTGTTGGCGCTGCTACCGGTCTCCGTACACGACCCACCCCTGGTAGAACAGATAGCGCTGCTGCTGCACCGTGTCATCGACAAGGTAGTACACACGCTGCCCGATATAATGCCTGTAGATATTACTATCTAATTTTTATTTTTATAAGTATTTAATTTTTATCTTTGTTTTATTATCGGATGCAATCGAAGCTTTCTTTTGAGTATTATGTACTTGTGACTGGAGGGGGTACACGACGACTATTAATAAAAAACTTTAATAAATGTGTATATTTCCCAAAAGGGCATCCAGCGAAGACGTCAAAAGTGAGATATAAAAAACAGATTATCAAAAATTCTAAATTTATAAAAGGTATGGTGAACAAACTGTCAGCAACACCATTTTTAAAATTTTCTATGTAATTGTATATAATTGTGCCGAAATGTGAGAACGGTCATATTCACGTGACTAGTATTTCGAACTACACGTCGTGTGAAACCGTAGTACCCGCATTCCTGAGGACTTGATATGATGCATTCGGACTGTGTATTTGTGCAGGCGAGTGCGCGTTTGCTGAGCGAGGTGTGCGCCGCGGAGGCGATAGTGCGTGCGGTGCGCGCGGCGGCGCGGCGCGGCGTGTCCCCGGCGCTGCGGTCGCTGCACGCGCTGCTGGCGCACCTCGCACGCAGGCTGCTCGCCGCGCACCACGCGCCGCAAGTACGTGCTCATTTTTGTTTAGACTACGTTTGTTACCGGTGTGTTGTTTACACACCAGCATTGGTATTCTGTAAGCGTTTTATCAACTCATTTCACTCATCTCATACATAATCTCACCGCGGATTTTGCTTTTGATTTCTTAAGTGGTGCTTACAGAATAGCCCTGTAATAAGGTAAGGTCACATCTTGAGCACACGTTTATTCTTAAAAACTCGACCTTGATTGATCGGATTTTTTTTTGTGTGGTAAAAGATGGAGGCCCGATGGTCGACCTTCGATGAAATTTTGATGTGAGAGTGCAAATTTGATCTCTAAGATCGTCCCGCGCTTCGCCCTTCGCTCAAAAAACTATGAGAACGAGGATACGATATGTGAACAGTTGAGATGTTGTTACTTACCAATTTTACACATATTCACAGACAATCGTGGATATCCATCACATGCTCACCTACGTGGAGATGACCGCCGATGAAGATGAAGCGGGGACGAGGGTACGGGTAGCGGCACGGGATGCTCAGATCTCAATGTTCAATGCTCAGCTGGATTATTTAGAAGAGCGGCTACACTCTTCGTACAACACGCATACTAAATACTCCAATTATTTCACTACCGGTAAGTGCCTTGTATTCTATAATGTCCGAATAGGTTAATATCCTAGCAGGTTTGTCATGTAACGATCGACGTTCGGAATACTGCCAACACTAGAATTGGGATATATAATGTCTCTTTCAACAACTGATTATGTATATACCAGTATTACATCATATTTATTAAGATTACAGACGGAGCGTCTTCTTTATTTATTAACATTCAAAGAGCATTTTTCCAATTTATGCATGTATTGATTGTGGTGTTAGTGTTGTCAACGGCGGTGTCCCGCGGGGCGGAGGGCGCGTCCCGCAGCGAGCGCGCGGAGCTGGCGGCGCGGCACGCGGGCGCCGTCACACGCGCCGTCGGCTTCCTGGTCGCGCCCCCCCCGCGCGCCGCGCTGCCCTCGCCCGCGCACGCCGCGCTCGTGCACCGCCTGCTGGCCACGCTGCTGCAAGGTCAGTACCGCCACACCTCCCCCGCGCCGTCGGCTTCCTAGTCGCGCCCCCCGCGCGCCGCGCTGCCCTCGCCCGCGCACGCCGCGCTCGTGCACCGCCTGCTGGCCACGCTGCTGCAAGGTCAGTACCGCCACACCTCCCCCGCGCCGTCGGCTTCCTGGTCGCGCCCCCCCCGCGCGCCGCGCTGCCCTCGCCCGCGCACGCCGCGCTCGTGCACCGCCTGCTGGCCACGCTGCTGCAAGGTCAGTACCGCCACACCTCCCCCGCGCCGTCGGCTTCCTGGTCGCGCCCCCCCCGCGCGCCGCGCTGCCCTCGCCCGCGCACGCCGCGCTCGTGCACCGCCTGCTGGCCACGCTGCTGCAAGGTCAGTACCGCCATACCTCCCCCGCGCCGTCGGCTTCCTGGTCGCGCCCCCCCCCGCGCGCCGCGCTGCCCTCGCCCGCGCACGCCGCGCTCGTGCACCGCCTGCTGGCCACGCTGCTGCAAGGTCAGTACCGCCACACCTCCCCCGCGCCGTCGGCTTCCTGGTCGCGCCCCCCCGCGCGCCGCGCTGCCCTCGCCCGCGCACGCCGCGCTCGTGCACCGCCTGCTGGCCACGCTGCTGCAAGGTCAGTACCGCCACACCTCCCCCGCGCCGTCGGCTTCCTAGTCGCGCCCCCCGCGCGCCGCGCTGCCCTCGCCCGCGCACGCCGCGCTCGTGCACCGCCTGCTGGCCACGCTGCTGCAAGGTTAGTACCGCCACACCTCCCCCGCGCCGTCGGCTTCCTAGTCGCGCCCCCGCGCGCCGCGCTGCCCTCGCCCGCGCACGCCGCGCTCGTGCACCGCCTGCTGGCCACGCTGCTGCATGGTCAGTACCGCCACACCTCCCCCGCGCCGTCGGCTTCCTTGTCGCGGGCGACCCGCGCGCAGCGCTGCGCTCGACCGAGCACGCCGCGCTCGTGCACCGCCTGCTGGCCACGCTGCTGCACCGTCTCTTCCGCGACAGCTGACCAGCGGCGTGGTCTTCCTCGACGCGCCCCCCCGCGCGCCGCGCTGCCCTCGCCCGCGCACGCCGCGCTCGTGCACCGCCTGCTGGCCACGCTGCTGCAAGGTCAGTACCGCCACACCTCCCCCGCGCCGTCGGCTTCCTGGTCGCGCCCCCCGCGCGCCGCGCTGCCCTCGCCCGCGCACGCCGCGCTCGTGCACCGCCTGCTGGCCACGCTGCTGCAAGGTCAGTACCGCCACACCTCCCCCGCGCCGTCGGCTTCCTGGTCGCGCCCCCCCCGCGCGCCGCGCTGCCCTCGCCCGCGCACGCCGCGCTCGTGCACCGCCTGCTGGCCACGCTGCTGCAAGGTCAGTACCGCCACACCTCCCCCGCGCCGTCGGCTTCCTGGTCGCGCCCCCCGCTTTCATAGGACGCGATTTTTTTTTAATTTTTGTATCTCTTTTGTTGTTTCCATCAATGCACCGCATATCTAATCTACATTTTAATGCGTGACGTAAAAACTTTATGTATTTTTTACGAAAATTGCGCAGACGGTGGAGTATTAAATATGCAGTAGGCTTATATATTTTTTTAATGATGCTTAAAAAGTACATTACGTAATAAAAATTATATACTACCATATATTGAACTCATACACATAACTCTTTTATTTATTGTTAAAAACGGTAGTCAAAAAACTAGAGATTTATGTTATTCGTCTTTAATATAATTTGTCTATGGTCTTGAATGTTAAACTAATGATATTCGACTTTCTATCACTTAGCGACCACTAGTAATTGTGTGATTAATATTAATGTTTGCAGCGGTGAGCGGCACGGGCGCGAGCGCCCCGCGTCCCAAGTGGTGGGTGGGCAGCGGCGCGGTGGGTGAGTGGGTGTCGCCGCTGCAGGAGCTGTTCTGGTGGGCGGCCAGCGGCGCGCCGGCCGTGCGTCCGCTGCAGCCGGCGCTGCTGCGCGCGCTGTACGCCGCGCCCCCGCACGTGCCGCGACTGCTCACCCCGCCGGACCCCTCCGCCATGCGCAAGGTACCCGCACACTCTGGTCTTGTAGCGCGACGGTTACCATCTCATTACTATAGTGTGTATATTATATATTGTGATGAAGTCATCATCGTAGCCATACTTATACGGTACTTCACCGTACAGCCGTTAGCATTTTACACCGTTCTGCATCCATATAAAATCATAAAATGTGTGGGCGACACATACCATTTTCCCTTCAATACACCAAATATTCACAAGTAAGCACAAGTCCACACTCAATCAACCAAATTGTGTGCGTCACAGCAGACTCATCCACTGATGGCTGTCATACCTGAACTTACTCTCTTTTTATTCATTGTCGTCTCATTTTATATTTAAACGTTATACACAATTGCATTGAGTGGAAGATGATACCGTCTTCCACACAATCCACCCATCCTTTTTTTTCTTCTGCTTTCTCTTTCCCTACATTCATGTCAATCTTTTACTGAAAGTTGCTATTTAATTTATTTGTTCCAGTAGTATCTATAGGTAGAGAGTATACAGGTGTAGTAATTGAACTACATTAGTTTATATGATAATGAGATACATGACTATTTATTAACTTCTAAGTTAAGTCGTATATTGAGAAGGGAGTGATATAAATGTACTCAGACACAAGCACTATTCCAACGCCTAAGAATTCTTGCCAGCAAATACCACCACTGCAGTATCTTATCGTATACGTGGACAGCTGGCGGTGTACCTGCTGACGATGCTGCAGCACATGCACGCGGCGGCCGCGGCGGGCGCGGCGACGGTGGAGCTGGCCATCACGGACTGGGCGCGCGGCTGGGCCGTCAGCACGCAGGCGGGGCTGCCCGCGCGGCTGCCCAGCGACGCGCTGCTGCCCGAGGCGGCCGCGCTGCTGCGGCACGACCGCGACCGCTGGGCGCGCGCCGCCGCCCGGCACCGGCCCGCCGTCGCCAAGTACGCACCCCCTACCACTACCTATATACGAGTATGTAACGAGCCACAAGTACGCACCCACTACCACTAGCTATATACGAGTATGTAACGAGCCACAAGTACGCACCCCCTACCACTACCTATATACGAGTATGTAACGAGCCACAAGTACGCACCCCCTACCACTAGCTATATACGAGAATGTAACGAGCCGCAAGTACGCACCCCCTACCACTACCTATATACGAGTATGTAACGAGCCACAAGTACGCACCCCCTACCACTACCTATATACGAGTATGTAACGAACCACAAGTACGCACCCACTATCACTAGTTATATACGAGTATGTAACGAGCGACAAATACACACCCCCTACCACTAGCTATATACGAGTATGTAACGAGCCACAAGTACGCACCCCCTACCACTACCTATATACGAGTATGTAACGAACCACAAGTACGCACCCCCTATCACTAGCTATATACGAGTATGTAACGAGCCACAAGTACGCACCCCCTACCACTACCTATATACGAGTATGTAACGAGCCACAAGTACGCACCCCCTACCACTAGCTATATACGAGAATGTAACGAGCCGCAAGTACGCACCCCCTACCACTACCTATATACGAGTATGTAACGAGCCACAAGTACGCACCCCCTACCACTAGCTATATACGAGTATGTAACGAGCCGCAAGTACGCACCCCCTACCACTACCTATATACGAGTATGTAACGAGCCACAAGTACGCACCCCCTACCACTACCTATATACGAGTATGTAACGAGCGACAAGTATGCACCCCCTACCACTACCTATATACGAGTATGTAACGAGCCACAAGTACGCACCCCCTACCACTAGCTATATACGAGAATGTAACGAGCCGCAAGTACGCACCCCCTACCACTAGCTATATACGAGTATGTAACGAGCCACAAGTACGCACCCCCACCCACTACCAAAAAACGAGAATGGACCGATCGCCAAGTACGCACCCCCTACCACTACCTATATACGAGTATGTAACGAGCCACAAGTACGCACCCACTACCACTAGCTATATACGAGTATGTAACGAGCCACAAGTACGCACCCACTACCACTAGCTATATACGAGTATGTAACGAGCCACAAGTACGCACCCACTACCACTAGCTATATACGAGTATGTAACGAGCGACAAATACGCACCCCCTACCACTAGCTATATACACACAGTAGGGTGGAACTTGTCTATTAACTGTTACATCTTGATTTACTCTACCTTGTACGTTGGCACAATCTACTATCGAACGTGCTGATTTGCATCACTATATCACAGTGTAAACAAATATTATTGTTGCACTGCAAATTTAATTCCTCGTCCCCCTTCTTAGTCCATAATTAAGAATAATAACTAATAAATCACTTGAGTCCGTTGTTATGTATGTATTGCGAGTAGTGTGTGTGGTGGTTATGCAGGGTGGTGTTCGGGCGGGAGGGTCTGTCGGGCGCGGTGACGGAGGCGGCGATGGGCTTGACGCGCAGCGCGGTGGAGGCGCAGAACGCGGCGCGGAAGGAGTTCCTCGACCACCTGCGGCGGGACCTCGCGCGCCGCGCCGCCGCCTCGCAGCGCTGGCGACGTCTCGTCGCGGACCTCACGCACCAGCAGGGTCAGTAGAACTATTCTGTAAGCATCACTTACGAATTCCGAAGCGAAATCCGCGGTGAGATTCTACGTCCGTATTCTGTAAAACTCGATAGCGACTGCAGTGCCACACGCTCGAGAGCACGACACAGGTAAAACTAGTATCTTTTTTTAAAAATTAGGCAGACCCTATAGCTCGGTAGGAACTTTATATTCGCAAATGGATACGAGTAGGTACCTTGTGTGAAATGAGTTGTTAAAACGCTTACAGAATACCAATGCAGTACCCCAACCCATGGTCGTAGGCTGCCATGGGCTCAGGGTGGGGCTCAATCTGAAATATTATATAACTAATAAACTATGTCCGCGGTCTTAACCCGATTACTTTTTTTCATACAAAACGATTTCACCTTATAGCAGCCTGTATATGTGCGTATAATTCGAATTATTCAAAACTTCATATTGCTCATCTACCTATTCCACGAAATAGACTGTCGAGTATGAACTTTCTTTCGGATATTAAGTATTGTAGTTAGTACTTAGGTAATTTATTCTTTTAGATTAAGCTCAGGACGAGAGGCGCGGGCCTGGGTGGAGCGCTTGCCCCATCCTGGCTCGCACCGTAGTCATATTCCATGGAAGATGTCATAGCCTTAATTATCTGCTATATTCGGCAGCTGTGTGGCACGATCCGAGCAGTTACCCGCAGTCGTGGCAACTAGACCCAACTGAGGGCCCGGGCCGCGTGCGCGTACGTCTACGTCGTGCACATCTGCGCATACACCCGCGCTTCCTTAAGCCTGAACACCAGCACAAGGCCGGTGAGCTGCTTCATTATTTAACACTATTTTATTTTAATTTAGATTTAAATTTAGTTTGAAGAAGCATTCCTGGTGGTCACGACCCTCAGTCTTCGGGAATCGACAAAGAAAAAGAAGATTTAAATTTATAGTAACATAAAATAAATAATTATACCTTAAAACTGATCCAGGAATGATGTTGAAGGGTGAAAATTGTGGGTTGTATCCTTAAGCCTTGTAGACTTGTATGACGACGTACTTCTAAATGGATTACAATAGCCCACCACATAAGCGTATTATAAACTGCAAGTGTACTGTAGTGCCGTTAATTAGGACGCGTTAATTGTGAACGTCGCAGAGCGGAGCACGCGCGCGGCGCCGCTGGAGGCGGTGGTGGGGGGCGCGGCGGGGGCGCGCGGGGCGGCCGCCCGCCTGCAGCCGCACGAGACGCTGGCGCACAGCACGCGCGCCGCGCACGTCACCGTCGCGCGGGACAACGACGGCGACCTGCTGCTCACCGACCGCTGTCTGCACTTCGTGCCCGACGGTGATACCTTCTCTCTCTCTCTCTGTCTCTCACACACACACATACATTTATTATATTTATGATCGTATTTTTTTTCTTTGAATTATTGTAATGCTGTTGGTCGCAATTGGCCTTTACTGTTGGCAAGTACAGATGGCATTCCGAGGAAAGACTCAATGGAGCGGCTGAAGACTAGCTTCTGCCTTACACATACGACTTTAGTCTGAGGACACCGTTAAGGGTTCCAACCTCGGCTAATACCGTTGTTATTTCGATCCCCTTTTGAATTGAACGCGAGATCTATCGAAGGGGTTGTTAATTCTCTGTGTTTGTAATGTAATCTTGTGTCAGTTTCGATAATAACAAACGTTGTGGTCATTAAAGATCTTGATTTAACGTGTCTGTCGCTTATCGAATGTGACCAGGCGAGGGCGAAGCGCATAGCTGGCCACTGGCGCGAGTGGCGGGCGTGGCGACCCGGCGCTGGTGCCTGCAGGAGCGCGCCGTGGAGCTGTTCCTGTCGTCCGGCCACGCGCACCTGCTCGCGTTCCCCGCCGAGCCCGACCGCGCCGCCTTCCTGCGCGCACTCGCCGCCTGCCACCTGCCCGCCAGGTACTGTCCCCGCCAGGTACTGTCCCCACCAGGTACTGTCCCTGCCCCGTCGGCCGCCACCCGCACCTGCCTGTATTAACAACTGCCACCTCATCATCAGCTGCCACTGAAGATCTAATCCAAATACTTGCCTGACACCTGCCCGCTACCTTTTTCTACTTGGGTACCACCTACCTTGCGGACAAAACTTCCAAAGACCGTCCTTACGCCAGAAGGATGACGAGGAGTGTGAGATTTTTACCCGCTAAAAATCACTCGGTTTACTTACGGGCGCTGTTGCCGAAGTTATTAGGTGGCGTTAGTATAACTACCGCAGACTACGGTAATGTCGGCCTACCCTGTAGATGGTGTAGGTCAGGCCACACATTGTATTCCACATGTCATTATATTGTATATTATTATAGACTTAACTAATCCAATATTTCTTTCTATTTTAGATCAGAACCCGATACTTTATCAGAAGCGATGTCCCAATGGCGATCTGGCAACATCACCAACTGGGAGTACCTGATGCGACTGAACGGCCTTGGCGGGCGCACCTATAACGATCTGATGCAGTACCCAGTATTTCCGTTCGTGATAGCAGACTATACCTCGCGGATATTAGACCTCAACAACCCCGCCTCATTTCGAGACCTTACGAAACCTATGGGGGTACAGAACAAGAATCGTGAACAGCACTATATCAATACGTACAATGTGAGTTATCTATCTTTGTAAGTAGCAATGAGATTTAACTTCGTTACGTTAGATTTAAGTATATCTACTGTAAGTATTTCTTACGTGAAAGTTATTTATTTATTATAAACAATCAGATATACTCCAATTTCCGGTTTTTCATTGAGCATTGCAGCATTGATTATAAACAATCTGATATACTCCAATTTCCGGTCCAGTTTGAAAAATGGTAACCCAAAATAGAGCGATGTACTTGTTTGGTGACAAGAAATTTTTCAAGACATTTGACTACTTAATGACTTCAATCTTCATCTAGTTTACTCTTGCCCTTGGTGCTCTTGCTGTCGAAAATATTCGTCTAGCTAAATGTTACAAAATAGTACATTTCAAACTTCAATATCCTGTTATTCTGTATTTTTATTTAAACACATTATTTTTGTTCGAGCCTGCAAATACAGTGCACTGTCTGTGTGTTTGCCTAAATATATAGTGTAAATGACTGCAAATGACAAAACTGCCAGAGCTCCTATTTTTCAAACTGAACACAGCAGTACAAGCAGTTAGTTTAGCAATAGAGCGAGCAGTTGGTTGGTGTGGTGGCGGTGGGGAGGGTGTTGTGGCGGTGGTGACAAATGTGGCGGTGGTGACGAGTGTGGCGGTGCGCAGGACCTGTGTGCGGCGCGGCGGACGGGGTGCAGTGCGCTGGCGCGGGCGCCGCACCACTACGCCTCGCTGTACTCCAACTCGGGCGGCGTGCTGCACTACCTCGTGAGACTGCCGCCCTTCACTGAACTCTTCCTCAACTACCAGGGTAATTTGCACTCGTTTTTTATAGCATGTGGATAAATAAGTTAAACAACCTACAGAATGGTTTATCTGATTACCACGGGACCTACGAGCAGCACACCAGGAGCAGCTCTAGATGCATTATTGGACTTAACACCCCGAATAAATGATTCAAAAAAACAAAAGCCAGAATGCTTGGAATCAATTTCCAAAGAAGGATCTCCTGGCACTCCCAAACTATAACGACATTACAAGACTCAATAATGAGTGATCTCATTCTGGGAATGCTTTTGGGATTATACTTTACGATATCGCAACCAACATATATATTAGTAGGCCAGCTTTACCATTCATTATAAGTTTATTTCCAGATAACAACTTCGACATGCCAGACCGCACTTTTCATTCGTTGGCGACCACGTGGCGACTTATCACTAATGACTCCCCCACTGACGTCAAGGAGCTCATACCGGAGCTGTTCTATTTGCCGGAACTTTACTATAACAATGAAGGTCAGTTTTGGTCTAATTAACGGGTAAGATGAAATTTGTTTGTTGCTTAAGTAATCACGCCAATGAACAATTGAAGTTTCATTGCGGTGAGGTCCTTCTATTTTACGTCCTTTGGTGTCTTTTGAAAATAATTAATTATTTATTGCAAAATGGCAGACATCTAATTATGTAGCATAGACGTAAGTTATCTACTGATAATTTATAAATCTTAAATGTGTGTTCGGATAAAAAATGTGCGGAATATAAATTAAAATAAATTGAAATGACTTTAAACATACGCACTATCACAAAAGATAGTAAAGTGCAATCAGTCGCGATTGCACGTGCTGATTTTTTCGCGCTAAACATCGCGCGTTAAATAACGTGTCGTGTAAAAGCAGCTATTCATCCGACTGAGGGTTTAAGGGTCGGGCAGACATGCCGCGTGGGTGTCGGGCGTGTAGTGAGTGCGTGTAGTGAGTGCTGGTGCGTGCAGGGCTGTCGCTGGGCGTGCGGCAGTGCGGCGCGGGCGTGGACGCGGTGCAGCTGCCGGCGTGGGCGGCGGACGCGCGGCTGTTCACGCTGGCGCTGCGGCAGGCTCTTGAAGCGCCGCTGGTCACGGACGCGCTGCCGCACTGGATCGACCTCGTGTTCGGCTACAAGCAGACCGGGCAGCCCGCCATCGACGCCATCAACGTCTTCCCCGCCTGCGTACGTACCACGAATACATCCATTACACACATATTTATCCATTTAATATCGCTCTGTTATATTTTGTCTCTCTGCATTTTGCCTATGCCTTATTAAAAGAGCAACACTCAAATTTTTTGCTCGTTCTTCTTGTGATGAGTCAGCGTTCCGAATGAGTGGTAGAATAAAAAAAATATGACATTTAAAAGTACTTATACATATTTTTTTTAGTCAGTGTTGTTTTAATAGATTCTATAATTTTAGGTCAATATTCATTAAATACAATTTACCTCTTCTAAGTTAATTAAATTTGCACTCGAGTGTTCTTTTTTCGATTCGACAATTTTAAATTATAAATGAAACTGTGACTGAAAACTCTACTAAAGTATTGACGGGCTCTGTAAAATATATTTAATATAGTGCTAATATAATTTGATGTTGTTTGAGCAGACGTACTATGGTTTCGACCCGCTGGCACTGGAGGATGAGGTGGACCGGACGGCCGCTGAGGCGATGGTGCGCACGTACGGACAGGCGCCGCGACAGCTGCTGCGGCACCCGCACCCGCACCGCGCGCCCGACCTGCACCAGCGGGAACACCACCAGGTACGTACGGCGGCATCCTCACCACTGGCAACACGCAATATCCTCATCATCCGCACCACCCGTACTACCCCATCATCCATACCACCAGCACTACACGCACCACCCGCACTACTTGCGTCACATGCACCACCTACACTATCCTCACCAACTGCACTAGCACCGCGCGCCTGACCTGCATCAGCGAAAGCACCACCAAGTAACTGATTATCGCTGACCGACAGTATAGTAGGCATCGCAGTATATTGAATTTTGTATTTGTTCATTCATCAAAATTTCGGAATTATACTGTACGCAAATAGTATAATTGGGAAATTTTAATACAACACGCCTTATCTTATCCCCCAAACCTGCTTATGGCGTATTATAATAAATACATAAATATAATATATTCTACTGGGTACAGACAGTCAATATTGTGCTCACTAAATAGCTCACACATCCCATGGCGACGTAATATCCGTAGCAGTGTCGATGTACACATACAGGCTACATAATACTGTAGCAAGAGTAACGTGTAACATTGGGGTTCTCAGCCTAGCGTGTGGGCGGGCGTGGAGGGCGCGCGGTGGGGCCGCTGGTGCGGGTCGCCGGGTGCGCCGCCCCCCGCCGTCCGCGCGCGCCGCTCCTTGTCAGCTGCGGCGGGGGCGGCGGGGGCGGCGGCGGCGGCGGGGGGCGGGGGCACCGCGTACGCGCTGCCGCACGCACGCACCGCTGCGTTCTCGCTCGCCACCACCGCACTTCTCACAGTACAAGGTACGCAAATATATATATTCCGATTGAAGATACGTTCTTTTTTCAAAAATGTTTGGTGATATATATTTATAGATTGAAACATAACAATTTTTTTTTCATACTGATACATTATTTTACTTTTCATACATTTCACTCTAGAGATAACCAGTCGACGGAGCTTATTAATATGGCCGAATTATAGGCCATATTTCACAGGCAGGCATTCATTGTGTAGTCATTTCCATTTTAGAACAGAATAAGGTGTTGATTAATTAACATTCTGACCAATAATATAGTGTTACGAATATCTTGCGATCATTTTGTGCGATAACATCATGTGTACAGATAATAAACGTTTCATAGAAACGAAATTGTTTTCTTGTAAATAAAAGGACCGGAATTTTTAAATTTAATTATTGAATGATCTTGCTAGGTAGTAATAAGATGTTGTAGGTTGAGGCGATATATATTAAAACATGATAGTGAACTGACGAAATGCGCATTGTAATATTGATCTTATGTATGTACGAAATAACAATAGTAAAGTAAAATATAAGGTGAAATGACATGGTACTTACATGGTATTTAGTATACAATATGTAGTTTGTTTTACTGGCTTTAATTAATTGCCAGTACTGATGATACGATATTGCGGCATTGTTTGTGCAGGCGACGGTGGTACGGCTGGAGGGTACGCGATTGTATCGTGGGGGCACGCGGACCACATCGTGCGATTGCGGCGCCGCCGTGACGCACCCTATGAACTTCTACTACAAGTGCCCCCGCTCGACCAGGTTCGTATAGGTTACGGGTAAAACTTAATGAGGAAGGTGTATGAACAGGTTTAGCTAGTTATATACTATCAGCTTCTCCTCAAGACTGACCAGGATAAAACGTAGTCTTTATCCTTCTATATTCTGAATATAACAAAAATTTAAGCTTTTAAAGCTTGGTATTCTTAGCTTACAAATAAAGTTATTTTTATGTAGTATTATGAAGTTTTACGCTCGTTCGTATGCACATGTTGAACAAAAATCATCAAGTTACATTTTACGTGCTAATTTGACTTCATTCCTCTCAACCTCGGAATATATTGTATATGTGTGTACATATATTTTGCACGTATATGTATATATTTATATCACTTCAACAAGTATTCGTAACTGGAGTAATAGCAAAAATAAGTGTCGATAGGTCTCGGCAGTTCGTTCAACTACTATCATTAGATTGTCAGACGAAAAAAGTGATGTACGTAAATGTAGTAGAGTGCGAATGTTGTGCGCAGATAACGTGCGTGGCGACGTGCTAAACAAGAACAATTGACCACATACTGCACAACAGACAGTTACCAAATTAGAAGAGCTTCAATTGGAATGTCTAAGACAACCACCGTACTTCCCGGACCTTGCTCCAACAGATTACCATTTTTTTCGAAATTTGGATAACTTCTTGCAAGGGAAAAAATTAAACTCCGATGGGGCAGTCCAAAGTGCAAAAACAAAAGGCAAAAGTGCATAAATAGAAATGGTTTTAAAATTTATTAAAAAATTAATAGCGGACACGCAGACCGCGTTCGTGGGGCACGGCTCGGGCCGCGTGGTGGCGCTGGAGCCGTCGGGCCGCGCGCGCACGCTGGCCGCGCACGCCGCCCGCGTCTCCGCGCTGCACGTGTGCCTGCGCGCGGCACTCCTCGCCTCCGCCGATACCGACGGGCGCCTCGTGCTCTGGGATCTTAACCAGTAAGCGCCCCGTACCATTCATTTTGCGACCATTGAAACGAAGGCGGTGAGATATATCCGTTGGTGTTCATGAGTAGGATTGTTTTTATGTCTGTCTGAGTGTTTTCCATGTACGTTATGTATGTATTTACAAAAACTGCTTTATTCTTTTTAAAGCCTGTTTTATTATTACCAACTGATAGCAGTTGTCTACTAATCATGCGAGCTATACTTAGGTGGTGTGTGTGAATCGTCCAGGGTTCTTGTTATTATTCATTAAAGATTGTAACTCATACATATTATCTTTTTTTAATTGGATCACACTTGTCAGGTATATTTGGAATTATACAGATACATAAACATGAAAATAATTATCCATAATTATACTTCTTTGTTCTTTGTTTCTATTTACTAAATATATGAAAATTATAAGCAAATATACTAAACAGAATAAGAAATCAAAACCAACACTAGAATGTTTCAATTTTCGAACTAATGTACTGAATGTTCTTCTATAGGCTAACGTACATCCGAACATTACCGAATCGCGACATGTTGCCGGTGACGCACGTGACGGTGAGCGAGACGCTGTGCGACGTGGCCTCCGTGCACGACCCCGCGCGCGCACGTCGCCACGTCCCCGCCGCTGACGTCACGTCCGCCGCCGCCAGTGACGTCACCGGCGCAGACTCCTACGAACATGATGCAGACAAGTATCAGTCTCTTATACGCGTGCACACTGTCAACGGCTCATTCGTCGGTATGTAATAGCGTTTAGTATTAAGTTTGAATTGTTGAGTAAAGAGGAAATGTTATATGTATTATTATGTAGAGTTATAAAAATATAATAATACAAAAAAGAACATATAAGTTTTGAAAATAATAGTTTTAACTATCGTTTTACTGATGCAGGCAGCGTCAAGGTAGCGGAACTGGTGACAAGCGTGTGCTACTCAAACGCGTATGAGGGCGTGAGCGTGAACTGCGTGGTGGCCGGTCTTCGAGGCGGCGGCGTGCTGCTGTACTCCTCCTGGGACCTGCGCCGCGTCGCTGTCATACCGCCCGCAGAACACGCGCCGCTAATCAGGTTTCTTTCTTATGGATCATAATGGAATACACCCCCCTGCGCTAACGATTTATCCAGCGAAGGAGGAGTGAGTCCATTATTAAGTTGCTTCCCCTCTTGCAACTCATCTGAGTTCCGAGAAAAGTTAGAAAAGAACGAGGGTGTCACATGATATCATGATGACCGTACGATGAACATGAATATAGGTGACGATTACACCTTACCATCAAGTTGGCTGTCAGCTTATTTGTTGTTCTTACATTAAAAACTTTATTTCCAGCGTGACGTACAGCAGCGACTCCCAACTACTGTTCGGGCTGTACGGGAGCGGCGTGGCGGTCGCGTGGGAGAGCGCGGGGGAGGGCGGCGGGGCGGGCGCGGGGGGCGCCGCCCCGCGACTACTGCCCGCACACGCACTACTCTGACGCACGCACACACGGAACATGAAGAATTTATGAAGAAACTCAAACTTACTGTAATGCTGTTAGCCGCAGATGGCCTTTACAGCTTTACTGGACGATAGGGGACGTGTGCAGAGGGCACTCCAAACCCGCGAAAAGACTTATGGAGCGGCGGAACTCCCGCCTCGTGAAGAAAACGGCGGGACTAAAATATATGTACAGTACGCTGAATATGAAATATCCGCATTGAATAATATGTGAAAAGTAACTACAGGGTAAAAATTCGCAATGCAAATAAACGCTTAATGTTCCTATACATGTGTCAAGTAGAAATAATGGTCGTTTGATCGATGTTCTTTTAATATATTTTTAATTGCACTTTGAAATACGTTAGATAGAGTGAGGAAAGGTGGAGTTATCTCTAAAAGAGGTCTCTATCAGTCAACCTAACACATCTTTTTTGTATGGTAAACTTTTATATATCGGTTTCTTACAGCTTAAACGTGTTGTTATATGATAAAAAATATATATATATTTTAGAAATTGCATTTTAAAGATTGTATTACCTATAAATACTTTTTCTTAGAGTTTAAAGACACTATTATACAAGATATTATAATGAGAATTGAGTGTAAATATCTGTTATTGTTTAGTTGTAGCGCACTGTAGTTAAGAATAAACGATATTTTTTATTCAGATTATTAAAAAATATGGCTGTATGTAACGAATGACTAAGTAGATATTTTTAGATTATATTAAACATAACGCCAAATACATTCTTATAAAATAAAATATAAAATCCCCATCAGATATTATTGCAAAGTATATTTATACGCTAGTTTTAGTATGTAATTGACTAACTTTTAATAAGCATATCATAAGAATAAAAATTGCAATAAAAAAAATCGAGGCTGCTACATAGTAACGATAAGAAATTAGGTTATTAAATAATCGGTGATTAAATAAATATTCTTATACATTAATTATTAACCAGACTTTATATTTATGAGTCAGAGAATTAAGTCTTCCGAACAAGTGAGTTTACACGTCAAGTATAACGTTATTTTAAATATGTATGCCTATCTAATATGTACTATAAGATATAACATTTAAAGTGTTTATATAAATTTGATCATAGTAAGTGAAATTCGTAAATTTTATTACAATAACAAAGAAATATTCAAAATTATATCTCACATAATGTTCCTAATTTTCTGTAAGTTTACGAAATTGCGTCTATGTATCATATGATTTATAACTGTGGATTAAGCCAGAGATATTTGAGTAGAAAGGAAGATCCAACCTTCTTGTTCCGTTAGGTATTTAACTCAAAGATAATGGTGGGTGCCTAACAGCCTACTTATATAATTTAAACTATAAACTGTGGCAAAACAATATTTTTATAAAAATCTTTTTGAACGGTAATGTAAATGAAGTAAGAGTTTTGTACCAAACATAGCGGCCAATGGTACTCAGTTATATCTCTAAGGTTTTATGATTGTATGTAATATAAACGTTAGATATTATAAATAAAAACGAATTGACAAATAAATTAGAAATGCTTTGATGAAGTTAAATTGAATAGGAGACATGTGATTAATAAAAAAAATATTGTTTAGGGTGTTTATCATTTAAGCATATTTGAAGACAAAATGATTGAAGTATATCTATCGATTGTCTAGTACCAAAATACGAGCTTTGTTCAGTTTGGCTCAAGACATCCTTGTGTGTGAATTGTCCAGTACATGGTTAATATTATTTATTTCTGTTGTATGTTTAGTTCGTCAGCTAGCTGTCATTTTGTCTTTTATAATAATTGTTTTTATGTATTACGTATTAATTTTAATTTCATTATTATTGCTTAGACCTATAATTATATCGAATTAAATAAACAAAAATAACTAATTAACGCATAACGAATTAAATAAACAAAAATATAACTAATTAACGCAATAAGCACTAACTTTGGCAATTTAAATCTTTCAGCTACAATTTTCATAAACAAGTTATTTGCCGGTACTTTATAATTGTAATATAACTACTGAATTATTGTACATATCATTAGAATGTAACTGCTAAAGCTCTAAAAGCGTGCTTTAAGCATTCCAATTAATATTTAGTATTATAATTAAGGTGGTGAAACTATTTAATATTTCTCTTCATATAAGTATTTATATTATTATATATTTTTATGTACTAAAATATCTTTATATTTGTACTATTTCTTACGTTAGATATAAATGCTTACATATTACTGAAAACGTCTAATGACTAATATGCATTCGCAGTTGGATAAAAAGTGATCACGACACAATAAATATTGGATGTTATAGATTTTATTATTAAGAATAAGACTAAATCTAAAAACTTATTGGTTACTTGGGCAGTGAGTAAATCGTTAGTTTCAAATTCTCTATTAAAGACTGATCTAAAATTTATTAGGTATAGCTTTATTCTTGTATTACAGGTCGCATTTACTATTTTGGTCTTATATTTGAGACACAGTTGACTATCAATTCTCATTTAGAATAGACTGAAACAATGTTGCCTTTATTTTTGATCGATTTAACATTAATATTGCAGATTCTATTACTTGGTTTATGTTTGCACATGCGTTACGTTAACAAACTTTTGGTTTATCATTATCATTATTATCGTTATAATATTCTTTTCGTTTTTTTGTACAATATATTTTTCTCATTGACATTATGTATTTGTGTTTGGTGTTATAAATTTATAATATTGTTATTTTTAAGAATGAAGTGAAAATAAAGTATTTTAATGCAGTTATTATTTTATTAATGTTATATATTTCACCTAATGTAAATGTTAAATGTGAATATACTACGATTATGCATAATTTGATATCCTAGGAAAGACCTCCTAAAAACTATTCTTTAAATGCAAATCCAATCACTATTATTTGTAGGTATATGAATAGTAATTTACCAAATTTTGTTGAAATTTATAATACCATTAAATATATACATAAGGATAAGGAAGGAAAATATCCGCGTTATATCTAGTTACAATTGTATGTCCTTTGCCTGCTTTTATTAAAGAAAAAGAAGAAGAGTAAACAAAATGGCGAGCGAATTGACTGATTGACTCTAAGGATTGATCATGTTGGATACAGACGGCAGTGTGACCGGAAACGGCAGTAATTGCCTTTTTAGCATGTTCAAATATAATTTTTAAATCTTATATAAAATATAGCTTTTCATTAAACACAAGTCAGAGTCACAATTCAATAAGTCGAATATGAGGACTATTAGTCACATCAGTAAAAGACTGGTAAATCAGAGTAACATGATTCAATCAGAATCAAGAACCGACACAAATTTCCAATTGTCCAATTATTTTCATAATAACATGTAGAAAAGTTTACAAAAATTTAATATAAATTTTCCTCTTTTAGAGAGTATTTAAATGTAACATGGATACTAGTATAACAAGAAGTTCAAGCTCGAAATTGAATGTTTGTATAGTTTTATTTTTTAAACCCTGTACAATTAAAAAGTAACTACGTGAAATTGAAAATTGGTTTATCAAATGATAATTTGCATGTAGCACGTAAAAAGAAGTTAGTACTTTATTATACCTTAGCGATATGCTGCAAGTGTATAGTACAGAACAGAGCACACTCTAAAATTTAAAGATGGCCACACTAACGAATTCTGATTGAGCTGCGACTGACTCTGACTGACAGTGATTTCTCAAAAACAATCGACAATTTATTTAATAAACTTGTTTACTCAACGTGTTCGTTTTAAAAATAACAATTGCTTCTCATTTACTACAAACATAAATTTTAGTTACATATATTCAAGTAATTACAATCGTCATGGGGTCTTCAAAGAAACATAAAAAAGAATCTAAAAAGAAGAAACATCGTAGTAGATCTCGATCGCCCCTGGGTGGGGAACGCGAACGAAAACGGCACAGGAAACACAAAGATCGCAAAAAAGATCGCTCTCCTGACGGTTAGTTTCTTTTCTAAAGTACTTACAAATAAACGCTGAAATCACATGATCATGTCTGGTATAGTTTATTGATTTATAAGTAACACCTTTGTTCCTTGTAGAATGTATGTAAATAATTTGTTTATCTATCTTGAATAGTGAACAGAGATGATCATGTGTGACAGCGGTGAGCCCGATTGACAAGATAATGGCATATTTTGCTCGTTATTTCAGAGTCAGGTGGCAATCGAGTGGGCCACCTCACCTACTTTGCTGCAGCGATGAGGTGGGTATTGTATGTTACCTGTGAAGAGCAATTAAACAAATGGGATGTCAAGACTCATTCCTATTTACAGTGTCTATAAAAAACTTTTGTCCAATATGAAACTATCATATAAATATGATATTGGGATTGAATAATACATAGGAAAATCTACAAAATATATAATATTTAATGGAAATTTTGTCTCCATGGCATCTTTTATTCTTAAAGTTAATGAAGTAATGAGAATATGTTATGAATAAATTAACTAATGAGAATATGTAACTTAGAATCGTCAGGAATTCCTCAAAACATGTGTACTTGAGATTTACTAGATGCAATGACTTCACTATATCTATCACGATCTGCACTTCAAAAACACACTAAATATTTAGTGATGACAATAAAAACATATTCTCTGTTGCTTATATTGGATTAAAGTGGTTTCTGAGTAGTTTTTTAAGCATTATATTGGAATATTAGTACTATCTGTGCTAATGGTAGATGCTGATGACAGTTGCAGTGATGATGATACATTCAAGCCACTCATTGTGGCAACCTTGCCAGAAATAAATCACAATGGTTTTGGGGAAATTCAAACCCAAACTTAAAATAATTTATTTACACAGGACCTCTTACTATAATATCACCAGGTCAACATTTTAAAAGAGTACATTATTGGCAATGCAGCAAACAGTTCACATTTGTTTTAAAACCCTCTCTTTTCTTGACTATGTTGGTTATTTTCACCTTATTATATAATAAATACAAGATATTCTCATCACTATGGAAGCTTAATAAATAATTATTAGCCATTAGTTCATGAAGTAAAAATCTATGTAATTGTATAACATTTTGCTACTTAGATAATTTAATCTGCCCTGTTCCGATGATAGAAGTGATATGACAACACTATAATATGAGTGAAATACTAATTGACATCTATTAAGCTTATTTTGGACTTGCAAAGCTATGATAATTTCAATAGTTTGTAGACACAGCTTATATGATTATATGGGATTAAGAATTTATTACAGTAACATTTACATTTCTGATTTTAGAAGACAAATGCATACTTTTTTGAAGTAAATTCTATCTGTTAGTTATAGTCTTGAGCTACAAGTTACACACTTACATGAATATAGAGATTAAAGATACAACTATCGAAAAAATAGATTTTTAAAGGAATAAACCATACAGAGTAAACCGTTAATATAAGTGGTTGGATAACCCACTTGGATTAATGGTTTATACCCATGTAGTGCCCATAATGATAATTTGAATACTTTAGATGATTATTATAATCAATTTATTATTGTTAGTATTTTGTATAACACAAACTACAGTAATATTTTTAATAGTCATGCCCTGTAAGTCATATACTACTATAATAAGTTCTAGGGTATTTTTAAGAGATATTTATTTCATTCGAGTACACTATCTAGGAATGGAGCTTAAGAAGACAGTTTAGAGATTTAAACATATCTAATCCTAAGACTGTTCTGAACTGGGATCACTAATATTATATAGTGATCTCTGCTACAGCCAACAATATATTGAAATAGCAAGTCTTCCTACAAGACAAACACTTATAGACACAGATATATATTTTTATGGAAAAAATAATTGTGGTAAAAATATATTTTCAGAAAACAGTTATTAAAGTTAATGAGCCTCAGAAAATATAAGTTTCAGACAACAATGGTAAATAAATTTATGCCATTATTCAGTGGACAATTGGATATTGGTAATAACATTAAACAAACAAACAACTTGTCTTTTTAACTGAAAGAAAGAGTTGAAACAGTTAAATAGAAACAGAAATTTTTTAAAGTCAAATTGTTTAAAATGAGTTAGTAGGTTTATTTTTTTTATAAATAAGTGGAAATAAGCTCATTTATCGTTTATGCTCTCTAGGATATTGTAAGAGATTACTAGGGCAACAAGAAATAATAGATCATTGTAAAGTGTGATTAAAATGCACATTCTCCCACTAGCCATTACCTTTACAAGAGAGATGAGAATGCCCATGCTCCACAGTAGAATGTATTAAGTAGTAACACATTTACAAATTTATGGTTAACAAGTTTTTTGGGAATTTTTCTTCATTACTAGTATATATTCATTGACTTAAACTAGGCCAAGGCTTTTCATTCAAATTAATGCAAAATAATATGCCAAATTTCATGATGATTGAATGTAAACACTTTATAATGAAATTACAAATAGACACAGTCAATTAAATGTGTGAATTAAATTTTTTACAAGTACTTTTTTATTTTTCTATAATAAGAATTTAGAATTAACTTTTATTGGTAACTAGCTGCTTGCCCAGCTTCGCACGGGGGTGAATGTGTGTTATATTTACATATAAATTTCTCATATCTATGTCTGAAATCTGCATTATAATCTGTTACGTAGTTTCAAAGATCTAAGAGAATAGACAGTGAGGGCGACTTAGGTTTATTCTATATAAATATGACTAATGATTATTTAAAGCATATAAATTTCTCTTGGATGTATTCTAAACTGGGTATTATAATTTGTTGCAGTGGAAGAGGTGCCGGTGGACTCCCATCTATTGGTGGCGGATGCGGCCGCGTCGCTGAGTCACAGCCGCAGTCGCAGCAGCAGTGTGGAGCGACGTGGCTACAGAGAAAACAGCTATGGGTAAAAGGGATTAGATGTCATAACTCCATACCCTGTAATTTCACTACCTTATCTTACACATGAGTGGTGAGACAGAGGTAACAATGTTGTTGACTTTGTACAAACACCAACTTAGTAAATATTAGTTACGTTTGAGTTAATTGAAAAACAGATTCAAAGGAAATTCGTAACCATTATTCTGGTCATCAGTAACAGTGTTGCCATTTCTGAATGGTAATTTTTTATTACATATAAATTCAATGGTATGAAAAGTGTGATACCTTTCATATGGGAATACATCTTAAAAGAATCTACTAGCAGCATATTTAAGTACAAAGTCTCTGACTGCTATTTTTGTATACTTACTATGGGATAATACACTTGCTTATCACCATTAACAATAATAATCACCATTTATTCAAAAAATTATTATGTATTACTTCGTCAGAGTACATTAATAATAAAATAGGTTTTAAGGTACTAAAGTATTAAAATTTAAAACATTCCTCATCGAACAGGGATAAAGATCACGAAAATGACCGCGAACATGTCCGGGAACCTTCACCGGTGGCAACAAGCACGACTGCACAGGAGAGTCTCTCTATAGAGGAAACGAACAAACTACGCGCCAAACTCGGCCTCAAGCCACTCGAAGTTGCCGAGAAACCAGCTGGTGAGTTTATTGTATATAGTGTTTTTAGAGGTAAAGATGCGTAATTTCATAGACATACCAATCTCGCTATTTGAAAAAGCCTAAGTTACGCCTTAGCCTGTTAATATACAGTCAATTAGTTGTCAGGTTGCCCGAAAGTGCCTTTGGCAGGTATGGTCCGCCCACTTATGAATTGCGTCAATATATTAAGGAATCGAAATGATATTTATTCAAATAAACTAAAGAAAAAAGCACTTTTTAATAGTAGATTGATGTAATACGACCGTCATAAAAACCTACCTAAAACCTAGCCAAACTGCCACTGAGTTTGCATACATCGGCTATGTGGCTGTGTAACAGTTTATAATTAAAACACTACACAAACTATAAATGATATCACAAATAAAAAACGATGGTTGTGTCCACCAGATGACGGCAAAATCAAGGATGACCTTGGGGAGTTCTACCATAAACCAGCCACCAACATTACACAGCAGAAGAAGTCAGAGAAGATACGGGAGAAACTCGAGGAGCGGCGTGAGAAACGGAAGCTTGAACAAAAGTGAGTATTCAATTATATTTAAGTTAGTTACTGTAATTCTGATCCCTGCAACACATACCTTGAGCTTAGTGTAGGGATTGCTGTTAAAATATTTTTCCTATAACCATAGATGTAAAGTGTACAAATATAAAAAAATTATATTATTTTTGGCAATAGATCATATTGATTGAACTATAATTGTTTAAAGATTTAATAAATTGATTTTCCTTAAAAATTTTTACACTTATTACTTTTCTTAGATTACAAACAACATTATTGGCAGAGGAGTCTGATGATGAAGACGCAATAGCATGGGTTAAGAAAACTAGGGAAATAGAGAAACAGAAATCGGAGGCTGCCAAGCGGGTGAGTTCTTATTGTATTTTATTAGAATTCTGTACTTAGTTTTTCGAGGTCTTTATGAATCTAAAGGAAAAATATGTATGTTTAAAAATAAAAGTGAAATTTTGTAGTGATTTTATAGAATAAGAGGCATGACATGTTATTCCTCTGTAATTGGAACATAATAGTTACCACTTACCATCAGGTGGAACTTGTATGCCATTCGTTTTACAAAAAATAGTTTTATAGATACCAGCTTAATTAAAACTAATGTGGATTAAACGTGGTTGCGATTCAGGCGGCGATGCTGGACGAGATGGACTCTGTGTTCGGGGTGTCGGCGCTGGTGGAGGAGGACGAGCGCGAGGCGCGGGCCGACCGCTACGGGGCCGCCCACCTGCGCGGACTCAGGGTGGCGCACGACGTCGACGCAGTCAGTGCATGCACTTATATCTATATTTTATTATTTGTTACTATTATAGTCATTCAATAGCATTCTTTGTAAGCTGTATTCAGTTTAAAAAAGCTGAATTACATCTTAATTCTCTGGATTAGCAAGTGAGTGAGTAATGCTTATATCTTTAAATTTAAACCTACAATAGATATAAATATTATATAGCTAACAAGATAGATAAATTCTTTATTCACCAATTACAGATACATAGATATACATGAGGTACAGAAAAAATACATTTGTGGCACATAAAGCAACTTCTATTTCTTTTATTTGTTCAATGCAAAGATGAATAAGCAAGCAACTCAGCATAATGCTACAGATAAATCTGCAGCGCTGATACTGCTTCACTTGACTGACTTTGCTTCCAACATTGCTAATATAGACATGTGTATTTATACTTGTGGACATTTTTGGCAGTTGGGTGACGAGCGGGAGATCGTACTGACACTGGCAGATAAGGAGGTGCTCGCAGAAGACGCAGAGGACGTGCTAGTTAACGTGAACATCGTTGACGACGAACGGTACAAGAAGGTTGGTACTCACTTTACAACTCAACTGGTCGCGGATTTGTTTCATTCCAAGATTCAAACGTTTATTTTTATGAGTAATATTTGCTTGTCTGGGTGTTTTTAATTATAAAAGTGTTTAATTATTTCTATTTGCATTCCAAATACATAACGAAAAATAATTCATACGTTACATTATAGAACATAGAGCAACGCAAAAAGGCCAAAGCCGGCTACCAGGCTTACGATGACGAAGCAGATATGGAGGCGGCCGCTCTCGGTTACCAGAAGCCGGTGCTATCCAAATATGATGATGAAATCGATAAAGACAAAGCAGAGAAACGACGAGGGTTCTTCATTGGCGATGAAGACGCGATTGAAGCAAAGCGCTTCAAGGAGATGATGGTATGTTGATAAATATACTAACAAAAAATTTTTGATGCTGTAATCACAAACATTTAAGTTATTATAAATATCTGAATAGACCAACATATATGTGGTATAATAATAAAACATAAATATAAATTGTTCCTGGCACTGATGATTGTAATCTACCACGGTAGCGCTGATACACCACTCCCTGCAGTACTAGTAGTATATGATCGTGTGTTTAAAGCTATATAAAAATGGTCTATATGACTTATTTTCTGTTGGCTGATTTTTATATATAATGATGGTATATGTTAAAATACATTCTGAGATCTTGCTCAATAAGATTTTAGTTAACTTACTAACTTAATTTTCAAGTTTCATTGTAATATAACAAGTTCTTATATTTGGCATACAAGTAAATTTACTATTTTAAACATAAGCTGTAGATTGTGCTGCTTTAAAAAAAAAAAGAAAATAAGTATGTTGCAAGCACAATATCTGTCAAATCAAGCTAAAATAAAAAATGTATGTATAATAATATGTTCAAAAAACATATAGCTAAGCATGTTATGTTTATGGCATGTCTTGCGAAAAGTAATTACTTACAAATACTAGGTGTAACCTGTTCACATCTATACAAAAATCATATGTAAAGTTTCATATGTAAAAATCTTACCTTTTAAGTAGGAGTAGAATGCGAGCAGGTAGCATGTGGTGTAAGTGGTAGTGAGTGAGTGGTTGTGACCCGCAGCGGAGGTCTGTGGCGAGCGGCCCCGAGCGGCGGCTGGAGTCGCTGCAGCTGCCCGAGCTGCAGCTGGCCGCCGACTACATGGACCACCACGAGATACAGGCCAAGTTCAAGAAGTCCAAGAGAAAGGTACGTCCTGACAACACTCTACATTACATTCATGTATCTTTACATAGTATAAAATTGAGTCATCTCCGCTGTCTGTTTGCTTAAAACTTTAAAAATAAGCAACGGATTTTGTTGCAGTTTTTAGCAATAGATAGAGTGATTCAAGAGAAAGGTCTATATAAGGGCGGGTAACTAGTTTACACTATCAATCTCATTATAATTCATAGAAACATATTACAATTTATAAACAAGAAAAAAATCTTACACTGACTAACTGACTTTATACACATGTAGACAGTAGTTTGCAGGGATTAATTATAGGGAATTAGATAGGATTAAGCAATTCAGTCAGCAGTCCTACATTTTCCTAAAATTTAAAGACTATACTTACCCAATTTAGAAGACATAATTGAGTGTTGTTTAAATAAAATATTTAGTTACTGTGCAACAATTTGAGATTTAAAAACTAGTTTATGGTATCTAAAATATTAATGAGATGACCTTGATCTGTCAACAGCTAAGTTCAAAGATGATATTTGCTTACAGGGTAAAATACGAAAGAAGGCGAAGCAGGAACCAATCGATGTAGACGACTACGAGGCAGGCACCGTGCCGCTCGATACCGACGACACAGGTAGGGTACCTTACTCTTTAATTAAAAATAATTATGTTATTGAAACTTAGTTGTGTAAAAGTTCTTGATGTGACGTAAGGATATAATGCGTCACCTCCTCATACATCTCACTCAGCCAATCGCAAAAGGGGTCCAGTAGAAGAAAACTAATCTTAAAGTAGAATTTTATATCAAATTACCTGACCGGCTCGGTAGGGCTAAGTCTTCCCGTGAGGACAAATTGACTTTATTTATTTACTGAATTTAAATCGATATTTAAAATTAATTTAAAATAAAAAAAATATAATGAGAATTTTAAATCTAATATGTTGAGTAATAAGTTATAATAATTAGTACAATGTTCGACACAGAGGTGAAGCCGGAGGATTTGGCGACGGGAGTGGGCGCCGACGACGAGGACGAGACGGAGCCCGACAGCGAACTGCAGGCCGCGCTCGCACGCGCACGTCGCCTGCGACTCATGCAGCCCGCGCACAAGGTACGCGCCCACACACTACCACGCCGCCTGCGACTCATGCAGCCCGCGCACAAGGTACGCGCCCACACACTACCACGCCGCCTGCGCACACAAGGTACGCGCCCACACACTACCACGCCGCCTGCGACTCATGCACGCGCACAAGGTACGCGCCCACACACTACCACGCCGCCTGCGACTCGCCCACACACCACGCCGCCTGCAGCAGCCGCGCACAAGGTACGCGCCCACACACTACCACGCCGCCTGCGACTCATGCAGCCCGCGCACAAGGTACGCGCCCACACACTACCACGCCGCCTGCGACTCATGCAGCCCGCGCACAAGGTACGCGCCCACACACTACCACGCCGCCTGCGACTCATGCGACTCCATGCAGCCCGCGCACAAGGTACGCGCCCACACACTACCACGCCGCCTGCGACTCATGCAGCCCGCGCACAAGGTACGCGCCCACACACTACCACGCCGCCTGCGACTCGCGCCCACACACTACCACGCCGCCTGCGACTCATGCAGCCCGCGCACAAGGTACGCGCCCACACACTACCACGCCGCCTGCGACTCATGCAGCCCGCGCACAAGGTACGCGCCCACACACTACCACGCCGCCTGCGACTCATGCAGCCCGCGCACAAGGTACGCGCCCACACACTACCACGCCGCCTGCGACTCATGCAGCCCGCGCACAAGGTACGCGCCCACACACTACCACGCACACCTGACAGGGTATAATCTTAAACTAGCCATACTCACACCCGTGACACTGCTGTCACTGAGCAGAGGTAAAAGAGAGTAAGAGGAGATAGAGATTATTTTCTATTCGCCTATCTGCAATCAATCCTGAAATCATAACCAGATCTTTTGTGTGTTGAAACTGATAAAGGAGTGTCTTCCCCAGTGGGAGGATCTACTTAAGATTACTGTGAAATATTAAATATCGCTTCCTTTTAGGTGATTAGGGTAGTGTTGTTCGAATGAGAGGCATAAAAATAAATTCAATCTATTAAAACTATGACAAATGAGACGTGGTTATTGCGCTTGTTGTATCAACATTTAAAGAGCACGATGTAAGATCGCAGAGAGTGGCAAGAGCTTCACCGACAAGAGCATAGCTCTTAATTATGAATGAAATGCGCTTCTGTAGATATTACGACATTAATTTCTACAAGTGTTTATTACATTTTGCATACAACCCTTTGTTGTACAACACAGGTGGAAGAGATATTGGAGCGCGTAAAGAAGGAGGAGCCTGAGGATGAAGAAGAGGGAGTAGCAGAGAGTGGTAGTGCCACTATGGTGTTAGATGCGACAGCAGAATTTTGTCGCACTCTGGGAGACATACCCACTTACGGACTCGCCGGCAATAGGGATCACCAGGCCGAGATCATGGTACGTCAGTTATATTTACTTTTTAAACTTGAAAAATACGTGTGAATGTATTATTATATTGACAAATTTGTGAAGAAGATTGATTTTGTAGCATCGCATGTCCTTCCCGCAATACAGTTACGCGCTACTAGCTGGCGGAACGCAAGCACCTCGGTTTTATTTATAATCTCGGTGCGAACGGGAACGCCCTTGTATTGCCTTGCATTGCATACGACAATGCTTATTAGATATTACACTAATCATATAGTTTTATGACACATAAGTTGTAAATTATCCAAATAAAGGAGTCCACAAATATGGCTATGATTAGTAGTTTTAATATTGCCTATACCGAGCCACTGAAATTTCTATTTGATTTTGAAAATGAAATAATACCTAACGTCTCATGATAGGACTTCGAGCGCGAGGATTTAGAGCCGGAACCGGAGACGAGTTCTAACGCGGGCGCCTGGAGCCGCGTCGACGTCGGCAGCGAGAAGCCGGCAGACCTCGCCGCCGGTAAGTAGGTCACATTATTTCTGTCGTCTGTACTTGCAATCGGTGCGTATAGAATAGAGTACGTAATGGCCCGCGAGCCAGCTGACCAGCTGTCAATATGACTAATTTTGTTTGTTAAAAATTTCTATAATAGTTAAGCCATTAAATACAACTAGGGTTATGAGGTCTAGTGAACGTCAGCTGTGGTTCAGAGGGTGAGTTGACAGGTACCTCTCAAATGATATGAACTCCAAATTATAATATATAGCCCATAAGGTCATATTATCAAAAAAAAAACATGTATATGAAAAGGTCCTGCTCCTCAACTCACCTTTGGAATCACAGTTGATTTTGTCTAGGTTTCATACTACAACTATTTTAGAAGTTTTCGGCCGTGAGGAAGTTATTAACAAAATTAGGCTCCGGCTCGGGTACTATAAGGTGTGGCGTGACGCAGGGTCCGTCGTGGGGCTGGAGGCGGAGCCGGCGCTCGGCGCAGGTGTAGCGGGCGCGCTGCAGCTCGCACTCAGCAAGGGGTACCTGGAGCGGGCCGGGGCCGCGCCCGCGCCGCGCTCGCAGCTCGCGCACCTGCTCGCCGCGCGACACTACTCCATCGAGGACAAGGCGCTCGGGTACGTCGCTCCTCCCTCCCCACCTCTACTGTACTGTACTGTACACTCAGCAAGGGGTACCTGGAGCGGGCCGGGGCCGCGCCCGCGCCGCGCTCGCAGCTCGCGCACCTGCTCGCCGCGCGACCGAGGACAAGGCGCTCGGGTACGTCGCTCCTCCCTCCCCACCTCTACTGTACTGTACTGTACACTCAGCAAGGGGTACCTGGAGCGGGCCGGGGCCGCGCCCGCGCCGCGCTCGCAGCTCGCGCACCTGCTCGCCGCGCGACACTACTCCATCGAGGACAAGGCGCTCGGGTACGTCGCTCCTCCCTCCCCACCTCTACTGTACTGTACTGTACTGTACTGCACTGTTCATTGCTAGCTTCTGACGTGTACGATTGTCCATTTTAGGATCCATGTCAGCTAGTTGCATCGCCTCGTCCTGCACGCTTCTTATAGATTGTACGGACGGTGTCGGTGTTCCTCTTCTATATTGTGTGACTTCTTGCCTCATTGCGGTGGCGGTTGACGGCCCGGCGAATTGTTCGGCGCCGGCCGTCCAATTTTCAACCTGATATCCGCAGCGTGTGGAGGGTACGGTGTCACCGGGGCTCCGATGTTCCTGGGGGCCCAACCTATTCATTGACGGTGACTGTGGTGATTTTTCAGTTAGCACTGCCGCTTGTTCATCACGTTCCGCTTGGCCTCTTGTGACTACCATTTTATCTCCGTAGGTCGCTGTCAGCAGATCCGGCGCTCGAAGGTCCAACACTGTTGGCGACAGCTCCTCAGGGAGAGCAGTGGACTGTCTCGATGGTGGGGTTTGAAAGAAACGGTTGTCTCTTGAAGCCTGTTTATTCTCTCCACAGAAGTTTCACAATTGAGTTATAACCGTATTCGATGTTACATTCAAGTTTCAGCCGCTGTAGCTCAGACTGTATGGCGTCTATAGGAAACTACCGCGACTGACTTTACAATAATAACGGACTATAACTGCCGTCCGTACTGTGTTCGATTATGACAGCCGTCGGCATATAACAATCAGACTATGACTGTCTGAGTCCCTCTATTATAACAGTATTATGACTCCATTATAACTATATTACGACTAACTCGATACAAAAATTCCTCGCCTTATATATGGGAGGTATAGACTGTAGTGGGGACTACAGTCCTTACAAAATTCTTACTGGCAATAAACCAAACCTTATTTCTATCAGACAATGCACAACGTTATACAACTTCATAACAATATCTTTGCACATTGCCGAAATTCCCTTACTTCTTTATTCTCACAAACTAACAGTTACTCATAAAGAATGCATTGCATTTTACAACTCTACCCAAGAATATTTAACATTGGTGCAATAACCAATTTCCTTGTCTAATTACAATGCACTGTAAACACGGATTGGACAATATTCATAAAGACATGAATTACCGTGTTCCGTCCGTTAGTCTACAATAAGAATATGTTTACAATAAGAAACCCTACGGTCATCATAAACCCGATGGCTAGAAAATAGTAACGGTGTTATCTTATCACAAAAGGCCAACAAATATTCATTGTGTTTATAAACAATGAATGCCAAATGAACGCTGGTACCCAAACAGATGTTCAACCGTTATCGTAGTTTTAAACAGTGAATCGATGTCTTATTCTAAAACAGCACTTTTAAAAACTAATATTATTTCTAAGTTATTGTCCAATTTCAACACACAACTTATTGTCTACCTAATCTACACAAATATTATAGGTGCGTCGCGACGCCGCTTATATGTGTCGCCTGTCGTCAATAATCGTAGTATAAAAAAATCAAGTCTATTTAGATATCAGTTTACTAATATTTTTAAAGTACTTTTTAATAATCGATGATTTGGAATTAGGGGTGAAGATGACAAATACGGGCGACGCGAACGTGGCGGCCACTCGGGACCGCTGCAGGACTTCCGCGAGAAGTCCAACTTTCGACCGAACATCAAGCTGGAGTACGTCGACGACGAGGGCCGTCCTCTGTGCCCCAAGGAGGCCTTCCGCTACCTCTCCCACAAGTTCCACGGGAAGGGTCCCGGCAAAAACAAACAGGAGAAACGTATTAAGAAAGCCGTTCAGGAAGGGGTTAGTATACATATTTTTTTGTATTTTTACATTCTCGTCTATCCACTTGAGTAGTTAAATTACCCACTGTTGTTTGATTATGCGACGATCGTTGCGGATTTGCATTTCACATAATTGTTTCTGAACTTAATTGTTTTTGTAAGACTACCAAGTGTTGTTTTTTATATTTAATATGAATTAAGATAAACAATGTTATATTTTGTTTGTCAGTTTAGTACTGTGGTATACTATTATATTGCGTTGAACTTTGAGATAGCGCGATTTAAAGGGCGACTTGTATTTAAAAGGTCATACCTTAATAATTAAAAGGATGACGTAAGTTTTTTTTATTACATTTTAAAACATTGTCTTATTTGGACAGCTAATGAAAAAGATGAGTTCTACGGACACGCCGCTGGGCACGCTGCAGATGTTGCAAGACAAGCAGCGCGAGACGCAGTCGCCCTACATCGTCCTCAGCGGCGCCAAGCGAGACCCCAACAATTGAATACCAAACAGTTCGTCCGTTCATATATGCTTTGGAATATTTGTATATTTTCGAGTAGTTTGGATTGAAATAAAATATTAAATGACCTACGACAAATGTGTTTTTATTTTTATTCCATTACTCGCTACTTTATTGGCAATCAGGATATTGTAGTAGTGTGGACACCGTCCATGTTTAAAACACGACTGCTGAATAATTACACCCTAAAAATATGAAAACAAATATTACGAAAATGAAGAATTTACATAATTCTATGTATATGACATATATACATATACATATAATAAGGTTATTAATAAATGATTATATTCACAAGATAGAGTTAGTCATAGGGGACTCCTAACAAAATTATTAGTAACACAAGCACTCAGAAGCTTTAAGGATCTTAAATCTAGATGGCGCCATCTGACCATATCATTAAATGGTAAAAATATGTACTTCGTATAACACTAGTATCTACGGATCGAAATGGCTGGTTTCATAAAGTTTTTGTTATACCTAATCTATGACAATTCACTCATACCGGCCATAAGCTTAACTCTCAAACAACTGTCAATTTACTAGAGTACTACAGTTGTACAAGAGACCACGGATCCAGGATTTTTTGCTATTTTAAATCTCAACCAACGTGCACAATGACCGATCTGTATTTATCTGAGCCGCGGTTAAGCACGTTGTGTCCATCGCCGGCCGACGTGGCACGTTTCGTGCCCTTCGCCTGCAACCAGCTGCAGGCACCTTTCATGGTCAAGGTTCTTGTGAAGACTCAAGGTACGGCCATTACAAATAAGTGGCATATAATTGCTTGATGCTAATGCTAGCATATCTGTATTATGACTTATAGAATACAGATAATAAACATCAACAATCGACAACGATGTTCATGTTCGAGATTGTAGTGTCTTTTACAACATAGTCTTGAGTATAAATTTTAATTACACAAAGCTGTTCCTTCCAAAGCGTTATAGTATATATTTTATTAAGAATACTGAGAACGAGCCAATAATTTATGTTTATCAAAGTCTTAATAATATTTTTATTAGTGAATACATTTCTCATGTCCAACAGACGAATATGTGAGCAAAACAGAAGAGAAAAACAGGAAAATGAACAAATTCAAGCCAGCCATCCAGCATAATACTTCCAACGAGTCTCAAAGCAAGGTTTCAGTGCCTACTCCACCACTCAACGTTTACGCTGACCGGCACGTGATCCTCATCATAGCTATGACCGACGTGGTCGGTCACCTAGTTGAACTCATCTTTTGTCGCTGTCCGGATATTCCGCGGCTTCTCATCAAGATTATAGGGATGTGCGTTCCCTTTCATCCCTACTTGAACAAGCTAACACTGCGATGGGGGCCACTCACCGGCCCCACTCTCTATGAAGTAGCGAAGCTAATGCCTCTGTCAAACATTACCGAACTGAACCTCGACGACTCGCCTGTCGCTGAATGTAATTATTATATGTTGCTAGTGGAAGAAACACGGTTACGGTACCTGTCACTGGGGAGGTGCAACATAGACGATAACAACTGTGTACTTATTGCCTCAAAACTGATCCACCCACTACCTGCCGCGAGGACCCTCGTGATACTCTCGCTTGCTTCTAACTTTATATCTGACGTCGGTGCTTGTGCACTAGGTGAAGCTTTGAGAAGTAATCGCTCCCTGCAATATCTCAATCTTTCCGGTAATCAGATCGGCCACACTGGCGCTGCGAGTATACTTAGTAGCCTTATGGAGTTCCCATTAACATGTGATGAACTGGTAACGAAAAGGCAGAGACTTATGAAGTATTTCAAAACAAAACAGGAGGTATATGCAAAGTGCTATAAAGAGCTAATGACGACCCTGGAACGATCGCACGACGAATACAGCCGCAGTGGAAAACGGAAAACGATAGTGGCGACGCGCGGGAAGAAATCGAGTATAACGAGTGCATTCACTACGACTGGCATAAGCACATTCGATCCCATCGCGCTAAGGGCTGAGCTGATGTCTGCCGAGCTGGTCGGTAACTATACGGACCCGTTCACAACCGAGGAGACAGTTTGCCACGATAATCATGTTCACTGCGTGGGCAACACGACGCTGTGCTATTTAAACTTGGAATACAACCAGCTGAGTTATTTGAGCACAGTTAAACTACTGGAGGTGGTGAAGTACCAGAGCCAGCTGGCACAGAAGGCAGCTGCGGGGTTGTTGCGTGTGCAACTGGCCGGCAATCCACTGCCTATTGGCTGCTACGAGCTGGACACTGTGCAAGACCTGCTCGACAAGGCCGTACTCTGCAGGATCAGTAAGCAGCAGAAGCGGTCCGAGCGATCCGTGCGTTCCGTGAAGTCTAAATGATTAGTCTCTGAATGTTTCTACAACGCTTAAGTAATTTTTATTAGTATCTATGCACGAATTCATTGTACTTGGGTTCTAAAACATTTGTTAATTTATTACAAATTATTATTTATTACCATTTTGCTTCAAATATAGTATATTTAGTAGATATATTCGTTAGATAGGTAAAATAAGTTACACTACGTTACAAGATACGTTCAATAAAACATTGTATGTTAAAGAGAAATATATTAAAATAAACTTTATTATAATAATATTGTTTGATAATTTACTATTAAATAATACAATCATGATCATATAAATTACAATAATACTAAATTTATCCAAATTAGTGGAACGACACAGGTAATGTTCTGGTAGTAGGTCACTGCAATAGCGTAGTGGAACGACCACTTTTATCTGTAAGATTAAATAAATTATAGTAAACTCACACGGATTAAAAATTTGATAGAAATACTTAGGGTGGTTCTGCTTTTAGAATTGAGACGTAGTTATTGTATTAAACCGGAAAAGTGAGCAAATTGTGTTTCATACCGAGGGCTTCACACGAATAGTGATATAGGTTAAATAGGTTCTTAGTTTATTTATTTTTTGTCGTTTGTAGTTATAGTTTTCTTTTCAAACTCTAATGCTGTTGGCCCCAATTGGCCCTTTCAGTTTTATCGAACGACAGGGAGCGAGTGCAATTGGCACTCTACACCCGCGGAAGGACTTACGGTACGATTGAAGGCCGACTGATTGATTGATACGACTTTAGTCTGAGGGCACCGCTCTCAGCTTAGGTCGTCGTGATGTCGTGATAACTGGCTTAAAGCGACTTATGTGTAAAGCACTTAATTAGGTACCAACAGTCGGCTGGCTATTCGTTAGCCCGTGTAGGTGGTCCCGCGGTGTCGAAGTGCGTCTTTTTAGCGGGTAGCTGCCGGAGGCGCGTGTGGCGCACCAGCTCGGGCGTGGGCGGCCGCCGCACCGGCTGCGTCGACGCCATGCGCAAGTGTGCGTACAGCGGGACCTGCGGGCCGGGGACGTCACACCTCAGGAACAATAGGTTATGTCACACGCCAAATTGTGACAATAAATAGGCGTGGTTCTAAATTTTATGACGTAGGTAATTTGTTTATTTCATTCAGACTACATGGCCCATATTATAAATATCTTATAGACTAACATAAGAAATAATAGATAATGTAAATAGAATTGTCTCTATGGTCACAGCACTAACGCCGGCAATCTACCATAGAAATGGTAATGAATAAATATAATTTATTTTATTTATTTTTGTAATACATATATTTAATAAGATTGCTATATAATATTACGAGTATATATGTATAATATAAATAAAATTTATATACTCCCCTCTACTTACTGTGGGACGCCACACAAATGTGACCAGATATAACAAGGACGAATAAGCAACAAATTGCCTATAACTATTTATAGGCAATAAGATTAGTTTGGTTACAAGTAACCTATTTAGATGGTACATCTTTTAAAAGGTCTCTTTCTTAACAATTTCCTTAGGATACGAAGGGAAATCAACAAAGTGTGACATTGTATAACATATCCTTGCTGAAGTCACAAACTTCGTGTAAAAATCATGAAATCTAGGAAAACTCCCAGTCCAATAACTATTAAAATATGATCTACTGTGTCGTGGGTGGTGTATAGAAGGTAAAAATTAATGTGACGTAATTTGTGAATACAAATTAAAACCACTAACGGTCTGCAGCGAGTCGTCGAGCATGATTTTGTCGTGGCGGTCGGGACGTGCGGGAAGTGCGAAGTACCGCCCTAGCATAGGGTCGGGCGCGGGTGCGCCGTAAGTCTTATTCCGTAGTTCGAGATCGGTAATGTCTCGTAGCTTGTCCACCTCTACTTGGCCCGGCACGTACCGAGACACCCAACCTGATCGCCACACCTGTCAAGTTTATATTACAATGTTATCTTATTTGAAGGTGATTTAGCATTTTATTAATTGCTCGTAAGATACAAACATATATGTTTTTATAGAAATCACACGTATAGAATTAATTTAATTAGTATATCCAAGATATGATTAGTTTAGGACTTGATCGCAATAATTATTATTGTACACAGACTAAAGTTTAACGAATTGTGTTCATATAAAAATCTATTGACTGTTACAGTTAACATTGGACAGAGACGTATAAAATAAATAACACATTTAGTTCACATATTTGAGAGGTGCTACACCTTACTCAATACACAGCTGACATTCATTAACCTCTAATCTATCTAGAAGTTTTCGAAAGAAGTAATCTAGGAAATTTGGCTTCGGGGTCTAAAAACATAGCAGGTTTAACAAACCTTGAACGTGGTGAAACTCGCGACCTTCTTGACATCTGGCGGAAACCTGGTGGTTTCCAGCGTCCACGGCACGAAGCTTCCCATCGTCTGCAAGTACTCACCAGACAGCCGCCACACACGCACGCTGTAATCTGAACTACCACTGCACCGGAAGCAAAATATACAATTCAACGTTATTTAAAAAAATTACCCTTTTTATCGGATTAAGTCAGCGCGATAGGTACTTCTTGCACATTGTTTGAAGAGGGTTTCTAATCCTGGTTTGGTTTCCGAATAAGGTTCTAATAAGACCACAAATATTCAGTGCGGAAACCTGACTACTACTGGCTACTGAATGGGTTATGATCTTCTCTATTGGTGCTCATATGCCCACCGTTATTGAATCTACACCCTTATTGTGACACGCGTTTCGCCTCTAAATGAGACACCATCAGGCTCCTCATAAAGATCTGACCAGCTTGCGAAGCAAAATAAGCAAGTAGCGAAACAAATATAAATTCCTTAAGTACTAAGGAACTCATTACACTTTGCTTTGCAGCTATAACAAATATATCTACTTTCATTTTTAAGTTGATGTTTCGGATTTTGTATGTACAATTTATTTTGATTTAGATGAGTAAATAAAATAAAAATGTTTACACACCTAAGTACGAGCTTCAAATGCTCAATGTAGGCCATGGTGGTGATGCAGCGCAGGTGAGCCCGGTAGCTGTTCAGGAGCATCGGCAGTGGCTGGTCGCGCACGGAGCGCTTCGCACGGCCTTCGATGCGGTCCCGCCACAAAAAAGGGAATTGGAGCCGCAATTCTGACATGTTCACGTGTACCTACCATAGTTATGTGATAATTAGTAACCCGCCCATCAAGTGGTGTTTCTTTTATACTATAATACTATGGTGGCAAATAAGCATACGGCCCATCTGATGGTAAATGGTTACAGTAGCCTATGGACGCCTGAAGCACCAGAGGTGTCACGTGCGCGTTGCCGACCCTTAAGTAACCTTAATATACCCTTTTTGAAAAATCCCATGCTGTAGTCTCGTGAGAAAACCTCGGCAGGAAGTTTATTCCACGTTTATTCCACAATCTAAGTGTACGCGGGAGGAAGCTCCTCTGAAACCGCACTGTCCGAGACCACTTGGGTTCCAGCGTGTGGAAATGAATTACCTGTCGATGGCGAGAGGTGCGATGGAAAAAGAGAGATTGGGATCATCGACAATTCTCATAGCATGTCTCTGAACCGAGTCAAAAGGATCGAGCTGGTATCCACTTGTTCTTGCCCAAATATGAGAGCAGTACTCCATGTGCGGCAGAACTTGGTTCAGATCCAGTTATGACCGTTATTGTATCTACACCCATATTGTGACAAGTATTTCGCTTCTAAATAGGAAATAAATAGAGTTTGAATAATTTGGAAGCCTAGGGTTAACAGTCAATTCTATTTCAAGTGAAATCAAAAATCATTTATTCATGCAAGATAATTTTAGCCGCTTATGAACGTCAGGTTTTTTTTTCTACGGCCCATATATTGTGTCATAATGTCAACCACTCTTACATATAATACTTACTTGTTCCTGCATGAGATAGTTCGTCATCAGCCACACTTTAATGTACCCAACGGTGGTGCCAGTGAACAGGAACCGGTTGTTGGTATCGGTGGCGAAAGCGGACACGTAATCGCCGACAGTATGCACCCCCTGAAATGCACCCTGCAACCCTCCCGCAGGGTGGTCCGACCAGCCCTGCACCTGGCCGTTCTCTAGGGCCAGCATCAATGACGCTGTGAGAATAAAATGCAAATATAGAATTAAGATCAAATAGAAACAGTGAGGGGGAGGGGTAACTATATATTATGTTACAGTGTTATGATATTGTGTGATGTTAATATAGTATAGTATCAGTAAATACACATTTGCCAGTTCAGAGAGCTGCTATAGATAGTTGGGAAGCAGTGCGAGAGTATTACCGACCGTCTTGCATGCTGAAGGGGCGCGTCTCCAGAAAGATCATGGCGTGCACGGCCAGCTGTCGCATGGCTTGCGCCCGCGTCGGTAGCGCTACGCCCGTCGACACTCGCCGCGCCCGAGCTTTGCGCATCGCCTCACCCGCCTCCGGTAGCGACAGCCGTGCGCTCGTACTTTGCATGCTAATAAAAAAAAAGAAAAAAATCACAAATATGGCACTAGTTCTTAAATTATGTGGTGTGTAATATTGTGGCAGAGAGGGAAACTCCAAGTAGGACTTTTGACCCGGGTGCGGGTTTAAGGAACCCCTTTTGCCGACGTAGGTTAACACACGCTTTCACAGCTCGTGTTTCTCTCCCTGCCCAGCCAAGTCTTATAAGAGCCTGCTAGTGCAGCTTTAGATACACGTTTTAGTATACCAACTACAGTTCTAGATAGGGCCCGATCTTTTAGAATATTATAGAGAGATATCGCTGGTATACTATAACTGTCTTTTCTTACTTTTTCTTCGTGTACAACAGTAATGACACCGTACCTGAGCCGAGGGGCAGAAGTGCGGTGGGCGGTGGTAGCTGTAGGAGAAGCAGCGCGTGTTGCATCTCGCTTCTTGTAGTGCATCTTGATGCGAAGCATCGGATCCGTACATGAGAAACGTCTAGAAACATAAGGTGAGATGGAATCTACCTAGGGAGTTTAGAATAATTTATTTATATAACTATAATACACTTAATACAAAGGTAAAAGTACATATGGCGGCCAGAATAAGTAGTGGCATTTTCTACCAGTCTATCATGCTGCTGGTGCTGAGAATGTTTATTGCTGGAATATATGGAGACTTCATTAAATCTTGTTTGTGTCTTTGGAGACCAATGTAGATATGATAAATAAACCTTTGTTCAAAATCTACCTGTACCATCGTAAGCACAGATTATTATATTAGAGTCCGTTAGTTTCTGTTCCCGCGCTTTTACTTCCATGACGCGTGCGCGCATTTGTGTTGTGAATTAAAATAAATTAGAACAGTGTTAAACCTACTGTGAAACTGGAAAGCTAGCGAAGATATCTTCGAGACCCTGAAGCCCAAGAAATCCGCAGAACCATACAGGTACGTGACAGACGTTTCCACACATATTTTTCCCTATATATATACATAGTAAATTCCCTAACATTTTGGTAGCAGAGAGTATTTTCCCTAATAACCTTGATTACCAAACATTAACAAATTAATATTATGCACAAGAATAAGCAAAAATGAAAAAGGATATGAAGTTGGTAACAAGGTCTGCTTCAGCAGCAAGTCGCAGGTAGCATCTAGTATTTAAGTAAAATTCTGGTACCTATATAAACAATTTTTGAACTGAATCACCTGTATGGCTGACCCGTCTCCAGTTTCCACAGCAGGAGTTCCGAATTGTAAGAGGCAGTGGCGAGCGAGAGCGGCCAGCGCGCGGCAGCCGCCAGCACGTCGTCACTGTGTCTCGTCTCCCAGCTCTTGCCGGTGCTGGCGGTACCGGTGTCCTCGAACTCTGTCACGTGACGGTTCCACCCCACGGCCAAGATCCTTACCACGATATCAATCAAATCAATTTTAGACCGGACATCCTTATGATGTCACCACTCATACTTCGCATTGTGAAGGTCTAAGGTGACTTATCTCACCCTTCACCCAAAAAACATCATAAAAAACAAATTGCTTAGCAGCTGAATACGTGGGGCAGAGGTGGAGACATATGGTAATATTAGTTACTAGCTGTACTCGCGCTGCTCGGGTAATTTTCGTAAAAAGAAAATTTAGATTAGATAAGAGAATTAAAAACACAGTATCCTAGATTAACACTAACGTTACGTGTTCAGGGATATTATTATTCGTATTCCTCCAGCAGCTCTTTTATGAGTAACGTCATTCTATTTCTTCTTCTATTAAAGAACTGCGCGAGGAGAGTGAAATTGGAGTTTGCATACCTCCCTTCCACCCAGAAAACGCTTGTAACTTCACACATGTGCTCTATTGCCATATTTCGTAGACATACGCCGGTGTTGAAATTCCATACCTGTATAGAATAGAATATAAAATTCTCTATTCAAATAAATTTAAATTTAAGCAGTTTTGAATAGTCATACTTGATTTTTAAGCTAACGCTGTCTCAGCTGTCTCATCACAAGAAGAACGAGTAAGAATCTTATATGTTACTCTGTATATTAAAGTATTTATGATATAAATATAGTAAATATTATATTCGTAGTCGTCGACTAGTCTGAATTACGGCCAAGAAGTTGTGAGATCAAAATTGCCTAACACCAAAAAAAAACATATTTTTGTGCACAAATTTATATTTCTGACTGACTCTCAGATGACGGAAACACCGATATCAAACAAAAACTATGTAATATTATGTTATCTGTGCTAAAACTTAACCCGTGACACGGCAGTATGCTCAGTCCCTGGATTCAAAATATATAGAATGAGTTACTAGTTGTCAACTTTAATAAATTAAAAAAATCTAAAAGTCTATGGAAATGAATCTTAGCTTTTTTAAATAATTGGTAAAACAGATATAGTGGAGTTTTATTTATTCAGTACTTTGAGGGTTCCGTTACGAGCGCCGGTGACCAGCAGTTGCCAGCCAGGATCAAAGCAGGCCGCAGTAATCTCAACCGGGATGAGTTCACCGTGCAGCAGCCGCGTGTGAGCGTCGCGTACCATCACGTTGCGTTTACCTTTATGACAATACATTATGACAAGTATGTGTAGTAACACATAAAATTATATCCTTGGACAATTTACACACATTTTAACTACAATTTGCTTTTTGGTATGTTTGAGTTTAAGGGGTTTTAATATATTATATTAAAACTCATGTCAACGAGCAATGCTATGGGGCTCGAGGTGGGGCGAGTAGCACCGCACCGGCCGCCCGACACTTCTGATTTCGCCAAGAATTTCATTTAGAAGTAAAAAAAAGCTTTTTAGTTACTCCTAAAAATAAGAAATTCTGACTCTTACCACCATGTGGAATATTTTTAATTTCAAAGTTTTTCTCTGCCACATTACCCTGTCCGAGACAAGGTAAAGTGCCAGATGAATGAACGAAATTGAAGATACTATGTAACTTGGGGTATTATTTTTATTTTTTTATATGTATTTTCTTTCTTCATGATAATAACCTGTAACTGGATCCCAATTGATAATAATGCTGTCCATTCCGCACGTGATGACCACTTTGAATAAGGGATTGTAAAGTATCTTAGCAACAGCACGGGAATGTGTGAACCCGTCAGTGTGCTGAGGGTTTAACTGCTCATCTAGCACGAGTACCGCAATCTTGACTGCTGCGAGGATCAGCTCACGGGTTGCTTTGTTGTAAACAGCAGATATCGGGGTGCGTTCGCCGATTTGCGAGGGGATATCTATATATGACTAATTAATACATTGTTAGTTATATATATAATTAGTTGTATGCATAATATAATGATATATTAATAATATTATAATAATTACCCAGGACAATTCACACAGCCATCTCATCTAGTCCCAAGCTAAGCAGAACTTCTGTTATAGGTACCTACTAGACAACTGATAGAAAAACTTAAATAATATTATTTTTGTAGTTATATATTATTATACATAATATATGAACATAGAAAACACCGAAACATATGCAAACAAACGTCCTCATGAATACAAATGTTTGTATAGTGCGAGGAATCGAACCTGCGACCGTTGGATGAAAGGCAGTGTGCTAAATCGCTACACCACCAAGAGCGTCAAACTGGGTATGTAACAAACAACCTTAGCCTATTTATTTGGGCATTATATAATTTGAATATAATATTAGGATCGAAAACGACCAAAATTAATTTTTAGTTAAGTGAGAGTAAAAAATAGGTGCTTCTGAAATAGAAAATAGGTGAATTTAATTATTTTAATTAATTACCTATAGTCAAAGTGGATAATAACAATTATACCCTGTAACTGTTTGTCATTTCCAATGAAAGGATTACAGTATATAATTTTGTGTACAGTAGACAATTCTTTTGTATGATGCAATTATAGAAAAATATAAGATTTAAAACCATGGAAAAGAATCTTGAATTACTCTCTTGATGATATTCTCTCGCTCTTCTAGTGCGACGACATGGTCCCAACCCCTTTTTCTCCTCTCTTCCTATACCATTGCCACTCCCTGTCAACCTTCCGCCTCGCCCCGCGTTAACCATTTTTCATTTAGTTTCCAGTGTAAAAAGAAGTAAATAAAATTGATTTTACCTGCACGCAAAGTTGTCCCTGCACATCCCAGACTTTAATAACCCGGTCGCGCGAGAGGGAGTAGATGGTCTGACCGGCGTTCTGGAGTATGAGCGCCGTGATAGCAGCGTGGTGGCCGGCCAGAGCGACGGCCGGGCGCGTCGTCACGAACGGGTTCCATACACGGACCACACAGTCGGGCCCTCCCGTCACGAGCACGTGAGTTTCCTCGTCGAACGCAAAGCACTGGATACCCTGAATGTGGGCACATATATTTGCATATTTGCAGCCCCGAAATATTATTTTTTTCATGGCGGAGGGAAAACTAAAAAACTAAAAAAGTATCTTTATCTCACCTATTTCAAATACCAAGCAGTTTATTTTGTAACATATGTTTCGGTGTAGAAGGAAATATGGAAGTGAAATTACCGAGTAAAGAGACATAACAGAGTCCTCAGGAATAGCAACGCATAACGAGAACCTCTGTTCTCCTCGTCACATTTTGCCGTGATGTCCGTGATACTGTTTATGTTTATAGGCGACTGTTGCCACTTACCGTCACATAGGCATTAGCTTGTTTGCCATTTAATTAACATAAAATGTTAGGTTCATCTTGTGATCAAGTACTCTCAGACAACGTACTTTCAGAGATTAGTGCAGTAAACCTTTTAGCTTTATGTAAGTATTATTAGCTATACCCGCACCAGCTTTCCACGTATACATGAACCTTTATGTAAACCTTCTTTTTGAATCACTCTATATTGCTAAAAACTGCATTAAAATCCGTTGCGTAGTTTAAAAGATCTAAACAAAAAGACAGCGGTAACGACTTTTTTATGTATATTAAAAAATAGATGGAGAACCAAATACAGATTGCACCTTGTCGACTCGGAACATATTATGTGTTTTGGATCCAGCCAGGTCGCACATCAGAAGAGAGTCAGCGCAGGTGGCGCAAGAGACCACGCAGTGCAGTGATGCGTAGAACGAGACCTGGCGCACCCACTCAGAGTGCACCCGCTGCAACTCCACCAGACGCATCTCGGGCAGCAGTTGTGGCTGATACACGACCATAGTGGTAATTTATTCTTGGTTGACGACCTCATAGCAATAGTAAGCATATTAATTAATACCTACTATTGCTACGAGGTACTATTGCTACCTTTTCATCACATTTAAGTCAGCGCCGGACTACGTTCAAATTCTATTAAGAAGGTGTTGTTTCCGCTTAAGGATCGAATTAAGTGTATTTGCGGAAGTTCACTTCATTACTTAATAGATTTATATTATTTTGATTAATCCGTAACCTATTAGTATTGCATATGTGAGACCACAAATAATCAGTGATCAAAAAATTTGTGATCAGACCGTTTGCATCAACACTGGGATTGAGACAAATGTTTCGCCTCTGAACGAGGCATCATCATGGATAGAGTATAGATATATTGGAACCCCAGAGTTGAAGAACTGAGACATTATATGGTGTAAATATGTTTGTATGACAGTGAGTTGGAAAATTATGTCTTTGAATATGACGTCACGATTATAAACGAATGTGGCATTCAGAAGTACTGGTTGACTATTCACCTTTAAGACACGGGTCATTTATAAATAAAGAAAAATGAAACTGTGTCTTCAGATACCAAAACGAACTAAAAATCTAATATGTATCCGCTGTGTCTAATGAGATTTGTAATTTCCATCAAATATTAACGTATAGCCATTTGTATGTATGATTGGAAGTTACCTTCCGCTGCAGATCAACATGTCGAAGCTGTATGAGTGCGCGGCCGGCCTGGTTGCGGAATGGACCCCGCTTCACAGGCGAGAACAGCAAGACACGCACGTTACCACCCACGTCGCCGCAAATAAGGATGCACTTCTCGTTAGCATCTTTGTGAAATTGGTAGTACATCGTACAAATCTATTGATAGACCATAACTTGAATGTCGTGGTAGAATTTAAAGCAATTAAAAGGTAACGTGAAATAGCTAGTGAGCTATAGTTGCACTTGGAGGATTACATGGACAAGAGCACAAATATCAGTATAGAGAAGAGTGGCAGTCGTAAGTCATTTAAATAGTCGTTAATAGTCGTTAGATCTTGTAAAGTTGCAAGTCAATGTTTTAATTTTTAGCAATATATTAAAAACATTGCACTCTTTAAATATTAGTAATAATTAAAGTTGAACTTATTATATACTTTTAGTCTACATAGCCAATTCCGGCCCGCATTACCGTGTACCATGCCAGGTTGACCTCCACGCGGTTCCCCCTGTAAACCATCGTGATAAAGTCCTGGTGAATTTTTCACAATGGCTAACTGACCTGACCTCATGCTCATCTTATCATCCTCCACAGGTGCCCCGCCAGCGTAAACCGTTAGCACAGGCGGGTGCACCATTTCATTATCATACGTAAAAAAATCATACTCATGACTATAAATGTACCGTGCGAGGAATTGATACTGCGACCATTCGAAAGTAAGGCGGTGTGCCAAAACGCTAGACCACCGAGGTTATCAGTACATGCACTTATTAATTAGTTGTTGGAGAAAGAAAGGTAAGGTAAATGTAGCTCACCATATATTCCCAACTAGTAATAATTATCTTGAGGGTAAATGTCTTAGCAGTACAATCGTAGAAGCGCAGGTCCCGTTCTGTGGAGCTTGTCACAATAATGTTCACGTCTGGCATGCACACCATATCCGTCACCCAGGTCGTTCGAACCTTCAGATGGGCTGCAATTATTGTTTTCAATAGCATAAATGTTACAAACACGACTGTAATTCCAAATGGAGAAATTAGAGGTCCTGTATAACTAAGGTCCACGGAGTTTGGCCCCTACATTAATTAAGTTTCTCTCTAAACGGGCCACTCATCAGCGTCCAAAACTTCCAATTTGTTATAGATTAAACTATCTGGGTTAGAGAGAAGAGAGACTGGATGTATTTGGGTCTATAATTACATAACCAAATTCAGTGTCTATTCAAACAAAATAAATAAACCTACATATATACTTTTTTATATTTATTTATATAACTCTAATGCACGTAATACAAAGGTGGAAGTAGGTACATAACGCGGAATTAACGAATTGTGACATTTTTTATAAGAATAAAGATATTTTGATTTGATTTAAATGACTAGTTACTCTCGGAATTATTTGGCTACAATCACCTAAATATTTTAGGTGATTATATCAACTTTCTTTACCTAGTTACTACATTGTTCATTCTTAAATACTCAACTTGTAGGTATTACAAAATACTCATACTCATAGGTATTTAAGACTAACGACTAGATGAATAGGCAGTTCTCAGCAACGACATATCCAGTGACCACCAGTTGATCATCCCATCACGGCTTGCAGTTATGTACGTGCCTTGCATTGGGTCGGTACTGCGATCCTGCATGAGGAACGATTATAAATAATTACGATCTTTATTGATTTGTCAGTAAGCGGCAATGTAGTATACGTAATGGAAAAGCGAAGGAAGTATTATGTCGTCTTTAGCGGACACTACTAACGTTATGCGAGCATTAAGCTGTGACCTGCGACCATCGGAAGTAAAGGGGTGTGCTAAACCTTTAGACTACCAAACCCGACAATTGTAATGTTAAGTGTCGAAATACCTGTACTAAGAATTTAATTATCAATAATATATTAGAGAATGGAGAAAGTATTTACAAAAAGTGCGTTTTTTTCAAGGTTATACCATACTTTAAACTTTAAACCAACAGCTCAGTAACTAAAAACAATAATAATTTCGGAGTGTACCTATGTGACGGTCTAAATCGGTCTTTACGCTGTACTTCTGTTGTGTAAGAAGCACTAATTAAGAAGACGACTTAGGCTCTGAAGCCGGCGCTACCGCAAGGGAAACCTCAAGTAGCGCCCGTGACTTGTGATACGGGTGATGGTTTAAAAGACCCTTTTAGAATGCATTGACACTCACCTTCACTACTTCCAAGCTCAATTAAGACCGGGATAAACCCATTCCTAATACAATTCATTTTAGTATACAAAACACAACCGGCACGCTCTGCGCTCGTCGTCTGAATGCCGCCGCTCACCCAACGAAAGAGGATTATTAATTTTTTTTTTTTGACTACTCTAATGCTGTTGGCTGCAGCTGTCCTTTACAGCGTCACCGCACGATAGGGGGCGAGTGCAGATGACACTCCAAACCCGCGGAAGGTCTTATGGAGCGGCTGAAGGCCAACTCCCGCCTGACAGATACGACTTTAGTCTGAGGGCACCGCTAGTGGTTCGAACCTCGGCTCAGGCAGTCGTAACATCGGTCCCCGTTTGAATTGGACGGGGGATCGATCGGAAGGGAGGATTATTCAACTACCGACCTCCGTATATATAGACGGAAGTCAGTGTAGTAGGTCCATCTATAAATACTAGATGGCGCTATTTACAATATTTGTAATATTCTTTATATTGGGTACTTCAGTAGTACTAAACATAAACTACCTTCTTTTAATATCTTTTTAAATTTTGGATTTTTTCTACAATATTGATGTGAACTCTAACAGTTGCGATCTCATACCTTGGACACATCAGGACAGAAGCAAATCCTGGATATAGGGTGCCTATGTTGAGAGCGCATCACGGTGGGAAGGCCCATGATTGGCGGCTGCAGCGATTCCCGTTGATTCTCTGGGTCATTAGCGAAGTAGCCCAGTAGGAGGTGAGATACCAGCTCGTCCCAATCGATCTCGCCATTTCGGTTTGTGTTTATCTTTTATGGCGAAATAATACCATTTTAATTACAATATTTGGAACAATAAACCCTCAATACAATAATTTTTAGGCAACCTACTATTTAACTATATAAAAGACTAGGCAAGACCAAATAAAGTGTGACAAACTTTGATCTCTCGAAAGTTTAACTGCCGAACATTTTATCTTTTTTTTTAAATAATCTATTTTGAAAAATACGCATAACACACGAATGCTTTCCGCATTCAAATGAACACCTTCATAAATAGAATTTGAAATTCCTCGTCATCATACTCCACATTGAGCAATGTGCGCAACAGATTCCGGAAATCGTTTGGCAAAAGCACATTTCTGTAAGCAGTTTGGAACGCGTCTTTTAATTTCACCATATCCGTCATAGTGCATCGTTCATGTAGCGGAGCGTTTCGCCACCGCAGCCGTGCCGCAGGCGCTGTACTACCTTCCGATTTCGATGAAAGAGTCATTAACGATTTCATATCGCAGTCGTTAGCCATTTTGCAATTATTAGTGCAATAGTCGCTGCAGATTGTGTGTGACTAAATCATCATTAATCATTGAATAAACTGACATTAAGCAAAATGTCACTACGGAACAATTTAGTTTAGAATGTCTTTTTTTATATTATAATATAGGTATAGTATTTATCGTCGTGGAGATCTTTGGGGGAGGCCTATGTCCAGCAGTGGACGTCTTCCGGGCTGCGATGATGATGATGATGATGATGATGATAGTATTTATAATCTAAATACATATTCTTATCCAATTTTATAAAATGTTACAATCCAACATTTTATAAAATTGGGAAGACTACGAAACAAGCTACACTGACAAATATGATGATAAAATAATATAATTTCGAACAAAGGACGTGCATCCAGGACAATGGATAAATTAAAAAATATCAGCAATAAATGACATTGACAGTTCACATGACATTTATATCGAACTAATCTCACGATGACACTGAGAGTAAATTGCAAAATATTTTATTTTCTTTTCAAAATTCTTTCTGTGATTTAAAATTATAAATTTCTTTATCTGTTTTAGAAAATAAAAAAGAATTTACATGACGACTATTAGGATTTTTGAAATGATTATTTAATAAATCTTTCTAAACCGAGTTTCAATATAAAAAATCCGTCATGTTTCTCACATTAAAATTACTTTCAAATAGACATCCTTCCTTCATAGCTCGTACTGTTTTTGTAAAAAACAATAACGTGGATGATGCCTGTAGATTACTAAACAGAATTCTTGGGAAAGAAGGCATTCTGGAGCAATTCAGACTGACAAGATATTATGAGAAACCCTTTCAGGTAACCTAAAAATATTTCAGACAAAATTGCTTCTGATATAATTATTTTTCTATTAGTAAATAATTATTATTAAATTAAATAAAATTAAAATTATCTATCTTCATGCCAGATCCCTCATGGGGTTAGATCCTAGAGAATTTAAATCATTGCTTTATTCATATTTATAACTCGCCTCATGCATGAAAACTGATCTCTTGATTTAATATATATGTGTTTTAAATATAGTACAAATTTACAGACACGACGGCGCATTAATCATGAGAAATGTAAAGCTATCTACAATGAAGACATGGAGCGTAAAATAAAGTTTGTGCTGAGGAAGAACCGACATGAGCCATTTCCAGGATGCCACTGAAGAACTCTTTAGATACCTAATAGCATTGTAGTTATCTTAATATAATTATAGTATCTTATTAAAAAATACTGAGTTTTTTTTTAAATGATTATACCTTACCAAATGGATAAAATGTATACATGTGTGTGATTAGGGTATGAAATTACAGGATAAGAGGTATGACATATTAGTTCTCTGGAAAGGCTCAAGTCATCATCAGCCCACTGCAGTCCACTGCTGGACAAAGGCCAAGTGTTATATTATAATGTGATGTCCTAGAGTTCAAACAAATCCTCGGAATGTGGAAGTCACTCTATGAAGCCTGTGAAGACACAAGGAGGCTTCTGGGATGCGCTTGGCTGGCTACATTAGTAGTCTCTGTGTACATACAACGGCCCAGATGAGAGGTTAAATGCTGAGAATAGAGTCCAAATTACATAACATTACATTATAATGTGCACTGTTCATGTATATAGAAGATGGTAATTGCTTATTATCAGATGAAGAAAAATAATCTTGCCATTCTAATTACATTAAAAAAGTTATGGGTGTTTTTTTATAACTTCATAGTATTATATGCCGCTTCTTCTGTGGCGACATCCTTTTGGCATATTTTTTTCTGTAGATGTGTTTCAATGTTTTTTTTTTAATTTTTATATTATATATATTTTTAGTTATGGGTGTTTCTACCTCTACTTCAATGGTTGCAGGTTCTATGCCTGCACAATATGAACATATATATTCATCAGTGTTACTGTTTATATGAGTTGTATGTGCTATTTCTTTTTTACTACTAGTATAGAAAATTTTTAGAAGCTGCTGTATATCTATTAGAAAGTAACCCTTTTCTTACCAAAATTAATGATAATTTCTAAGCCTAGTCTGCTACCAATGATGCAACTTCTATTACTACTATTGAAAATTTTAGAAGTTGCTGTATTTTCTACCACAGATAACATAATATTCCTTAATTGTACTAATATCAATATAGAAAGGTTTACTTTCTCTTACCAAAATTAGTGACTATTTCTATACCAACTGATATTACAAAGTAGACACAAATTTCAAAAACTTAATTTATTCATTTGCTTATTGCATAAAAAATAATACACATATTTAGCAAAATATTTACAAGTTTACAGTTACGAGTATTGTCTCAGCTTATAAAATAATCTGTGTGTAAATGTATAAGAAAGTTACAAGTAGGACTAGATGCATAGTTTGGCACTGAGGAAGCGGCGGCGACGGCGGCGGTGGGCTGGGCGGCCAGCAGTGTCGTCGTCACGTGTAGTTGTAGCACGCGTCGCGCCGCCGCACGTAGAAGTGGTAACGGTAACAGCGGTGGCATGTTTTGATGCCACACCGATAACTTAAGCCGCCTTGCGGCTTGCCTTTACAGTACTTTAGGCCACACGGGTACCAGTTCACGCATATCTATAATAGAATAAAAAATATAACATCATAAGATCTGACATTGAACGAACGTAGGCATACATAACAAAAATACTGGTGAAAACCGAGAAGAAATAATAATAATAAACATTTATACCCCATTTCATAATACAGAAAAAAGAACATATGAATGGAAAATATAAATGTTATAAACTAATATTGCGCCACAAGCTAAGTGGATGACAAAGTTTGGGCCGCAACATATCACTGCAGAGCTGATTTTCAGTACAGCCACTCAAAAAAAAAAAGAAATAACATTCATGATTTTTTTATTTTAAATATAAGAGTAAGTGTAGAAAAAAAAACACCCAGATTACTATTCTCAAAATTATGCTAAAGTCAGATGATTTTAAAAAAGAAAATTACCTCCAGATGACACATACACTCCTTGCTCATATCTGTCTCCGAGACGCAGGCAGCCACTGCTGGGTTACCGTCTGCAGAATCTGACGCTAGTGCATGTGCGGGAAACGGTGTCACTGCTGTCGTGTAGGAGGATTGGTCCATTCCTGGTAATTTAATGATTTTATAAACTTCAACTTATAATGTTATAGCAACAAAACTATTGAAGGTACTTGTCACTAAATAAAATGGCAGAAAGTTAACAATTATATTTTATTACTGACACATAAACACGATTCCTTTTCATTACTATCAGAACTCCATTTTTTTCTTTATTACTCTTGTAATCAATAGCATATATGAACAAATGTGGTAAAAATTACGTCGCGGGTAGAGTGTGATACTCTGTAGAATCATCAGCACTTCAGACGGTCCTGATTAGGCGTCATGTCAGATTCCATTAATCTACGCCATTTAAAATGACGTATGTCGTCGTGGACTATAAGATCATTGCCCAGCACATTGGGTTGCATTACTAGCCATGTCACAAGACACTGCTGTGTTTCGTTTTATTACATTTGCAGCTGTTTGTAGTGCGATAATAAAAAAAGGTGCATTTACAAGCTATTTTTTTCAGATGTTCAAAATTGATTTCAATTCAATTGTAGAGATTTCAACAGTAACTTGTGGTTTAATTTCTAAATTTTTGGATAGGGTACACACCAGGTCTAGGTGACCATCGGGCGAGATCGGCAGCTCGCAAGTACACGCGCTCACGAGCGGCAGCGCAGTGCGCGGCAGCTGCAGGTGAGAGAAGGCGAGTCGCCATGCCCGCCCATGCAGATGCTGTTGTCTGTCGCCAACCCTTATCTTCCTCTGCTACACGTACTGTTCCTGGATTTTTCTATGGGATAAAATTATTATATTATATTCTACCTTTGATGTTTCACACATATTTTAAAAACATAAACAAGATTGTTGAACTTTACTGAACAAATTGAAAAAAGCCACAGCTACAAAATTCCTCTGTGTCATGTGTCTCTCAAAACATGATGTTGATGAAATTACCAATCAAAATTGGTGGCACTAAGAAAGAAGCAGAGTGATTGTTGACAAATAGTAGTTTTTTTACAAAAACAATTACTCAATTTTACCAAATTAGTAGTAGATAGAGTAAATGGATTTTAAATAATTGTTTACATATGTTTCAATACTTAATAAATGGCTTGTATCTACAATAACTTTAGGAATGGAATAAAATATTTGATATGTTCAGCTATGAGCTGAAATTCATCCAAAACTATTCAGTAATTTTGAGTAAGAAAGATATACTTTCATAGTTATAAATATCAGTAGTTAAAATTAATTCTGATATAAAATCTACATCAGAAAAAAAAGCAAGAATTCAAAAACACTGCATTGCCATCCTTTATAAGTAGTACCTGTCTTAGTTTAGCCATAGCATCTGGTGCAATGAAGTCAGCCTGCGCTGCATGTGATAAAAAGCATAATGTCTGGAATCCAGACTGACCAAGCTCTTCCTCACCAGGAATCACAACCTTCATAGCCTCCACCTCCTGGTGTGAATACATAATATGATTAAATACATGGAAATATCCTACAGCGAATCAACTCAATCAAATCATAAAATCTTTATTTGTGTAGGTCTATTACAGACTCTTATGATATATCAAATCAACCATCAGTTCAGTGTGCTTTTAATCTAAAAAGATCTGACAAGAAACTCTTATTTTCTGCTAGTACAGTTACAAAAATACACATTTTAAATTTAATCAGAGAGAATGAAAGAAAAAAAGCATATGCTATGGATTTGTGTCAAAACATGGCCTCGCCACATTATAATTATAATTAGCATTCATTATCATCATCATTTCAGTCCAGAAGATGTCCACTGCTGAACAGCTTTTCCCAAAAATCTCCACAACGATTGGTCCTGCAGTGCTCACATCCACCGACTTTCAGTGATCATGACTAGATTGTCGGTCCACTCAGCTGGAGGCCTTCCCATACTGCGTCTTCCGGTCCGGGGTCGCCACTCGAGGACTTTTAAAGAGACAATTGAAGAGAAAGCATACATTGGTGAAGTCAACAAGCTGGGATACATAGACACCATCAAGCCTCTGGAACTCTAGTGTCACTGTATCTTCGGATACATTCGCCGTTATGTTCTCCTGCATAACGTCGCCACCCTACGATCATACAAATAAACACACCATTAAATTTATTTAGTTAGACATTTCAATATATATTCAGAGGTCTAGAATCTAGAGAGAAAATGAATAATAAATAAATTTATATGTAATAACTTACCTGATTTTTGACATTTATTATAAGTTGCAGATTTGTCGGTCTGGCCAATAAATGTAACAATATTATTATTTTTCTAATCAAATCCATCGCAGCAATTAAAATTCTTTTGCATTTGAATAACTGAGTTACTTGAATTATATCATTAATTTGTGTTTTCTTTCAGCACAATATACCGATTAATGAGAACGTAATTCCAAGGATACTCTATATTTATAAAAAGTTTTTTAGCATAAATATAAAAATAATATAAGACAACAAAAAAAATATTGTAACTATAAAATAATTAAAAAAACATGCACAGAGTAGAATTTAAAGTACAATGCCACAGATCAGACAGATTTAACTGCTTTGAAACTAAAATCATCTACAAGAGAAGTATAACACTTCCTATTTTAACAATATAAATGTAAAAATTAAAACAAACATAGTAATATATTGTAATAAAATAGACTATAATTGGTAAAACAATTTTATGTATTAAAATATAGATTTTCCAATAGTTTTGAAAATTCTACCGAACGTTCCGTTATACGTAGATTAAGTTTAATCAGAGAGGAAAGTAACTAAGAATATATAAGTATAGATTATTAAATAAAATTAGATTTCAATACTTACTTTATGTAGGGGAAACAAAATATTGCATATCTAAAAATTAAAGTAAATTGTTATAATTAAATCGTATTAGATATTTGACATAAGGTTAAAAATTTCCTTATTTTGATTTAAAGATTAAATAGAAAAATTCCTTAATTACCTATTAAGATTTTTTCTTTAATACTTTTTTTTTGGATGCACCTGCAAGTCAATGTACGGAGAACAATATTTTTTTGAGGTCATTACATTTTATCACGAATTTGGCCGATGCACAACCGAATGAATTACGAACGTCATCTGTAACCAGTGTTGCCCGTATTCCATATTTTAGCTTAGATTTAAGGTAAACTACTGTAGTTAAATAATTATTAGAGTAATTTTGGTTTACCATGTACTACTAAAGGCTCATATGAATAACAGTTATAAAATGTTAGATAGGTACAGTTGTTGTTGTTAGATAGGTATAGGTATAGTTGCCTGCAGCGAGGTGTCCAACATTGCACATATGTCACAACAAATAAACTACTTAGTGATTCTCTACAGCGCAAGGTTTCATCAATGGTAGGCTGTAAAACTTAATTTACGAGGATACTCAGCCATTTCAGTTTCCAAATAGCTTGCTCAAAATAAGCTGTGTTTTGGTTATAGAGTGCGGTGAGGCAGTGAACTTAAAGAATAGGAGACATGGCAGTACATATATATATATATATAAGTGAGAGTTATAGCCTCTTGTTGACTTCTATTTTAAATTTTTTGACCGAGTCACCGCGTAACTTTACATAAAATGTGCTTTTTGTGAATTATTGCGATGTATTTATACTTTCCATAAATTAAATAATACAAATATTATAAATTTAATGACGACGAAAATAGAAGACGAAAAAGTAAACAAATTTGTCAAGTAACTAGGGTAAATCATGACTAAGCATATGTGGTAAAATGTTGATGAACTTGGCAACACTGTTCGAAACGGAAAGAAAGAAGGGCGATGTTGTACCTACCTAGCGAAGAAAGACAGCTGTCGTTTCGTTTTCAGCTGATTTTTGTGTACGCTTCTCACTATCATCTCTTGACTGTCTACCGAAGTGTTTCGTAACTGCACAAGGCTTCCGGGTCGACCCATCGTGCAGGATAGAGAACGAGGACTGAAAAAGGACGATATCAGAGAAGCATCGGGTCATATCAACGAACAAAGGGAGATGGTCCATTGAGTACGGGTGGTGCGTAGCGGGCGGCCGTGACGTCACAAGGCCGCGACGTCGAGGCCGATGCGGCGGGTGCGCTCGTGATCTCGGCGCTCCGGGCAGCGCGGAGAGCGCGGGGCGAGCGGACAGCGCGAGCAGCGCGGCCAGCGGTCGGAGGCAGCCTGGCCTCCAGTGACTCGGGCGACGAGGGCGCCGGGCACCGGCCGCCGCGCAAGCGGACCCGCAGGCTGTCGCCGCCGGCCCGGCCCGCAGCCATGCACCAGCCGTGCGCCAACGGCGCACCGCCCCAGCTGCACCTCAACGGCGATGCCTCCGCGCGGAACGGCGACTTGCAACCGCCAGGCCTCCGCATGGGCCAGACCGACCAGGAGATCGTGCGGCTCATCGGCCAGCACCTCGTCTCCATTGGACTTGAGTTAGTACCACATATTTTTATCTAATTACAAGGTTACTAAGATTTGTGAGTGATATAAACATATATACTTATTAATGCATGAGAACATATTTGTTATTCCACTATTATCAATTTTGTTTTGGTTCAATGTAAACAATGACTGGGATAAAACAGATGATGCAGTGAGTAATCTGTCTGTAATTGATGGAAATAATAATTTTAACCTACAGTTTTTATTGATTATGTTCGGTAAAGGCAACACAGAGAGATAATCCAGTAAGATGCTATTAGCTAATTTGTTTGTTGGTATATGATTCTTACACAACTTTTAGTTTTAGTAGTAAATGAAATACAAATATATATATCTTGTCTCATGCATACCTACACATCAATTCTCAAACCTCTTGTATCTTCAAACAGACAAAATATAGTATGAATGTATCCTAAGTGTCAATTGTGACAAATTAATTCAAACATATAAGTGTGATAAAAAAAATTAACAGCTACATTTGTAAACATTCATATCTATATCCTATGTGGGCTTAATAAGGCTGCATATCAATAAACCAGCAGCCATCACAATTGCAAAATATCATACACCATCACCAGATATTGTTTCCTGTCCAGGAAAAGAATATTAGATAACCATGGTACTATCCTAATCTTTTATGTCTAATTGGAGTGTATGAGGAAATGACTTGGACCTGAACTCTAATGGGCTGAACACCGACATACCTTGTAAAGCATTATATGACAATCTATTTCTAAATTCATTACAATTGCTTACCACATAAGCATATTGTAGAATGCAAGTGTTAATTCTGTTATTAGTGTGAATTACTCTTGCTGTATTTATTAAATACAAATTTTAAATGGAGAATGCCATGTTAACTGTCTACATGTTGTGTAATTTATGTGATTTAGGGGCTAGAGTTGTTAATAATGGGCATGTACCCTGTCAGGTCGACCTCCATGTGGTCACCGAGGAAACCATTGAAATTATTTTTTCCCAATCTGCAAATTGAACTAACTTCATTCTGTCCTCTGGTACCCTGTCAGTGTCTACCATCAGTGCAGGTGCAGGTCACATCCCATATTCATAGTGGTATAACAATGAAGTAATGGAGCAGCAAAATACCACAGGCCTGTGGTTCCAGATGATCTGGTGCATGGGGATGTGAACACAGGAAGAAAACATCCTGAAAAGTTTTTGTATTTAAGAGAGGACCGCTTCTGTTGTTACCACAAGTCTTGAATGGTATAGTTACTCTATTGAGTATACAACATTTTCTTTTATTTTTCTTTGTCTCCTATCTGCAATCAGACCTGGAACCAGGAGCAGATGTTTTGAGTGTGGGAACTGATAATGGACTGTCCACCTGACAACGGGAGGTTCTGTTCCTTAGATTGAAATATAACATGTTCCAATAGTTAACTTAGGTGATTACAATATACAGTCTCGGTTAACAGCCCTGATGGTCTAGTGGTATAGCTCACCACTTAACTTCAGAGGAATGTGGGTTCAATTCCTTGCACGGTACAAATATTTGTATCCATGAGTATGATTGTTTATGTTGGTCTTGATGTTTTTTATATATTTAAAAAAAATATCTACTTAAGTATTTATATCAGTTATCCAGTACCCATAACACAAGTTCGGCTTACTTTAATACTAGAGGGTATTGTATAAAATGTATAGGTGTATTATTATATTATTATTATACAGTCATAATAATATAAAATCCAAAAACATGACAATAATTTTAGTTTCATTATGAAACTAAAATTATTGTCATATGTTTTTGGATTTTATATCTAAAAATTATCAGTTCCTTTGCAGTTTATGTGAGCACTGCCATATCATTTATGATATTGCTATAAAACTATTACAACATATTGCACTTTGTGCAAAGGTTTTGTACAATTATTCTGATCAGTATGCCCTTGGTTTTAGTGCTAACTGCTAAAAGATCAAACCAAACAACTATATTATGTATCTTAAGCAATTTTGATATTCATGTAGTATATAGTCATATTTAATTTGAAGTTTTGACATCATCAGTTAAGTTGATCTGTCATTTAGTGTAACTGTTTAGTCATTCCCTTTAAACACTATCTGAATTATTTTCTTAATACACAATTTTTTTTGTGTCGATTTTGATGAAATTTTTTATGTATACTCCATAGGTCTGAGAACAGGTTGTTATCTATATTTATGCCCTTGAGAGTCACCCTTGGCCCAACCCACAAGAAATTTTGTGTTTTTGAGATATATTTTTTATTGAACCTTATAATAATTTGACCTAATGAAACTATTCTACCCATATTCTATTTTCGTTCTACCGTTGGTTTCTACCTCCGATCAATCAACATCCAATTCAAATGGGAATTGAAATTACAACGTCCTATGGACGAGTCTAACCTTTAGCGGAGCCTTCAGACTAAAGTAGTCAGTCAGGTAGGAATTCGCCTTCAACTAATCCATAAGTCTTTCCGCGAATTTTGGAATGCCATCTGCACACGACCCCTATCGTTCGGTGAAGCTGAAGAGGCCAGCTGCTGCCAACAGCATTTGAATAGAACAACCGTGTGCTTAGCGGAACTTACTAACTGACATGCAGTTATCCAATTGAAAAAATAAATAACATAACATTATACATATATACAAATAGTAGGTAGGATTACACGATGTCAACCCGAGATCGGTTCTATAGATCGGATATCAAATCTAATCTACGCGTAATCAGTATACGATTTAAAAATTGTAACTACTGATGTTTTGTATATACTCACTGAAAACAAGCGACCGATCAACTTAGACTAAAAATATTTGTCACCGGTTCATTACCCGTGGCAAATTCATCCCTTCCCCCTGTTTTTTTTTTACAATAATTTCATTGACATTTTAACACATTTTTTACTTATATATGCAACTAAGTAGGTAACTTAAATAAATTAGAGACAACATTTTTAACTAAATGTCTAATAATAAACGTTGGAAGTTGGGATTCCCTGTCCGGGGTCACTGCCGGCTGGGGGTGCGCGGCATTTTGCCGACATGCCACCCTGTAATTACGCCACAGGCTTCGGTCCTACATTACACGCTATTAAATACGAGTAGCCTTAGGTAAAAAAATAGGCTAATAGCAACAAGGAAATACCGTTGATGCATCTAAGCGAGTCCATTACAGTTACATTGTAAATGACAATGCATTTACCTCGTTAGTGTTAAATGCATTGTCAGTTAAACGAATTATGACACACACGAAGTGTGTATGAACGAATGAATAAACTGGACAATTCATACAGCGTCCTCTAGTGCCAAGCCAAGCTGGGCTGTTATGGGTACCTATTAGGCAACGTTAGAAAGAGGTGATCATCTTTTTTTGTAAATACATAGGTATATACTATACATAGGAACCCAGATTGTTACAAACAATCATAGTAATGAAAGATGTTTGCTTGTGTGAGGAATTAAATCCGCGACCCATCCGGAAGTAACGTGGTATACTAGACCACAAAGGCCGACAAGTGCCAATACATTTAATTAAAATATGCATTACGGCGCAGTTACATAGAGACTGTGAAGCGAATACGCATCAAGTGTCCCTATAAATTGCATACAAGTATTTAATACGAAACTTCTGTGTAATTATGTAATCATAACAGCTATTTGATCATGTTAAAATTAATGAATATTGTTCTGGATTGCAGTTATAACAATAATATAAAGACAATTCACACAGCGCCATCTAGACCCAAGTTAAGCCAGCTAAGGCTTATGTTATGTGCACTAGATAACTGACATAAATACATGGATATATATTTTTTCCGTAAATACATACATATTATACATAGAAAACACCCAAGACCGATACAAACAATTATACTCCTGAATACAAATATTAGTGCCGCGCGAGGAATCGAATCCGCGACCATCGGAAGTAAGACGGTGTGCTAAACCGCTAGACCACCGAGGCCGTCGAGTTATGGTATTCTTACTGACCACTATGTAACAGGCGTGAAGCGCCTTTGTTTCGTTGCAAGACTTCTTTCATAAATGCATTTAGTCATCCAAAGAGTAAACGCTATATATCACAAAGACTGAGTTTCCATTCATTACTATATGACTAAATTACTGACGAAACAACGAAAATGAAGTCGTTTCCGCTGTTTGTTCACTTAAATCTAGAACTAGCTCTACCCGCGACTTCGTCCGCGTGGAATTAACTTTATTTTTCTAAAATAAAAGTAGCCTAAGTTGCTCCTTATTACATCAGCTGATAAAAGCCAGCCAATAAATTTCCCGTTAAAATCGGTCCAGCCATTTCTGAGATTAGCCGGAACAAACAGACAGACAGACAAAAATTGTAAAAAATGTTATTTTGATATATGTATCGTATTTATATTCATATGCATGTAGTAAAAAACGGTTATTTCAATATTACGATCAGACACTCCAATTTTATTTATATGTATAGATAGATTGAGTTGAAGTATTTATCACGGTTACAATTTCGTGACATCCTTATCAAGTCTATGGCAACAAAATGTCCTATAGACGTGATAAGAGGGCACACGCGGTATTGAGTGTTTTGGGTTTTTGACAAACACAAGGCTGCGGTCATTACACTATACTCATGACAACGCTCCGTTTGAAAGTTATAAATATATCGTTTGAAATTACAACGGAAAATATAGTTTTGAAATTACAATAGGAATCTGGAATTTGGAATCTGCAATTTGGAATCTGTTAAAAGTTACTAAGTAAATTTAAATAATTATAAATTTTTTAAAAATCTATATGATACACAGATCGGCTTTCTTAATATCTTACTTAACTATCTGTGCATATATTCTGTAATTATTATAGTTTTATACACTCTGAGCTTGAAGCTATTTTTTTGTTCTCGTACTTAGTAAACAACTCGCTATAACAGTACAGATTACATATTTATATTCTTTGCTAATTACTCCACTAAGTACAGCAGTAGGTTAGGATTATATTTACTAAGGCACTAGGTATCTTAAGTGTTAGGTAAAACCGCCCTACCTTAGTACTCTACCTACCAGAGTTATTAGCTACCTGGTATAACTACAATAAAGTAAATCAATGTGAAGGGACACATTGGCAAAGTGTTAAAGGTCAATGGAGAGGAGAATGATGGGGATCAGACTAAGTGACAAAATCACAAGTTGATATACTAGACAGAGAACAAAAGTAACAGATGTGCTCTCAAGAATAGACCATTTAAAATGGAGTTGGACAGGGCAATGTTAAGATGCAGAATAAATAAATGTAGCAAGCAAGTGACTCTTTGGTCTTAAAGACGGGAACAGTGTCGATAAAGAATACATGGGAAAGACTACATCAACCTGACTCCGCGACCGGGCTGGAATAGGGTTACAGAATACAGAGTTCAATGGAGACGATGTCTATTGCCAAAAGGCACGCCAAGTTGCGGAACATTTTGTAAACAACAAAGTGTACCCCTACTTTGGGAAGGCTATATTGTTATTATAATAGTAAATAGTGCATATTTATTAATAAGTATGATTTTAATATTCAATCTCGACCCTAAATCTACTGGTGTCGGATAATAGGACTGTATTTCATTCATGAATAGTATAATAATTGATTGGCAAAATAAAAGGATTCAGATACTCACAACTAATGGTTGAATCATACACACAAATGTGACAATAATAATTTCTATATAGGTAGTCCGAAAAACATCGAAAGTTGAACGCCTCGAAAATTACCGTTTCATTACATTTTTCTAAATTTAGAAACGCAGAACAAATGTCTTGTTTCATTAAGTAGTTATTTGTTGTTTGATGTGTAATTTTTACATAGTATTATATATAATTGCCTCGAGTAAGGAGATAGTTTGCTCATATGTGTCGCAGCGAATTAGAAATGCGAATTGCATCAAACTGGTATATATTACTTGGTCTGCAAATAAACATTTATTTTAATTAGATACTCAAATATAAACCACGCGCTTAGAAATGCTCACAGCGCTATTTTAAGGATTAGAACTGTATTGTGTTTCCATTTTATTATGCATACATCGAAACGATCCCTTATTGTAGCGGCGTTCGAAATTGCAAACATAGCCGAGGCTCGAACCTCTAGCGTTACCTGAGACATAATTCTTTCTGAAGATATGGAAACCAGTAAATGTCGGCTGTGGCTAAGAGCAATAGATTGGTACGAAAATATGATTTGTCTTTACTGATCTGTGTATTGTTATAGCAATTTTATGCTAGTACAAAAAATAGGCTGAGTTTTCAGTTTCGTGTAAATTATGCTACAACCTTATATCGCAAAGTAGTGGATGACGGTGTCTACTTGTTTAGTAGGTTCAATAAAAAATAAACAAAAGAATAAATCCTTTTGTGTGTAAGTGAAAAATCTACTTCATTAGATTGAATTATTACCATGCAGTTTATTTTAAAGTAAGTAGAATTGAAAAACCCGCCACAAAGAGACTTAGTCATGCAGTTGGTTTTATCTAAACTAAAGAAATCTAATCATGTAGCGTCTGTAGGAATATAACGCTATTAAATATAAAGTACCTTATACGTAGATAAATGATAGATAAAGTATTTATTTGTATCTATTTTTTTTTGTTTAATTTCAATGCACACAGTACATTTAGCATTACTTAATACCATGCGGCATTTTCTAGCAGCCAATTATAGATGGTGCAAAATATATGAAATGAGATGCAACTCCATACATAACAACAAAACAAATACCAACAGAAGTGTTTCTGGGTGACATAACTGTAATTATTTATTGGTGAAAATGATGCAGCAACACAATATTGTTACTGGTTCAGATTATTGTTGCGCCTTCGTTTACTTAATCATAGTGGTAAATTTCTGGAGATTTATTCAATAATAATATCTATTCAAAATTACATCCGTCTTCATACCATCCGATGATCGTTAGTTCGATTCCGAGTATGATTGTATCGGTCTGTGTATTATGTATTTATTTACAAAAAAAAAATGTCCATTTATATCAGTTGTCTAAAACCCGTAACACAAGTTCTGCTTTGCTTGGGACTAGATGGCGCTGTGGGCATTGTCGCGGGTTATATTTTTACTAGCTGTGCCCGCGACATCGTTCGCGTGATTATTCGCTGATGCTTCGCTTCTATTGGTCGTAGCATAATATTATATGGCTGAAAGCCTTCCTCGACAAATGGCCTATTCAACACAAAAAATATTTTTCAAATCGAACCAGTTGTTCCTGAGATTAGCGCGCCCAAATAAACAAACAAGCAAACAAAACTCTTCAGCTTTATAATGTATAATGTATTTAATAATAATAATAATAATAATAATCATTTATTCAGCATAAAAAAGCGTACAGATAAAAAAGAAAACTTAAAAACTAATAATTCGCTATGCTGAAAAGGCTTCCACTCAGCTGGTGCCGCAGCGTATCACTACAGCGCTGATTTTCAGTGGAGCCACTTGAAAAAAAAAAAGAAATAGCATTCGTGATAAATTCAAATCAAATATCTAAAATGAAGAATCAGTTAAATGGATGAATTATATGTGTGATAAACAGAAGAAAAATATATAAGGATAAAAAAGTGTTGATAGAAAGACTTTTGTGTAATGTAATATATGTAGCTTGATATATTTATTTATTTAATCAATATACATGTATATAAAACTACTGTATTTATCTGCCACGTTTAAAATTTTTGTACTTTGAGTAAATATTTTTTAAAATTATGTTTAAAAGACGAAACTGACTGAATAGTATTTTGAAGCGGGGGTGGTAAATTGTTCCAGCATTTCGTGGCAGTATATTTAAAACTTCCACGAAATGCTGCAGTTTTATATTGAGGATAGATCATGTAGGGATGTGACAATCGATGATTTCGCATAGAAAATGAAAATTTTTCAAATAAATATATTGGTTTCTTATACTTCACCACTCCAAAAAGCAATACTGCAAAATGTAGAGATCGTCTGTGTTCCATTTTTAGCCAGTTGCATTGATTTATATAGGGAGTAACATGAGCACGGGGGGGTATAGAAAAGCAGAAGCGTGCGCATGCATTCTGCACGCGCTGTATTATTTTTTTTGTACGATTTAATAGACAGCCTCCGTAGACTGTGTCCGCATAATTGAGTTTAGACAGAACTAATAAATCACATAGAGTGATACGCATTTTCTCACTTAGAAAATCACGTACTTTATAGAGTACTCCTAGTCTATAGTAACAGTTTCTTATGGTTTCATGGATATGACTCTCGAAGTGTAAAGAGCTATCCATAATGACACCAAGATTTCGAAGATGATCAACAAATATTAGAGGATTTTCTGAAATTGACAGTGTAGGATTTTGTGCCATGATCTGATTTATTTTATTTTTAGTACCAAGTACTAGTAATTTTGATTTTGTTGGATTTAAAGTAAGACCATTTGATACCGACCATTTCGCTATTATTGTTCAAATCATTATTTAACACTGCTATATCTGGATTAGGATTATAGGGATTTATAGATTTATACATTTGAAGATCATCTGCGAATAAATGATATTTACAAATTTTCATAGACTTAATTATGTCAGCTGTGAAGAGTATGAACAATATCGGCCCTAGAATAGATCCTTGCGGAATACCTTTTACAACTTGAGCAGATGATGATGTTAAAGTGGGAGAATTTGTAGTGGTCAATTGTACTTTTTGATAGCGATTACTTAGATAGCTAGAGAACCACTTTACTGTAATGTTATCGAACCCATAAAAAGTCAGTTTGGCTAATAGCAGTGATATATTAATGGTATCGAATGCACGAAAAAAATCTAATAGTACAAGAATAGTAACCTTGCCTAAATCTTGATTTGTTAAAATATCATTTACTACTTGTGTAAGTGCACTACATGTGCTGCGGCCCTTTCTAAATCCAGACTGTAGCTCAGGCAGTATGTGATTAGACTCTAAGTATTCCGTAATTTGAATACAGATTGTTTTTTCAACTATTTTGGACAAAAATGGTAATATATTAATGGGTCGTAAGTCTTTTAACTCTGTGGGATTTGTATATTTGATTTTTTTCTTGCAGACGCAGTGCATCTCTGCTGATGGAGGAGTCTGGTCTGCACTTGGAGCACCCGGCAGCGGCTACGTTCCGACAGCACGTCCTCGCCGGCGACTGGGTGAAGGCCGACCACGACTTGCGCGCGCTTCACGATCTGTTGCGCGACTCGCCGAACGTCGACCCCCACAATCTCGCCGTTAGTATACTATTATTGTATAGAACAATATCCGAATTCCTTTGTACACAAAAAAAGATAAATTCTTTGTTCTATCATATACACCTTTATCATATCATATACACATTAACTCCTTTCCCGTTCATATATAAAAAAATTAATACCATTTGTAAATTGGATAATTCGGATGTTATCAGAGTAAGCTCTTCTTTGTATAATAAATAATTATTATTGAAGCATATGTATATATTTTGTATAAATTCATTATTTGCTACTATTTTTATTATGCTACTTTCATAATATCAGTTCATTTTATAATGTGTTGTTGCCTTTATATGTAGTATTGTCGAATTTACAACAGTTAATCTGTTACTATTTGTGAAAACCTGTTAGTGGCTTAGTGTTTTTATATTGATTCAACTATGTGTACAGTTAGCCTTGGTTTTCATTTAATAAATAAATAAAACCTTTGTGCAGGAGATGAAGTTCGTGGTGCTAGAACAAAAGTACCTGGAACACCTGGAGGCGGGGCGCGTGCTGGACGCGCTGCACGTGCTGCGCAACGAGCTGACGCCGCTGCAGCACGACACGCCGCGCGTGCACCGGCTGTCCGCGCTCATGATGTGCGCCGACGCTGCTGAGCTGCACGCGCGCGCCTCCTGGCCTGGAGCTGGTCCGCCTTCGCGTGCAGCCGTACTCGCGCGCGTTCAGGTACCGTCTCCTTCCGGCTCTCGACGAGAGAGATGTAAAGTAATGTAATATGGACTCTGGGGAAAGGGGATTGTTAGTAATGTGGACTAATAACTTCTTTCAAATTTATAGGCTAACCTGACTTGACCTCTTGCTTATCTTATTAGCCTTCACTGGTGCCTTGCTAGCGTATACCGTTAGCGCAGGCGGGTGCATCAAACAGATTATCTATTTTCTATAAGAAAAAAAATATGGAATCTATTCTCCGCATTCAGTCTCTCAACTGGACCGTTTGTCGTATCGTATTTTTTGTATCGAATATACTAAGGTCTTCTAAGTACATAAGACCACATGGTGTAATATAAATGACATAAGTCATGGTTTATAAATGCTGAAAAATATTACGTAATTAGTGACGGCCTAGATATGGCACTGGTCCATAATGGCAGTCAGCGGTGATATGTAACGGAGCGCGTTGTGTGCAGGCGGTGCTGCCGCCGGCGCTGATGATGGCGCCGGGGCGGCTGCGCGCGCTGCTGGCGCAGGCGGCGGCGCAGCAGGCGGCGCGGTGCAGGTTCCACGCCGCGCCGCGCCCCGAGCCCGCGCCGCCCGCGCCGCCCGGGCCCGGGGCGCAGGGCCCGCTGGCCGCCGCGCTGGCGCCGCCCGACCACCACATCCCCTTCACGCTGCTCGCTGACCACCAGTGCTCGGCTGACAACTTCCCCATCCACTCGCTGCAGGTGAGCGTGCCGGTGTCGTAGTATTTCCCGTCGCAGGGCCCGCTGGCTGCCGCGCTGGCGCCGCCCGACCACCACATCCCCTTCACGCTGCTCGCTGACCACCAGTGCTCGGCTGACAACTTCCCCATCCACTCGCTGCAGGTGAGCGTGCCGGTGTCGTAGTATTTCCCGTCGCAGGGCCCGCTGGCTGCCGCGCTGGCGCCGCCCGACCACCACATCCCCTTCACGCTGCTCGCTGACCACCAGTGCTCGGCTGACAACTTCCCCATCCACTCGCTGCAGGTGAGCGTGCCGGTGTCGTAGTATTTCCCGTCGCAGGGCCCGCTGGCTGCCGCGCTGGCGCCGCCCGACCACCACATCCCCTTCACGCTGCTCGCTGACCACCAGCTCGCGACAACTTCCCCATCCACTCGCTGCAGGTGAGCGTGCCGGTGTCGTAGTATTTCCCGTCGCAGGGCCCGCTGGCTGCCGCGCTGGCGCCGCCCGACCACCACATCCCCTTCACGCTGCTCGCTGACCACCAGTGCTCGGCTGACAACTTCCCCATCCACTCGCTGCAGGTGAGCGTGCCGGTGTCGTTGTATTTCCCGTCGCAGGGCCCGCTGGCCGCCGCGCTGGCGCCGCCCGACCACCACATCCCCTTCACGCTGCTCGCTGACCACCAGTGCTCGGCTGACAACTTCCCCATCCACTCGCTGCAGGTGAGCGTGCCGGTGTCGTAGTATTTCCCGTCGCAGGGCCCGCTGGCTGCCGCGCTGGCGCCGCCCGACCACCACATCCCCTTCACGCTGCTCGCTGACCACCAGTGCTCGGCTGACAACTTCCCCATCCACTCGCTGCAGGTGAGCGTGCCGGTGTCGTTGTATTTCCCCGTCGCAGGGCCCGCTGGCTTATTTAATTAAGTATATATATATATTTATGAAGATAGAAGAAGGTATATTTCTGAAGATAAAAATTATTTATGTTTTTTTAATGCTATGGCAGGTATTGAACGAGCATTGCGATGAGGTGTGGTATTGCAAGTGGTCTCCCGACGGGTCCAAGCTCGCATCTGGTTCCAAAGACAACACCGTCATGATATGGGACTTCGATCCCGCCGCTAAAAGACTAACATTTAGGTAACATTCTATTTAATCTTACTAATATTATTAAAAGGAAACTTTGTGAGTGCATATAGATGGATGGATATTTATTACTCTTTCACGCAAAAACTGCTGAATGAATTTCGATGAAACTTTACTGTGATATAGCTTATTATAAGCTATATTACTATAAAGTATCATTAAAATCTGATGTTTACATCTTTATAACATACGGGATATAATTTAAAAATATATTATTTAAATTGAGCGAAATACATTGATAAATAATACATAAACGAGTGATGCAGACGATGTTGTGCAGATAAGTTAGTAACCTTTATAATATTAGTAAGATCTGTACTGTTTTGAAACCAACCCCTACAAATAGCACCCTATATAAATGTATATGATTGCAGAAAGTCACTGGAGGGCCACACCTACGGCGTGTCATACCTGGCGTGGAGCCCCGACGGCCGTTACCTGATCGCTGCCGGCCCAGAGAACTGCCCCGATCTCTGGATATGGAACATGGAGGTACTGTTCTTTTCTTTCACATTTGATAGATGGATAGGTAGATAAATTCATTATTCACCAATAAACACATACCATAACACTTCTTAGTACAAAATATGGAAAAGAATTGTACTGTGCACGAAATCGAATCCTCGACCATCGGAAGTAAAGCAGTGTGCTACTTCTAGACCACTGAGGCCGTAGTTGCATTATAATCACATACCGTTGTGACAGTGGTGAAATTATGTTTGTTACAGACGGAACAACTCCACCAAAAGATGACTCAGTCGCAAGAGGACTCTCTGACGGCGGTGGCGTGGCACGCCGGCAGCGACAAGTTCGTGTGCGGCGGCGGCAGCGGACAGTTCTATCACTGCGGACTCGACGTACGTACCGCACACATTTCATCCTACAAAGGATATCGGAACAGCCTGTATAATCCCACAGATATTTTTATTGGAAGTGAAATTATGATTTCGCCTACGCCAGTGATTTTTAACTACTGAAAGAGTAAACCCACTAAAGTAAACCCCTCCGATCCATCCTCATCCAATTCAAACAGGTTGAGGTGTCATTTGAACCTCTCGTCCAGTGTATCATGTTACAGAATAGTACCTTTTTTTGGCCATTCTGGAGGATTGATGTATCCTACCATGCTTCATGTTATTACACTATAATTGTATCTCATTATGCTATGTTTCCTCCGTTTGATCAACAGCTGGGACGGCATTTGCACTCGCCCCATATCGTTCAGTGACCGCAGTCATGCGAGCATGTTACAGAATAGACCGCACCTTTTTTTGGCCATTCACACACGAGGCGTGCGAGCGTGATGTATCCTACCATGTCAGTACTTCATGCGATTACAGACCGCATAATGGTACACACGCACCACCGCGTCTCATTATGCCTCACCGACCGCAACCTGTCAGTTCCTCCCCACACACACGCACCACCGCGTGCGTGATCAACACCGACCGCAACCTGTCAGGACGCACCACCGCGTGCGGGTCAACCGCAACCTGTCAGTACTCGCTCGCGCGGCGGACGCGGCGTGCTCGACCGCAACCTGTCAGACACACACGCACCACCGCGTGCGAGCGTACGACTTCACAGACCTCACCGACACACACGCAACCTGTCAGTACTCGCTCCCCACACACACGCACCACCGCGTGCGAGCGTACGACTTCACAGACCTCACCGACCGCAACCTGTCAGTACTCGCTCCCCACACACACGCACCACCGCGTGCGAGCGTACGACTTCACAGACCTCACCGACCGCAACCTGTCAGTACTCGCTCCCCACACACACGCACCACCGCGTGCGAGCGTGTCAGTACTCGCTCCCCACACACACGCACCACCGCGTGCGAGCGTACGACTTCACAGACCTCACCGACCGCAACCTCACCGACACACACGCAACCTGTCAGTACTGTCAGCTCCCCACACACACGCACCACCGCGTGCGAGCGTACGACTTCACAGACCTCACCGACCGCAACCTGTCAGTACTCGCTCCCCACACACACGCACCACCGCGTGCGAGCGTACGACTTCACAGACCTCACCGACCGCAACCTGTCAGTACTCGCTCCCCACACACACGCACCACCGCGTGCGAGCGTACGACTTCACAGACCTCACCGACCGCAACCTGTCAGTACTCGCTCCCCACACACACGCACCACCGCGTGCGAGCGTACGACTTCACAGACCTCACCGACCGCAACCTGTCAGTACTCGCTCCCCACACACACGCACCACCGCGTGCGAGCGTACAACTTCACAGACCTCACCGACCGCAACCTGTCAGTACTCGCTCCCCACACACACGCACCACCGCGTGCGAGCGTACGACTTCACAGACCTCACCGACCGCAACCTGTCAGTACTCGCTCCCCACACACACGCACCACCGCGTGCGAGCGTACGACTTCACAGACCTCACACACACGACCGCAACCTGTCACCGCACTGTCGCTCCCCACACACACGCACCACCGCGTGCGAGCGTACGACTTCACAGACCTCACCGACCGCAACCTGTCAGTACTCGCTCCCCACACACACGCACCACCGCGTGCGAGCGTACGACTTCACAGACCTCACCGACCACAACCAAATTTAAAACGCAAAACGTAGATGTAGTATCAAATTATTAACAAGGATCCTTCATAACGAAATGTTTTTACACATTATAGGATCCAGGAAGAACACGCGGTAATGGCGATGACGCTGAATGCCAACGACACGCTGCTGCTGCTCAACGTCGCCAACCAGGGCGTGCACCTGTGGGATATACGTGAGTGGGACATACACACAAATATTGTTATAACGCAAACATAACTTTACTTTCTGCTGCAGCGTATTATCTCTGATTTGTAAGCTATAAATCTGTTGTATAATGAGTAGGGCTCGGAATATGTAATGCAATTTTAAGTACTTGCGATTTTGTGACATCAATAGTATAGATATGCCTATAATGTACTATTTTCTTTTTCGCTGTATAAATGGATAATGAATATCAAAAGAAATTCCTAGACACTAGTAGTAATACCGAAAAAATAATGGTTTTATATTATAATAAACCCGACGATGATGATTTTGTTGGCGATCTTGAATTCGAATAATTGTCACCTTTGGAACACTCTACTGCACTCTTATTTATCTTTTAAATTGCAATAAATATCTGAACATGTTTTTTTCGTTCTACTCACTCCTATAAACGTATAAATAAACAATAAGTGTAATTTTCATGATTTTATAATTATATAAGTTGCTTTGCATTGCATAATATAAGTTCCCGGAAATCAAATTGATTTTAGGTCTTATCCATGTCATGCTTACGTTGACTTTCTTGCTGCAAGTACATAAAATTGCACTACTTACTCCGAGCCCTAATAATGAGAAAATGCAGTGTTATTACAGGGTCAGAGACAGACATCTTAGTCCTCTAAAATGACAACGCATGCGTGGTATCATCTGTATCATATGACTACGTGATGTAGTAGTGCTAGCATATGCTATCTCAATATCGGTCGTCAGTTTGTTTGCCATTTAAATTTTGAAACAAAATATTAAAAAACATATATAATAAAACCGCTTATCCACTAGATCACTGACGATGTCAGTCATCTTCATTAAAGTTGATTTGACATGGAACGCATTTTAGAGTGGTATGATGTTGTTCTAGTGGTGATATGAATGTGTTATACTCAGGTGCTCGCGCGCTGGTGCGTCGGTTCCGGGGCCTCAGCCAGGGACACTTCACCATCCACGCGTGCTTCGGCGGCGCCCATCAAGACTTCATCGCCTCCGGGTCAGAGGATAACAAGGTATATCACGAGATTATAGTATCCGTGTTAAGTTTTATTCTTTATTTTGGTGGTATATGTATGGCTATTATATATATCTGATTGTACAACATTTATAAAGGAGAGTATAAAATATTATAGTAATCAGTACAAGTATTTTATATAGTGTTTTTTATTTTATGTCAAAGTTTTTTTAAGTAGTTTCTACTATTAGAAATCCTAATGTATTTTAGAAATGCGAAAGTTTATTTAGTGTACGGATGTTATTCTATTATGCAAAAACTGGGTAGATGCATTATTATGCAATTTGGTACACACATATATGTATATATATTCCAGGGCAGGGTTGCGAGATGCATTTAGTGTATAAAACATAGCTCAAAAGATTATTTAATTATAATTACGTGTCACTTAAAAAACTATTGTGTTCTATAGGTGTATATATGGCACATCAACGGCGAGGAGCCCATCGCAGTGATCACGGGCCACACGCGGTGTGTCAACGCGGTCGCCTGGAACCCCGTGCATCATGACGTCATAGTGTCCGCCTCCGACGACTACTCGCTGCGGCTGTGGGGCCCGCGCGAACAACGCACCTAGCGCGCGCCCATCACCCTGTGCGACTTCATGCGACCCCGCGCGACCTCACGCGACACCGCGCGACCCCGCGCGACCTCACGCGACACCGCGCGACCCCGCGCGACCTCACGCGACCACTCGCGACCTCACGCGCCCACACTCGCCCGTCTGAACTGAATTGCTTTAATTACAATAATGATATATTCGAATAGAACTGTTTGATTACTCGTAATAACCAGAAATCATTGGAAATAGAACCGTGTGTATATAGAAACAATGACCAATTTCAGATTGCCCCCACTCGTATATAATTCTTACAAGGGCAGTTTTAAAGGCACATATTAGTAAGTTCATAGCGATTTCTGAGAGAAAAAAAACTGGTTTAAGACCGATTCTCTCGCAAAAACTCGTTTATATAACTCATATCTATCATCTCTTAACTTCTATAATCTTATTAGTGTAGTACTAAAGTGCTCTTAAATTCTTTAGCAGAACCCAAAGAAGCTTAAAACCGAACAAAGATTGCGGCGTGATCACAAAGTTATTACTAATATTTGTTTTAAGTAAATGGGATCGAGGACATTCAGCGAGGAAGACTTTTTAAGCATATCTTTCAGTCACTCATGTATACTCCGATTGGGGAGTAAGCGAGATGGAAGACAAACTATATCACATGTGTTAGTTTCAACTTCGTTGTCGCGACGATATCTTCATTTGGTCGAGCTTCTGGTCAGATCCCAAAGACTTATTTTTAACTCTTTCTATGTCGCATTATTGTCAATTCAAATTGCGCTTACTGTGCGCTATAATCATTGTATATTCGAGGGTACGTATGCGTTTCTTGATGCATCTAGTGGATGTTTGTTCTAGAAAGTTCCACCCGCCGCATATATCGCAGGCGGCTCTATATACACTATTCCCATATTTATTGTGATTAAACGCGATCAATAATCTATATAGAGGAGTTATTACTTAATTAATATAAGTTTTGTATAGATCTAATTCTGATAAGGTACTATGCTTATTTGGATAGTTTTAAGTCAAGCGTAGGGAACCGGCAAGCATGAATTAGTCATGAAAGTGGAATAGATATGCGGACAATGTAGGCAGTTTGTGCCTACACCGTAGGATTCGTGGCGTGATTATTTACCTCAATAGTGTACTTATATGATCGGTTTACCATAATTTAATCATAATGTTTATAAAAATAAAAAAAAAAATCGCTAGTATATTATAAAAACAAATTGAGAACCTTCTCGTCTTTGAAGTCGGTTAAACGCGGATGTTATGCTGGTTTCTGAACTGTTACGACACTATCTGTTTAATTAGTTTATCAGAATTAGTACCATTGTGGCAGTTAATTTACAATTAGATGCACTGTGAAAACAGAATTGATACCACGACAGTAAAAAAATATCACATTCAGAATCTGAGGTCATCAGTAAGACTAAGCGAGATGAGGAATGGTTCGCTGTATCTCTTTCTATTAGCTGCTACAAGCATGGGTGTGAACGAGATGAGACTATACGTGACAGATCATAATGAATTTGCATCAATTTTGCGTTCACAGAGCAATTTTCATATAATTGTAAGCTTGTTGAAATAATTAAGGCGAGTGTTGGTAGCAGTGGGCGTGTATCGGTCGCAATAGTTATCCAATTGTGAATGAACAAAATGGCTGACAATTGTTTTTGTTTATTCATTCGAGAATGACAAAGATAATAAACCCATACAGCCGTATAATAATGCCGCTAGTTCGTATTTAAAAAATAATAATTTATCAAATGTATGTGATGACTGATGAGACTGTTGGAAGCAATGTTATTTTATTGCTTAATTGCAAATTTTTTTAAATGTACATATAAATTTTTGAAAATATTTTGTATACGTACTACAATCACTTTTAAAATATGAATTAATATATATGCCGTTTTGTTCATTTACACAAATAGCACTATTTTATAGTATCTTGGTCAACTTATAAGTGCATTGATTTACTTGATCAATGTGAAGGCCAGCGCTCAGATTTTCTGAACATTCAGTATCTTGATGCAAACGACATGGGCCAAAATAGAGCGAATTTTCGGCAAACAGTAGTCCACACTCATAACTTAATGTATCCGGCCAGTAGTAAAGCGAGAGTACTTGTGTACTTATTTACTAAGTGGAATACCTACTGAGTTGCCCGCAATATCATGAGATGTAAAAGAGTGAGTAAATTTTAATATATTTATAACTTCTTACGTGTTCCGACGAGTTTGTTTGTTGGTTGGCATCAGTTCATATTAAAAAAAAAACTGAATTATACAATGTTTTTGCAAAGTAAAACATTACCCATACATTAAAAAAATAAATGTGACAAATTTGTTCTTAGAAATTTTGATATCCGGGTAAAAAAATATTTGCTACATTGATATGCTAAATATTAAACACATACATGTCTGTGCTTTATTCTATGATTACCTAATAATTTAGTTCAATACAAAAATATTTTTGAAATAATCTTACTAAAATATTTAATATTGTTTGTTTTTAAAAAATGACAGTTAATGCGGATATTACATGACATCATTATGAACCCTTTTATATTCATGATATTCTTTCCTTACGTCCATATAGACTTTTACTTCTAGTATCGAAAAGTTTTCAGTTTCTAGCTTTACAAACAACGCAACAGCGTAAAATTTAGTTTAGATAGCTGAAAATTCTACATAGACTACTTTATTTTTTGCATGGCTGTACATGTATTATACATATAAACCTTCCTCTTGAATCACTCTATCTACTGCTAAAAATTGTAATAAAATCCGTTACGTAGTTTAAAAAATCTAAGTGAACAGACAGTGGAAGCAACTTCATTTTATACTATATAATAAAGATATTTAATTTTTGAAACTTTCAACTGAACGACATGATGCGTGCAAAGTCACGAGCTTAGCTAGTAATACAAAAAATAAAAAATGGTGATAGTACGTGCAATAATGTGCCAGATTAGTGCAATATCTCAGCTTCATGTCGAAAGCGCAATGGAAACTAAAAAACAAACTCATCGGAATATAATAAGAATTATCAACTCATTATATTAATACAGAATTAATGTGACGAGGGCGGTACTCGTGTCCGATGTCAACAGAAAGCCGTGCGGGCGGGGAGACGCGCGAGTGTAATGCGTATGTTACTGTAAGGCTAGCCGTAAGGTAGGAATGGTGTTCGTAAGTTAGGATCGTTGGTGTATTGAATTTAATGAAAACTAACGTTAATTCTATATTGGCGACTTCCATTGTTTTCAAACGACACTGTTATAAGCTCTCACAAATTTAAATTTTTATTATAAAAATATTAGTATGTTAAGCTTTATATCTCGGGAACATTATAATAATATGAACAAAATTTATATTTATTTGCCATAAATATAAAAGAAATATTGATTTGGTATATATTTTCATATAGCCACAAGTGTGCATAGGTTAAAATAATAACAAGTGCGTACGTAACTAGATTTACCCATAATCTTTAACTATATCATTTGGCAAACAATATTAAAGTCTGGTAAACGAATTTAAATATGTAAAAATAAGATATAATTATATAATATATGTTAACACAAAATACTTCTATTCTATCAAGAGTATCTACAAAAAGACAATAAAATGGAACTATTTTCCTTTGTGATACAATTATTAGTTTCAAATAGATACAATGAGCACATAAATTGCACGTGTAAAAATTGCGTCTCAATATTTAACAACAAAGAAATAAACATACATAAAACATTATTTATTCTTATATCTACGGTTATAATGTTGATATTAATCATATGTTATGTTATATTTACATTTTGAAAGCGGCTTCTTGAAGTTAATGGGAATGTCAATATTTGAACAGATTATTAAATCTAAAACTTGTGGCAATCAATCGATGCTAGTTCGTGATTTTGTAATGACTTTTATTATGACTAATGCACTATTAAAATTGTTTGTATTTAAGGATGGATAGCGTAGTTGTGTCGTCGGCGCTCCCCGCCGCACCGGACCTAGATGTAACTAACTTATAGGTGTTTGGTTAAGTTAATTAAGACGTAATTATAGCGAGCAGAGGATATTTTGTAGCGGAGACCGCTCGCGGCTCTATTTTTGTACCGATCACTGAATCTCTCATCTGATTGAACCGTAAGCCGTTATACTTTTATATAATAATTGTTCTTCAATCAATATGCCAAATTATTAAGTTTGCTATTGCTATTATTACTATCACGTTATACGGAACGTAGGAAAGCATTGTTGAAAAATGTAAGCAAGACTAAAGATGGTTACAGATATGCGGTTACAAGTTGGCCGAATGTGACTAAGATTCCTATTGGCTCATTTGGTGCAACGTCCACTAGTACTGCTGTATGGTCGGTGAGCAATCAAATGCGTCAATCAGAACATTCTTAGAACCTGACGGCTAATCGAGTGTCTGTGACTACTCTAAGACATCCTTCTGACTGGGTAGGCTCGTTTTTGTTTTAGCACAGAGAAACGTGTAAGTGCTTGGTAAAAGATTGTACCGTAATCAGAGGGGAATCACTTATTTAATTATATGCACTCGCACATTGTACAGAAACGAAAACGGGCCGAACTCGTCAGGACCTAAACGTTTGTTGGATCCATTCCATGTCCAGACATGCTACAATATGTAGTACTACATACTGTTATTACTTTAGTATCTGTTACGAGTTTCTTATTTCAAAAATAATTTACTTTCATTGTGCAAATTCATGTTTAACTTCATTATACTTTTGTAATTCTTGAATGTAGGTCTATTCTGTGCACCTTCCATTTCTCAGCAAATTGAAAGTATAACGCGCTAATACTCCGGGACGGGCATTTATTTATTTCATCTGCTTTACCAATAACGAAATTAATCTTATTCATAAGAACTTGAATCGTCCAACAAAACTTAATTTAGCTATTGACTAGTTTTCGTTTAATTGTATCCTGGGTCGCCATATAAATGTGGGCTATGAGAGGCCAAATTACTACTAGAGTTCGGATATAGACTACACGTTATATATGCAGTTGCTGCTGTATACACTAGTCATTCAAACATTTCCCTAATTTCAAAAGAAGTAACACAACAGTTTGATAGTTAATATAGATTTGTTAGTTCTAGTTTTCATAAATAAGAGAGTTAATGTTTTGGATTTTTTTTTAAATATCAAATAGATTTTAATGTTTACAATTTACAACCCCACGCTGCCTCGTAGGGACCTACGGGGACACCTTAAACCGCCCGGAGATCTCTGTACCAATGTCAGGCAATAACTATTCGTGTGTTTGTAATGTGCGTGTACATGTATGCGTGTACGTTGTAGCAAGTACAAATGACCGCTCGCATTATTATATAGGTACGGTTAACGATATAATAGACGATTGCGGTGAACGATATTCGAGTTGTGTGGGGTATCAGCCCTGTTTGAATTGTTATAACATTATTATATCAATAAATTTTTTATTGTAACTAAAACTGTTTTTCAATCTATTCCTTTGTGTGGCATAAACATATATATGTAGTAACTGTTTGTTTTATGGATGATTACTTACCTTATAATAATGGTTCAAAAATAAACATCTACATGAAAAATTGAAAATGATAGTTTCGTTCATTAGTTAATTTTTTATAGAATTAGACTATTAGAACCCTTATATTAATTCAAGTAGGAATTTATGAAATTACTTTTAAACAAATTTAAACAATTGAATATAAAAGAATTTGTTTTATTAATACATAACACAAGATTAACTTAAATAGTAATAAATCTTATAATCTCCCTATAATACGTTAAATTATATAACAAAAAAAAATTACATGGATTTTTTTACAGAAAATTAAAGATGCAGTGATACGTCAGTGACTTTTCTCCTCTTATTTACAGATAATGCTTCAATATCTTAGTATCAATTAGTATTAAATGTATTTTAACTATAAATTTGCTGTACCAGATTTTTCTACTAACTCTAACAAAGTATGCAGTGATGTATCAAATAGTTCACATCTTATTGGCATTTCTAGGGAGTAGAATGGGTTCTTTAATGCATAGTCTGAGTATAATTCATATATCCTTTTGAGAACCACTTCCGCGCCTTGCATGTTGGGATCTGTTACTATTATAAATTTAACACCTGGAAAAAATACAAATTGATGTTAGAAAACAGTTAATTTTTTATATTGTCAATCAATGGTCAACCGAAAAACCTATTGCTTTGAGGTTCCAATGTCTATTGCTCTTTTCAAGGAAGACCAATAAGCAATTTTACATATATTTTTATGACAAAAAGATATCTATACATATGTATAATATGGATATAAAGTTACGAGATAAGAGACAACTGTGGTTTTCGAAGATCTGTATTTATTAGAATCTAGCCATTACCAGCTTCGACTTCATCTGTGTGAATGAAAAAAAATCTAAAATAAAATAGAAGTTACTGTAAGTCCATCAAAATCTGCCCAATTTCAGAGATTAGTAAGAACAAATACACTGTATGATACTGTAAGATATGTATGTATCAATGTAGTATCATATATACTTTTACATGCATTTAGTGAAACATTATTAATTTGAAATAAAAAACAGACAACTTTATTTCTTGAATTTTATTGACAGCCTCAGTGGCCTAACGATTTAGCATATCCCCTTACTTGCGATGGTTTGGGTTTGATTCCTCGCATGGTACAAACATGTCTGGTAGGTCTAGGTGTTTTCTATGTATAATATGTATGTATTCATGAAAAAAAATCTATGTATTTGTATCAGTTTTCTAGTACTCATAACACATGCTTAACTTGGGTCTAGATGGCGCTGTGTGAATTCTCCTGAGCTTATTATAATTAATTATTTGTAAAGATATGAAAGTTAATATACCTGTTAATGTTTGGAAGCATGATAACTTGAAAGTATCCGCAGTCAAGGACTCAATGCCGGAGCATTTGGGTACAGGACTCAGTTGGCTGGCAAGTGCAAATAGTGGGTAGAACATACTCGCCAACACTATCTTCTCATTAGTTGTAGCTCGAGCACGGCCAAATTTTAAACTTAGGGGAAAATTTTCCTAAAATATAATAATAATTGTATGGGATAATGTTGAATTTTGCATAATGTTTTATGCAAAGATATACACATCTGCTCTGTAGTGAATTTATTTGCAACTAACATTACTAAAGTTTTTTTTCTGAGATTGGGGTACATTCTGTAGTTCACAAAATCCTACAACTCAGTGTCCCTTTTTGCATAGACCTCCTTCAGCTATCTTCTCCGCAACACTATTCCAGAGAGAGCCAGGTTGAGAAATACCTAATAATCTATTTAAAATATTTTTACAGTATAATTAAAATTAATTAAATGTAAATCTTTAAGAAAACTGATATTGATAATATAGTTATTATGGCTTCAACATTGAACATTGGTTGTTCCGCAGCTAGAAAGATATATATGATGGTCACTATGGTCTAGCAGTTTAGGCCACTGCTTTACTCCTAATGATCATGGGTTGGATTACTTCCATGATACATATATTTGTCATATCTAGGTATTTTCAGATTTTATTGTATATATTATATGTGTATCTACAAAATAAATGTATTTAAGTATTTATATCTGTTATCTAGTACCCATAACACAAGTTCTAGCTTGGGACTAAGTGGTGTAGTGTGAACTGTCCTGCATTATTATTATTATATACATTGAAATTATTAGTACCTTTGCTTCTATTACATCAAATACATCTTTGCCGTCCTCTATTGTACGCCCATTTACTGGTGATCCATTGACAGTCAGCAATACATGTCCAACTGCAAGTAACACATGAGAATTACATGGTAGTCTTGTAACTTGAGAACATATTTCTAGCAGTCGACTATAGAATCATAGAAATTGTGTAAATATGTAATACTAATAGATATCTACAGTATCGTATGAAATTATATTTAAAATTTCCCCATCAGCTAATGACATAGTTTGATAGTCAGTAATCAGATCGAATACATTTATAATCATAATTTTACAACAATTTATATACATCTAAGTAAGTAAGTACATCTCTATAGTTCCGTTACTATCGACAAAATAAAAGAATACCGTTTATTCCATCCCTTTGGCCAAAAGCGACGATTACTTTCTTGTTTTCATACTGCAGTTTGAGATCGAGTGGGTAACCAAATGTTTTCTCAGTTTCCACCTTCGGTATAACGTGGTCGTAATTGTAGATAAGTCCGCCAGACTTGCTGACTATGTATATCCCGTATATCACCATCGGATTTGATTTAATTTTATATATAATTATTAAATAGTGAGGAAAGTTTGTGAAACATCAACAACAATCAGCAAGATACAGATTGTAGAATGTTATGAACTGTCAGTGTCAAGTGCACACTCGACTCTGTCACTCACTAAATGTCATTTCAATTTTATTGTCTGTGGCTATTCTAAAGCAACTTTACACTATACTTTAGAATGCATTGGAGGATATAAGCTAAGCATCTCTACATAGTTTTTGGTAGAAACTGAGTAAAGGAGAAAATTGTCTCATATAGTGTCAAAAGTGTCCGTCCAATAATTAAGTTTAACGTACAATTGTTAAGTAGTATAAAAAGTAGTGGGCTTGTAAAAATTCGTTACTAATAGTTAAGAATGTAATATTTTTGATGGAAGTAAAATACATACAACCGATATTTTACTTTAAAAAGAAATTATTTATAAAATCTATATCTACGATATGTATATTTAGAATATTTACAGAACTTAATTGTACAACTAAGAACCTAAAATTAAAAAGCTTAAGGGGTCCTTTAGGCAAAGTTCCGAAGATACTGGCAGCGTTCCCTCTTTAAATAGCTAGACTAATTCTTTGTCCAAGGTAGCTGGCAGCTCTTTGGTCTTCTGTGATGTCGAATAAGTGAAGTAATATATGTATATATATATATATATAAACACCTCTTGGGCACTTTGTTGATCATTTACACACTTGCCGATTCCACCTAGTAATATCTCAGGCGGTAAACGTCGCATTCTATTTTGCGATGCGGCCATATATATTCGTCGATAGTACGATATACTCGACACTTTTTTTACTAATAATTCGTGACTGAATGGCTTAACGGCTAAATTTTTGGATACACAAAGACTTTTTGGCTCTGAATATATTCCAATTAATTATATCACTTTATATACTCGTCCTTACTGCGATACTTACTTTCATCCGAATATATATAGATACCGTAACGGTCTATCAATAATGACATAATTGATTTACTAATGTAGATATTTTATATTCGCAATGCTCCATACATGCAAGCTCCAGCAACGGTGGATCCCCCTGCACCGTACACCGCAGCGCACACAAACAAATTAGATATTTTTTGAATACACAAAGACTTTTTGGCTCTGTATATATATTTCAAAAATCAGTTAATTGTGTTGATCACTTTATATACTGGTCCTTACTGCGATACTTATTTTAATCCGAATATATAGATACCGTAACGGTCTATCAATTATGAATTTACTAATCTACATATTTTATATTCGCAATGCATGCAAGCTCCAGCAACGTCAATTAGCCCACATAAACAAATTAGAATAAATTAAATTCATAAGATTATTTATATATTTCGACTGCCTCGAAGGTTTTCCGATGGCCGCGGGTTCGATTTCTCGCACGATGCAAACATTTGTACTCATCGGTCATCGATTGTTTTCATCGGTCTGAATGTATATTATATATGTTAAAAATATCTAATGGATCAGTCTGTGTTAATTGTCCAGGTTATTTATTATATTTTTATAAACGGTTATCTTTTTCCATCGCACCGCTCGCTATCGACAGTGAATTCAGAAATGTCATGTTTTGTGTTTTGTATTTCAAATACTAAATGCAAAATAGGTATTTTCAAAATACTTTTTAAAAATACCAACCTAACCCAAACCTCAGATATTTTATTTATTTTAGGTATATCAATCATTACATAGTAATATAAAAACAAAGTCGCTGTCGCATCTATCAGTACATAAACAAAGAAAGAAGACTTTGGCTCTGATACCGTAACGGCCTATGAATTATGAATTTATTATACCTAATCTAGATATTTTATATTCGCAATGCGTACATTGTAATATCCGTTCATTGTACGAATAGTAGTAAAACTGAATAAGTTGTTGCTCCACTGCGTCGTCGTCGTATGCTGTTCATTTTTTCTTTTGTTTATTAGTTATGACAATAGATATTAGGTATATTTTTTAAATACTTAAAAATATTTATTCTTTACTGTATGTACATTTGAAAAACTTAACTATTTTAAATAAGTAAACTAGTTGTTATGAAAGTATATTTTTTGAAAACACCTTTCGCGCGTAACGATTACATTAGATTTTTTGGTATTTTATATGTGTTTTAATACATTGACATAATAACATATTTACTTGACTTATTGGTAAAAAATGAAGATAGGTTACATTTCTACACACTTATTTTGATACATCTCAAAGCACTAGACAACATTTTTCATTAAACAGTATTGTATAAACGCGAAAGTTTGTGTTATTATGGTTGGATTATTGGCGGATTATAAATAAGATGTCAAAAAAAGATGTTTGTATACTCTTTCACGCAAAATATATATCTACTGATAAATATTATATATAAGATGAAAATCAAATTATACAGTCTTTTACAAAATCAGAATATAGAGTATATGGTTATACATCAGAATTTAAATAATTATAGGAATTTATTACTATTATATATATCATGCGGGAGAAACCGCGGCCATATCCAGTAATATATGTACCTATATAACGACGGACGTATAGAGATGCAATGACAAGGAGAAGCTTATGAATGTCATTATCTTACAACTTGCCACAAATAAACCTTTCATCGGAATCCTTCGTATCAATAGCATTCCTTCTTTCTCAAAACTTTTTGCCACGCACAACCAAACTGGCAGCAAAATAAAGTTAAAAAACCAATAAGAGATATGTATAAGATTTTTACCAGATTTTTGTTATTAATTGAAATCTACAATAATCGGTATCTTTTAGCGCACACTTTTGATTCTGTTGGTGGTCGAGGGTATTTAACCACCAACAGAATAAGATTGTTTGTTTGGGTGTTTTCTAGTTAAACATATTTATAAAATGAATAAGACTATGTATGTATGTATGTGTATCTACGAGTATATATTGATACTTGCAGCAAAACTTTTGTACCCTTTTTTACAAAAAACTTATTATTAAATTGTTTGGATAGGGTGTTTTCTATGTATAGATAATATATATGCATACTTATAGTTCCTATAGAGAAAGATGAGTGTAAAATTTCGATATTTTTAATAAAATCATCCATAACAATTATATTAAATCAATAAAAAAAAACGTAATAATGTTCATATGTAATGTTTGCATATAATTAAAATTATGTTATATAATTTATCTCACTAACATATTTTATTATTAATAACGGAAGAAAACGTTTTTTAAACAGAGAATAACCAAACACGATATTTCTGTGAAGAATGAATCATCATCTGAATCCTAATTTCACAGTGACGTAAGGTTAACAGCTGTAGGTATTATTATATATATCGCTGTGACCCTGTACTCGTATATAAATTCATAACACACAAGTAGATTTTTAAATATATTCCAAAAAAATGTGTTAAAAAAAAATGCATACGGATTCACATGCTTAAAAAATATATATCAATGACAATAGCGCGACATCTACTGGGTTTCCCAAAGATGCATAACAACGGCGTGTTTACTTGTATAATAGAGAGACGTACAGTACACTGAAATATATATATATATACTTACGGTCACTTAATAAAATATCAATAAATTTTTATCAAGGTTTCTAAGACAGACGTAATGGCAAAAATAAACAGTATGTTTTATTATTTCTAATACTAATTTTCTACAAGTCTGCTGAAGATTAATCTAATAATACTTATATATATATTAATTCTCGTGTCACAGTTTTCGTTCGCATACTCCTCCGAAACGATAAATCGCTAGACTACCGACAACTGACCGTCCGATTCTCATGAAATTTTTCAACACGTGACAGCTAGTATTAAAAAAACACGTAGGTCTCTAGAATCACTAGCTGTTCCCGGCCAAAATCTATTTTTCATCCCTACCTAAATGTTAAAATCGGTCCAGCCATTTCAGAGATAAAATATGTTATTTTGTATGTACCGTATTTATATTCATATGCAAGTAGTAAAAAACGGTAAATATTACAAACAACAGGCTTTCTCAAGTTAAAAAAGATGTTTTTATGTTCCCAGCGACTATCGTTTTTAACTTTATTTTTCTAAAATGGGTAATCAGACACATAGCTTTCAAGATTAGCCGTGAAGTCAATTATAAAAATAGTTATTTTGGTATATGTACTTATATATATTCGCTTGCTCAATATTCAAACAGACCGTCAGACGTGTTGGCCATTCAGTAAAATTTTGTCAATAACATAATAGCAACTTAAACATTAAATCTCGGCTATAGACTTGCGCAGATTTTATTTTATTTTTCTAAAATAACAGGAGTACCATCTACATTGCCAAAAAAAGTCCCGTAAAATCGGTCCAGCTATTTCAGAGATTAGCCGGAACAAACAGACAGACAGACAGACTGTACTATGCTATACTATGTATTGATTGATATACCTAAAATAAATATAATATCTGAGGTTTGAACAAAAACTCAAAGGGTAATTTATTTTGAAAAAGTATTTTGAAAATACCTATTTTGCTTTTAGTGTTATAGTTCTTTAACTGTTATGTTTTAAGTAACAATGTTTAATTATAATTAATACTACTGCACCAACACTCCGATCGTGCAAAAAAATTTGCTGTTTCATTATTTTTTAGTTCAATTAGTGGTCTACCTAAGTTCTGATTATGACGCCCCCATGACTCCCATGACCTCCATGACGCTCCCCCCTGGATCCGCCGTTGCGTCTTCTCTTTATTCGCTCAGTAACGTTGTTACAAAAGAAAAGATTCCCATCCAAAAAATAACGCGCGGTTTGATCTGGAGTCACGTTACTCCAGACTGATTTCTATAAATATTTAGATTAGGTAGACTATTATTTTTGAAATACTAGCTAGACATTATTAAGTTACTGTAGCCATAATGTAGTAGCCCAAACGTGCCAATGAGGAAGCCCTTGGCAAATGCTGCACCCTGATTGGCCCGTTTGAATTGGATCAAGAACTGCTCGTATGCCAAAAAGGTGGATTATAAAATCGTGTATAAATCGCTTAATTATTATTATTACTCGTCGTGACAGTTGTGCAAAACGGATCAACATTTATATATGGTCATC